GCTGGCTTCTAACTTGATTTGTAAGGTTGCATTAATTAATAATGTGTGTTGACTCTAACGGCGCTCATTTAACGAGGTGCATTAATTACTATTCAATTTAAAGTAGATGTCGACCACATTTCATAGACAACAAACCGGCTCTATAATAACACGAAGTTTGACTGGCCTTCTACAGTCGAATAACAACATTTATAAACACAAGTGCAAGTAGTATAGAAAAAGTGTATTCGCGGTTGAAAAGATGGCATGACAACGCCTTCGGACGCACCTGCACCAGAACTGGTTCTTACGAACACGATTTCCCTCTGTCAACACCATCATATCTTGCGCCTAATTCTGCCACAGCCTCCATTTCCACACATTTCATTTCATTTGGTACGAAGTAAAAGCCGAGGTTATATATTCTCGAAATGTTTATAGAACGCATTATTTTTTATTTCAATCATAATAATAATGAACATACTTAATATAGATTTAAAATATCAAACATAATGTTTTTTTTGTAAATTGTAATGACTCGGTAGCTCAATTGGTAGAGCAACAGCACGGAACGCTGCAATGGCGGTTCAAGTCCTGCCGGAGTCGAAATTTTTTTCAATTTATTTTAGATTTTTAAATTGTAATGTAATTGTAAAGTGTATATATTTAAGTTTGTGAAAATAAAAACAAACGAAGTGCGTGAATCTTCATGTAGGACTATAGTCTAAAAAGAAAAATCTACACTGTTATTTCTACCTTTAACAAAATTATTATTTCTCATCAAATATATCAGCATCCACATAATTTGGATAGGGACACGTAACGGTAATTAAGACGTAACGGTTTAGACAATTACTAAATGTTATTATGCTCATAATGGTAGAGAGAACCGTGTTGATATTTCAGTGTTAACGAGAAAATTAAAAATTTGCAGTGCCGCGTAATATTTGAAGAATCCTCTATTATACAATGCAGTGGCTAATGATTAAAAGCAATGAAAAGCAGCAAATTAATCGTCAAACCGTTAGTACAGCTTCGATATTACGCTGCGCCAGTATTTTAGAGATTGTATATAGAAAAAGCGGTTTTTGTGCCCACAATTTTTATATCTAAAAATATTGCCGAATTGTTTTTGCCAATAACAAGCGGCGTGCAGTACGTGAAACCGGAAACGTGATGTCTGACCTAATTGTGAGCGAGTCCTTGGAGGGTCCTTAATATTCTTATTACTGAACATCTATTTTCAATTGACAAGAATCGTATTACATATTATAAATCTTACTAACAGTAACTAAAAAAAACCACCTCTGTTCTGCATTTTTTTTGTTCATACAATAAAAACGCGTATACAGGCTACTTTTGGTCTCGAAAATACAATTTATATACTGTCTATAGTTTACGCGAGTAGTACACATTTAAATAAAACACTTTAACGGTTTAAAACGCGATATATTCGTTAAACTTATTTGAAATGATTTTTAACTTCGGCCGGACGTTTCGGATGCTTTGCAGCAGCTGTGGTCACGGGGAGACGACGTTTTAAACCGTTTTATTTAAAATACATTTCCTATATTTTTAACACCTCTCCTATATTTTTAACTCTTCTGTATAGAGGTGTAGAACATTTTGACATACCTTTTTCAAATTACCGCGAGTAGTAGCCTCTAGCTAATTTATAATTAAGTTATGTATTACGTGTTTACGAACAAGTGTGGGTAAAAAAAGAGAAAGTTGACGCTAAAAAGTTTTACTTACAGGTCTCTCAGCTAGGCAAGTACGTATAATGTTTTTGCTGACCTGTATCATGTCTACATTTAAAGCCTGACACATAAGTACCTATGTAATAAATATTATTTTTGTGCACGAGAAGAGAAATATAACATTTCATTTAAGCGCGGCTAGAATTACTTTCATAAAAAGGCACTACCACTTATTTCACATTAGTAATTAAAATCCTTTTTAGAATTATCCATTCTCTACTTCTAAACACGCTACAGCTGCATAAAAATGTCACATTGAACGGATCTAGGTAGCTGCCGGCTTACCTAGAAGACCTACATAGCATGTATGTGGACACGAGTGCATTAACTGCAAAACAGCACAGTTTCCTATTTATCACGTTCGATGCTTAAGATGACACAATATTGTCGTTCCTTGTTTATACCTGCAACCTAACATATGTTGAAAACGCGCGGTAAAATGGTATTTTTACTCACATTTGAAGTCAAATCCCGTTTCGTCCAGTTGGGCATGGCTATCTCCGTTTTGCTGATCGATCTTGTTTATTACAACTACGTATTTGATTATCAATTACGCCTGTTCGACCGAAAACAATGTGTAAATTAATGTTTCGGATGGAGACGGTTTTTAAACTTTCAAAATCGGTTTGATCATTTTTACAAAGGAACTCTATTTTAGATTTTTTAAAAAGACTCTCGCGAGATGAAACCACGTTGTCGTCAAAAATACATTTTAAATTTTTAAGGATATAAAACGAAATTGTGTTCATAGCTTAGCCAAATGCACTGTGATTGAAAGGAAACGTGAAAAGCCTTTTTCATATCTGCTACTATGAAATAGAGAGTATGCGATAATAAAAGCATAAGCATATAATTCAGTTCTCAATTCGTATCGTATACTTACTTAATGGGAAATTAATTCCAGTATTCTATCATAATTAAGATAATGAATGCATTTCACAGGAATTATTCCGCTTCTGTAAAAGAGACAGTTCAATTCTAGGAAAATTTCATCGGTCGCAACATGTCACGTTGCACATACATCTGTATGAGTAAGTTTTAAATGCTTAACAATGGTTGTTGTCAAGGCTCTTAAAATATGAGAGGCGAACGCTGAAATAAATTAAGAATGTCGACTGTACCGTACGTTGCATTTAATATTCATATTTTAAATAACTAACTAGTAACAACTTTTGAATCATTATAATTTTGACTAGTTTATGCTATGTACATAGTCTCATGTGCAGAGCTTACATTAATTGGTACAGGCAAGATGTATGATGGTACTGGATTCGAATACCGTCCGAGGTAACCTTTGTCTAATCTAGAATGTTTCAGCAACTCATTTTTAAAGATCACATGGGCATGCTACATTCAAAATTTGAAAAATAGATGAAAGTGATGATAACAAGTGTAACCCGATGTAATCGAGCGAAAGTACATACAAATAATCTGAAACGAATTATTTTTTCATCTAATAATATTTATTAAACTGATTCGTATGTGTAAACAAAAATGGTCCACGAATAAATTTATTTTTCGAGCCCAAAAAGAAGATCAAATTTTGCATAATTATAACATCAACTGCTCTAAAGGAACACCATTTTTATTCAAAGTAGGTAATACCCGGTCTATATAAAGACTGTTTTTTCTCGCTAACATGATCCAATGCGAGTAGCTTGTCCCCAAGTGATGCGGGCGCGACATACATATTCCAATCCTTTTATGTTACGGAGTTGAGCGGGATCGAGGCTTTACATGGATTAATTACTTTTGTTACTGAATTTTCACCAACTATGTAACTTCAGACTTTGCAACTTTAAAATTACATGGCTTAAACAATAGGTTAAAAAACAGACTGATAAGCGATATAAGATATTAGCCAACGGCTAGTTAAACATTGAAAAATCTCTTTTTTATATTTCCGTAAAGTAAATAAAATCACAAATCTAAGACCTGTGTGTCAAAAGGCTGTATTTCAAAATTTGCGATAGCTAGAGAGTAGAAATTTTTTCCCAGATTCTGTAGTTATGTACACAAGAAATGAAATATTAATACCTTTAGCTACCATGCAACAAACAACATTTCTTTTCAGAAAGATCATACTTCACTGGCGAGACATGCTCAAACCAGAAAGAAAGGTAGACCATACCTATTATAACTTTTCTATGGCCTCCTTGGTCTAGTGGTAGCAATGCACGGCTAATAATCAACAAGTCGTGGGTTCGATCTCCACCAGGTCCAACAAATTTCTAAGTAATGTATATTTTTTCTGAAACACATTTGCATTGATCTGGACCATAGGTGCGTATAGGAAAAACGTAATTGCCTCCACATGAAAAAGCCGTCAAGTTTAATTACGTTTCGTTTTCAGTCTGTAGATTTTCGAATATTCAAAGCCATAATAGGTTGCTGATAGCGCATCTTGTTGAGATGTTATTTGGCTGGAGCATTCATCCAACCATGTTTGTCTGTCCTCCTCTATCAAAAAAAAAACTCAACTGGTCGCCACTGCGACCATAGTAGGTGGGTACATTTATATCTAATGAGTCGTCTACAGAAAGAAATTTAAATGGTGTTTATTATTCAAGTCTATAGTAACAGTACATTTTAAACTTATATTAAACGAAATTGTTTATAACATATTGCTGACTACGTCTGAAAAATAGAATATTCGGCTCTGTCTGAAATCTCGTCGATTGCATTACAATAACCAGTAATTACCTTAATTACAAAAATTCTATTGACTAAGTAATGCTTACGAAACAAGTATAATTACTCTAATTAAACAATATAACATAATTGTAATTAGAAAGTTACAGTTCGCGAGATATAGATACATAGGTCTTAGGTAACTTTCTTAATGAGATACTATCGATAATAATCTTGTACAACCTACACATACATAACATATAATATGCATTATTATACCTTAATATGTAAAAATTTACATATTACTAAAAAGATCTAGGTTAAGTGTACATATTAAATGTATGTCTACGATAAATTATTACTTTTTATTGAAAATATCTGCTAGATAAGTTATCCGTTCCAATTTTAGGAGGTAACTTACTATAACTAACTAAAACATAGTCTGATCTAGGTTTTTATTGCACTTAAACTAACAATAAGGTGTAAGGTAAGTAAATATTGTGTCCAAGTTTTAGGTGTCGTGCAACATTCAAGACAGTAGACGGTTAAACGAATGTTGATTCTGAGGCGTGCGGTGAGCGAGGTGAAGTAAGGTGAGTCAGAAAGTAAGTAGGCAACACATTCGCTTACCTGTACAAATCAACACCAGAGTAAATGGTGAAAGCAACCGGTTGTTCGCCATCTCGTTGATAAAGTCACTTTCTAATCAATTTTTCTTAATACACGACAAATCCTAGGCTCCCATCTTGTCGCACAATAGCGAGAAAAACTTGATCCAACTTTGTCACAACACTGTAGCGTCACTTAAAACTTTTCACGAACATCCAAAAGTAGATAGAATTATGCATTCACCACTCGCTATTCATTTACACTTCATATTAAAATGTTTTTGTCTCATTGTTTTGTCCAAAAACTTTGGCGCGTGGACACGGCAATGATATGACGCGTACGTTACACTCTCAGAACGGTTGTTCTAAAGCTGAGCGTCGACTGAGGTGAATGCAGTCGTTAGCGAAGCCACGCTGCGGGTCGGTACTCGGTACTGCATAGAGCGAACAACGAGTGCGAGCGAGAGAGAAGAAACGAGAGGGACGAATCACGAAAGTTAAGTTTCAACTTCGTGTTGCTTGAAAATGTATGTCTAGTACTTGGTATACCTAGTAGGTCTTAAGAAAGAGCAACACAGATTAGGTAAAAAACCTCAAATGTACATATAGTCTATGCAATATTTAATCTTTATGAATTAACAATCACGAGTTGGGAGTATATAACAACTTCATGGTTTTAAGACGGAATATCGAGATACTTTTTTATCTATTCTGTGGTTATGAAGAACTGCCCCATAGAGCATTGTCTTAAGCTAAAAACAAAACATTTATATCTTTATTATAAAATGATACAACGGTTTAGATTCTTAATAGTTTTACTGACAAACCTTATTTATGTATACCGAGGATTCGATTAACATGTACGATCGCTGGGGCCAAAGTTTATTTCTACATAGGTACGTAAATAAATACTTAATAATTCATATATATTTAAACATAGAAAACGTTTAAGTTAAATGTTTTAAGTGCTGACTTTCGTCTAAGTATTTTAAGTCCATTTTAATAGGCCACAGTTGACATTATCAAAATTCAACATGATAACCTTGCAATGGAGAAACAACATAGGTATTTCAACCTTATAACTGTACAATAGCTTAATTGTTTGCTGTATTTTTTTTTAATATCTACGTGACATCTCACTATGAAGTTGTATTCGTAGGTATCCTGTTATTATTGGTCCATTGAATTAGTCTGAAGCCTATTTTTAGCGTTTTTTAAAGAAAAATTTTCAGATACACCCTCTACAATATGGAAAACATAATTAAATTATAATCATCCCTTTGACTCACGATCTCGTGATATTAAAACCATAATAGTTATCTTTCGAGAGGGTTGGTTTGTTGCGCAATTATGATGAACGTAGGGGTGGACTGAGGGTACTTGCTCTCTCTCGCTGTAGGCGTCAGTGTCTGGTCCCTCGTATTATGAACGCTTTTATACTTGGTACAAGTACGAGGCATTTCGAGTTTTTTAGTTTCAGGCGATTTTATTTTAAGTCAGTTTAAAACTTCTTCCTTACACCTTAGTCCTTAGGTCCTAGAATATACAGACATTTAGAAATATCTATACTATTCACGGTTTAAATGCGGAATATGTATATTAACTATGATCAGACGTTTCACTAGCTTTACAGGGACGATGTCGTTAAAATTAATGTCTCCTCTAATGGGTACTATTCGCGTAAACCACAGAAAATACTCAAAAGGTTTTGTTTTTCTTGGGAGGCAGACACATTTCTGCACCCCCTTTGCCGGGCCCTGCTTGACCTATACTGTATATTTTACGTGATTCGAACCCAGAACATTATTTTTTATATGTCACTGCACATGATGGCACTATAAATAAACTATTTAGTCAATTACTTTCGTTCTAATATTATTTAATAGATGCTATCTATATTTCTCGATAGATTACCAAGAACTCGTAATAGGGCCTCGTGATCGACGATTGTCTCTCCTCACTCCGTGTCGAATTGGCTAAATTTATGCAACTGCTCTTGCAACTGTACCCTAAGCTAAATAGCACATCAAACGCCATTACTTAAAAAGGGTGCTTACATTTAAATAATTACGAGAATAATAAATGTCACATCAATCAAACGAGTCTGAATAACTACTGGAAAATGGGCACATCGAGTCAAGTAGCGGTCCGAGTTTAGTACCTGTATCTATGCCTAGGCAGCCTATATGCTAGGGATGCTAACGCATTCTAGGCTTCGGTTCTAGGTAACCTGAATGTTGCCCTGCATAAATAAACTAACATTACGGATAATACTGCACTAAAGCAGCGTGATGATTATTCAAATCAGAATATAATACATTTGTCGTGTAGAGAATTTCAATGGTGTAAATAAAACACTTCAAAGCTTTAAAATGCGATATATATCAGTCTCCCCGTGAGCACGGCTACTGCAAAGCATCCGAAACGTCAGGCCGTAGTTAAACTAATTTTCAAATTAGTTTAATTAATATACATCGCGTTTTAAACAGTTAAAATGTTTTATTTCAATGTGCATTACTCGCGTAAACTATAGACAGTATTTAATTTCGTTGGTTATTAATTTTACCGCCTCTGTTGCTGAATGGTTAAATGCGTTGTCTTTCTGTTTAGCTCCAGAGGACCTGGTTTTAAAGAAAATAGTTTAAAGGCCATGGCGACTGATGATCGGATTATAAATAAAAACGTGTAGTGAAACAGGTACAAAAATGCATTTCCCCCATTCCCCAATAAAGGGAAAACAGTAAACACAAACGACGAACGACAAGAAACTATTTATACACATACTATTTTAGCGTAGGGTATACGTGACAATAAGTGGGACCATAAACAAAAAGGACGAGCGACTCGGCGAACATTTCCCATCTTTCCAACCCCATAAAACAACAAAACATATTACTGGCCGGCGGCGGTGCATAAAAAGCAATGAAAGCATTTTCACATGAGCAGTTTTCATTCTATAACTCCCCTTCTATACCCAAAGGAATTCCAAATAGTATCACTACTTCGCCAGACCCTCATATTGCCATAGGGAACGACCGCGAAATTGTTTTCACTTCTCCCCCGCACCAAATTGTTATTTGAGTGACTTGAAGATATCTTATCTGTTACTTAATTCCTGGGATAGCCAAGATGTTCCTCTCTGCCTGATAACATTGTAAATCCATTGTTTTGATCCCTCCGTGCCATAAAATAATACCTGTTATGCTTTATAACGAGTTTGAATGATTTGAATAAGTACTATAGAAAAACGTATAGATAGGTGTATTGTTTTCAAAACATTTCTTTCTCAATCCTGCCAAATGTTGGTTTGAGAAAGAATAAATGTTTGAAGGCTTTTGTTTGTTGCTTTGGTGGGAGACAATCTAATAATAATAGTCATGACTTTCAGACAGAGATACAACGGATTTCAATTAAAAACAATGTTACGAATGAATTAAAATATGTCTTGTATGTTGGTATGGATAATACTCGTAATCATGACCATGTCATTAGGTTGATAAATAAAAAATAAATCAATGTATGTTACATACTATGAGTAAAACACAAAAGAATATCATGCAATGGTGTAGAAAATCTTCAAAGAGTTTATCGGATCACTTGAGGATAACAGGGAATAGGGTGCGTACACAAAATGAACGGCAATATATCCTCCAAGATCATGAAATTGTAATCATCTAAAATATTGCGATAACATTTTTATAGTTTCTTGCAGATTCTAGGCTAGGGCTTCATACAATAAATTATTCATTAGTATACGCTATCATTATTTTTTCTTAAAGAATAAGAAAATAAGAAATAATTTAAATAGTAAAAGAATTGTAAGGTATACATAAAAAAATTTAAGACATGGCTAAAACTCGCACCCTCAAGACAGCGTTACTTTTTTTATTCCAACCTGACGTTAATGTTTACTTCTAGACCAATGGTGCCCCGAGGGGGACATCGGCTTTGGTTTGGACCACTGTAGTGTGAGTGGGAGTTGAGTGGTTGGGAGAGCCACGGTGAGGAGTACGCCGATAAAGCGCCTGCGCCGCTGAAGTCGGTGTCGGCGGATCGCGTCATGATAAGGTTTTAGTTCTTTTTGGTTGTGTCGTCGTAAATCTGTTGTTTTTCTAAGCTACGTTTCCAAAAAGAGCAGATTCAAGTTTTGTGAAGAGAACCACTTGATGAAAGGTAAAAATAGTCCAGTCATATGACATCTAAACAAAATGCGCTGTCGGCCTATTTTGGCTTTGAATATTCGGAAATCCAGACTGAAACGGAAACGTGATTAAAATTTAACGACTTTTATTCGTGACCCGGGCGTAATTTCGATATTCTTACCTCTTTACCACCCGAAGACCTACTTGTTTTAGAAAAATTATACATTGATTAGAAACACGTTGACCCCAATGGGGATCGATCCCACGACCCATCGAGTATTAGTCACACATTGCTATGATTAGACCAACGAAGCTTGTAATCTCTTACGATCTGGCTTTATTAATAAATAAGAACTAAAGATAAATCCCTGTGTACCAATTGATAATTTGGTAAGTTGTATTGTAAAAGAAGACAATTTAGGATAGATCATATTTACAGTTCATGAGGAATAAATACGTAAAACTATCAGTTTGTTCTATGATCTTATGACAATACAATCTGTTATCTTGTTTTACAATCTCCGATAAGGATATTTAACACAGCATTATACATTTTACGAGTCTATAATACACATATATATACAGCCTACATTTAGTAAAAGGGGCACTTCTTCATCAATACTACAAGGAAAAAGTATCTCTGACTGTGTAAGTAGTATTTAAAATCGCCTTTTTCCTGAAGTGTTGTAAAGATAAAATTGCCAAGGAGTAATCAGTAAGTAGATTTATCGTGAAACTTAAGTTTAATAAAGCACTTCAACGGTTTAAAAGGCGAAATATATTAGTTCAACTTATTTGAAAATTATTTTAACTACGGCCCGATGTTTAGGTTGTTTTGCAGCAGCCGTGGTCGATTCACAGGGGACGGGGAAACTCACAAAAGATTAACTAATATATTTCACGTTTTAATTGAGTTATTTAAATGTGTACTACTCACATAAACTACAGACGGTATTTAAGATTAGCCTTTTAAAGTCCCGGAATTTGGGAACCTACAATAGTGAAAGCTGGTTTCCCCTTGAGGGGCATGTCCCAACATCGCCACACAAGTATTTGTTCAGATTTCTGCACTATGTCCGAACGAAACAATTTCTTATGACCGCGGATTGGAACCCACAACGACTTGAACAAAACTTTTAACTACTGAGCTACGGAGGAGGTTTTATAACCTAAAAAGAGGAGGGAGTCTACTTCTGTCATAAATAAATGCTTTTAAACATCGCAAGTAGGAGAGCTGTCAAAACAATTAAGTATTTCTGTTTTCTTTTATCAAAGCTCTTATAATATTACGCTCTGTAAAATAGACTTTCATGTTATACTGAAGAATTCATTAAAATCAGGCCAGTAATTCTTGATATAGTCGCGTTTAAACAAACACACTCACTTCTATTCGTAACATTAGTATTGATTATTTTCGTTTAATTAGACTACGGTACTCTGTCGCATTGTTACCATTCTACAGTGACGTAATCATACGGCATACAAAGTCCACTTCAGTAAGCCAAATATGATATTACTCATTATTATCGTGTGATACGTTCTTATTAAGTAGGTAGATAACGTTATATTTAGCTTGCTTTGGTACTTCTTCGGTTGTGTCACAAAATGCTAATTAATTAAATTTGTCGAGCAAAATGGTAAGCGTCTTGATCCCTAAATTACGTAGTTTTTCAAATAAAATTATTAATTGGATTTATTTATTAACTTTAAGCAACATATTTAGCAATTAACAATACTAGCGTCTGCTTGTTTTGGTATATATTCAATATTGTTATTAATTTAAATACATATGTTTGTTATTTTTACCACAGGAGAAAACCGCGAGGAATCTTTCGCGTCGTAACGGACGCAACAGAAAAACCAATCACACCTTTTCAAATGTAGTGTTTACAATTAATAGGTAAATATAGGAAATGCTGCCGATGTTATTTATATTGTGAAATTATGATATACCGGTACAGTTTCTTCCACATCTGAAATAAAGAAACAATAATTCACCCAAACGTTTTCAACATACATTTTAGGTTCCTGCTGTAAGTCACAAATAGGGTGTATTTTGCAATAAAAAGTAATTAACATATTACAGTCATTAATTCTCACAATATTGTGTAAAGGCTAATTCTAATTTCTTATATAAACTCAAAATTTGGTAATATAAATAAAACCTTAAACATTTTAAATTGTAGCAAAAATTCAGTCTGCGAAGAAGAGGACACGATGGCAGTCGTGACAGTGGAACAAGGTATGGTGGAAGGTGTCTTTTGTAATATCGATGAAACAAATTACTACGCCTTCAAAGGTATTCCATACGCAAAGCCACCGATTGGAAAGTTGAGATTCAAGGTGGGTGAACTATTAATGTAAATAATTAATAGATAGAACATTATACTTTAGTATTAGAGTAAAATGTGGAAATTCATTTTTGTAACTGCTTCGCAAATATATTTTGTATACAAGCTAGGCGGATTTGTCTCATATTTTTTAACCATTAAATAAAGATAATGTTTTATTTTACTTTTAATTAACTTCAATCGTTTTCGGTGAATATCTTACTCTATTACAAATATTTATTTTTAATTGATCAAGGTACTTGAAATGATCCAAATGTTATTCCTATTCATCTACTTATAGGCCCCAGAGCCGCCGGAGCCTTGGGAAGGAATTCATAATGCTTCAGAGCACGGACCCGTTTGCCCACAATACAACGATCGCCTGAACAAAATAGAACCAGGCAGCGAGGACTGTTTATATCTCAATGTATACACTCGGAAACTCAAAACCAATAGTCCCTGTCCGGTTCTTGTGTGGATCCATGGCGGAGGTTTCTACACAGGATCGGGGAATTCAGACTATTTTGGTCCAGAATTTTTTATGGAACACGATGTCGTTTTGGTGACTATGAATTACCGTTTAGGAGTGTTTGGTTTTCTCTGTCTCGGTAACGAAGAGGTCCCCGGTAACGCAGGACTTAAAGATCAAGTAGCGGCGTTGAGGTGGGTTAAAAGAAACATACGCTCGTTCGGAGGAGATCCCGACAACATAACTATATTTGGATGCAGCGCTGGAGGTGCTTCGACGTCCTATCACATGATTTCGGATATGAGCGCGGGTCTCTTCAATAAAGCCATTTGTCAAAGCGGCGTATGTCTAAACGAATGGAGTTATAATTTGCATGCTCGCGAAAGGGCGCTACAGTTAGGCAAAGTACTCGGTAAGACAACGGACGATGTAAATGAACTATTGGACTTTTTAAGGGATGTCCCCGCGGAGTTGCTGGTTGATGTCAAATTACCAGAAGTTGAGACTGAATATCCAGACATATGTGACTCTCTTACCTTCGCACCGGTAGTTGAAGATCCACACATAAGAGGAGAGAAATTTATCAGCGAACCTCCGCCAAATTTGGTTAAAAAGGGACACATAGCTAAAATACCATTAATGTTAGGATATACCTCTGCAGACGGTATAGAAATATGTCGCAGTTTTCCAAAATCTCTATCATTCTTTTCAAAGACGGGAGCAGTTGTACCTAGGGAGATAAAATTAAAATTGCACAAGAAGCACTTGAAAGAAATGGACGAAAAGATTCGTTTAAAATACTTCGGTAGTAAAACACTTACAGAGGATATGCTCGAACAAATGGTACACTTAGAAACTCACATTATTTTTGCATATAACACAAGAAGGTTCGCGCGATATCATTTCGAAAACTCGGCCATGCCAATTTATTATTACAAATTTATGGCTGAAACCGAAAGGAATTATGTTAAGAAAAAGTACAACATGGAAAGGATACCTGGAGTGTGTCACGGAGATGACCAAAATTATCTATTTAATGTAAAATGTATAGATATACCTTTAACTGAAGATTCGAATACTGTCATAAAACAAATTGTTCAACTCTGGACAAATTTTGCATGTTATGGGTAAGAATTGGAACTAATTAATTAGTTTGATACTTATGTAAATTAAACAAGTAAGAACATGTGACCTAATCTATCGTGTATGCCAATTTAACTTTGTAATTTTATCTCTGAAAGTTTTTTTTATTATTTTTTAATTGCAGAAACCCCACCAAAAATTGCAGAGATGTAGAATGGAAACCGTTTAAAGAGGACGAGAAATACTGCTTTTTGATTGATAGAGAATCTAGTTGTGCCCTCAACGTTGAAGAAGAACACATGATGTTTTGGGACGAAATATACGGTGAAGAGCATGTAAAAGTTGAGGCGTAATAAGTTTTTCGTTCTATAATAAAATGGAAGTACTTATTTTGAAACATTCAATGATCCTTTTGTAAATTAAATTCTAAACATAGACTAAATAAATATAGAACAGCCGTAAAGTGCAGTCGCGTTTCGGTTTCCGTCTATGGAGTATCCAATTTGTACTGAATGTCTAATGCCAAATTAGATTGAATCTTGTTTAGATGTTATGTGTCTGGTTTATATTCCTTCCATATAGTAAGCCCTATGCTAGTATGTTATCCTCAGTTATAAAAATGTTATTACAACTGAGGTTAAAAGTAGCTTCAGTATATTTACTAAGTAGAGGCAATAGTTAATTATAATATTCTCCAAATCCAAAAAAAAAGGTGATATATCCTGCGATATGGCTTTAACTTTCTTGCATCCAATACTTTTTGGGGATACTCTTAAATTGTTGGTACTATCTAGGTAAAAGTTGTATTGGATATCAATTAAAACAAATTCATTTAGGAATGATACTTATTTTTTAATAAGAAATTATTTTACACACATTTGCTTATAGTTCTGGCCTTTAGTTTAATGCATAGTCATTTAAAATCACCATAACAGCTAGTCCAATCGTGAATTTATTTGATAATTTATAACTCATCAATACAGATGATGATACCGAGGTGTCATTAGGAAATTGTAAGTATAATTAAAGTTAATACTTTTATTACTTGGCCCTACTGCCAATGACAGTAACCTATCTACAAGCGAGGACTATATAGCTGTGTGTTTTATACAAAAACCCTTACTTAACTTAAAAATTATTCCATATTTTTATTCACGAGACAATGAAACATCACACAGAATGTAAAAATTAGTACAAACAAATGAACCATCACCAAAACATTAGGAGTTTATGTATTTGGTGCTACCCCAATCAATACTATTATGAAGTTACTTTGATACTGTAAGATATGTTAGAAATGCTTGAAAGCAATGAAATAAACTGAAGTACCAAATCAATTTAAATTTGATATATTCACATATCACGCATTGACCATAATTGGTGAACAATCTATTAATTTCCTGTATAAGGAAATTAGTTATATTTAGCGTAATGCTTCAGAGCAAATCTCGTTTTTATGTTTTGCAATACTAATAAAATATATGTATTTCAAAGGTTTACAGTAGCTTTCTTACCGTCGTTCTTAATAGTAACACATACTTAAATTAGTAACGCCCTGCGCGTGAGTTGCGCGGTGGCTCACGACGGCCTCTTTCCCTAGAACGCGAACGGCGACGACGTTCTCGAGAACGGGAACGGGAACGCTTTCCGCCCTTACGACGTGCATACAAATACCTGAAACACCAACACAATAGTTTAAAGAAGAGAAAAGGCACCTTTGAAAAGCTAGAAGACAAGAACTTTTACAGAACAATATAGGAAAAAGTAACCAAAAACGATCCACAGGTGCCTTATAAAGCTATAGTATCTTTATTATTATGAAACAATATTTATGAAGAACTAACCGCCTTAGTTCCCTGGAGATTGGTTTAAGATGCATGAAATTGCAAAAACCACTACGGGTACACTCTCCCATTTCATACTGGCGACAGCAAGCTTCTCTGAAGTCTGTAACAGGAGACAACTCAGCATACACTGGTCGGCCACCAAACCACCGATTGTTGAGGTCATTGACAGCTTTTTCAGCATCCTCTTCTCGCCGAAACTGAATAAAATATTAGTATGTTATATTAACTGAATGGGAAAGCGCGGGGCACCCCCCCCCCCCCCCCCCCCAAAAAAATATTATATGTTATATTACAATATATATTTTATCAATATAATAAATTATTGTTAAAGCAAATTACCTTAATGTAAACATTTCCAACCAAATGATCACCGAGATTGTCACAAACATTCATTTCCTCAATCTCCCCATACTTATCTTCACATTCAACAAAGACGTCTTCGAAGAAGTTGTCATAATGCTCCTGCATTTCTTCATCTGAGACATTAGCTACCACCACTGAAAGTATATGATAAAAGAATTGGAAACCCATGAAATATGAACTCCTCATAGAAAAAAATAAGTATTTCGGGTTTAAACTATAGCTGAAATGTTTGAATTTTATATATATTAATAAGAGAATTTCTTACAATGGCTTCCATCTGCAGACTTGGCTGAATTTTGTGGATTTACATAAAGATTCTGCAGGAGTACAGTCTGAGAGAATGTCGGCTTGTTGTGAATTCTAGAACATCTGTCACCATGTCTACATGCTCCGATTTTGAAATAAAAAGAACAGTTAACCCTAAAAACAAAATACAAGATAACATAACCTATACACTGAAAATTTTACCATTAATAATATACTGCAATGCAATCTAGTTTGACCGATGATTTAATTGTGCATATCGTAAAAGGTAAAGGCGAAGCATTTACATTACAAGTTATTACTTACTTGTCCTTTTCTGTACCGAAAATAGCAGCCAAATACTCCGCCATTCTTGTTTAATTCTCTTACTTTTATATAGTTAAACACACATAGTTCGCACAACCGGTGAATACAGATATTTATTGCATTCCTTATTTAAATAAAGTATTCACTAATAATTACAAAACTTTAGATGTTTTAATATCTGAAGAAAGCAGTAATGGTACAGACTACAGTATATAACAATGTATTACCAGAATACAGACGTACAGTAGAAAAGCCACAGACAAAAACTTAGATACATTTTAAAAATCGTTGTTATTTTACTGTATGAAAAAGGAAATAATTCAACGGCTTGAAGTAGACTCCTATCATATTATTATATATAAGACATCGTATTTGGTAGGATTGTCGCAGAATTCTTGTCCACATTATGGTATCATTATAACTATACTAAGTCTGTGGTTTTGATGGTAGTTTGGTAGTTTTTTTATCTTATCGTGATTTTATCGTACTGTTGTACTAGGATCACTTATTTTAATCTAGCTTCATTGATAAATGGTCATTCAGTGTGTAATCCCATAGGAGTTCAGTTGGTAGCAAAGTTTTGTCACGAGTTCAAAACTAATAATTAGGTTAATCCGAGTACATACAGTACAAGACAGAAGTGTTCAGTGACGGGTATCTCCAGTAGGTCTACGTCTGTGCAGTGTACTACCAACTTTTTAAAATCCAACATGTAATATTTTGTTCATCGTAATAATTGGTTATGTGTAATGTGATATTTAAATAATTCTCGATTTTAATACATGGTCTTTTATACATTAAATAGTATAATATACTTTTTAGCATTTACTGCCTATAGTAACCTACAGTTTACGTGGGAGGTTCGGTAACCAGAATACAGCTAAAACCTACAGATTTTTTGCACAAGTGTAATCGGTGTAATAATTTTAAACGGTGATTGGACAGACTTCTAAATGACTGGTTATAATTTATATTCTTATTCAAAGAACTTTTCTTTAGAAAAATAATTGAATATATAATTTCGAAAGAGTCAAAATGGCTTATAATTCGTCGCTTGACCAATTTTGCGGCTCAAAGTTTTGGGTAAGTACCTTCTCAACTTCTCATTCTAATTAAGAGTTTGTGACTTATGTTTTAATATTACAGATTTATATAAAAAATAGTAAAAACATGAAAATTATGTAATTTAATTACTTAGTGTCACTAATTACTATTTTATTTATAGTAATAACTGAAAGTAAAAATCATTAAATAGAATCATTACTTAATGACCATGACCTGAAGGCATTTTCTATTTAACATCTTGACTTTGAATGAAACCTGTTTGAAAAGATTAGGCTTCTATATTGGTACCTACCTTAATTTTAAAGTACTTAAATGTGTAGATATATATTTCGTTTTTAAAATAGACAAAATTATTCTCTATTCTGTTAATTATAGATCATGTTTAAATGTACCTATATTATTTTTTTTTTAACTATTAAAATATTCAGTGCTTTTCTTATTTTATATGTATATTGACTTAGTTTAAGATAAAACTGGATTCTTTATGCATAATTTTATTTTTAGGATGACAATTTAACATGGTACACGGAAACCCCAGATCTTACACCATGTTTTGAAAAAACCGTCCTAATATGGATCCCCTGTGGATTTCTATGGGTTGCTGCCTTATTAGATACATACTATATTTTAAATAGCAAGGAACATAACATTCCTTGGAACATACTAAATATTAGTAAACTGATAACCACCATTTTATTAATTGTACTCAAATTTGTGGACCTTGGGGTAACTGTGCATAAGGCCTCAAAAGAAGAAGAAGATGTGTTTAATGTGGATTACTATGGACCAATTGTCAAAATACTCACATTTGTAAGTGATTTGTTCTAATTGGATATATTTAACTATAATAACGAATGATAGAAATATAATGTATGTTAGAGACATACAAAATTGTAGTAATATGTACACCGAGTTAGGCATAAGTTAAAAACACCATTTAGCTTGTTTCACCCATAGGTTGTAGTCACAATTTACAGTAACCTGCCTATATTAGAGAAATGTACTGTATCAATTACAAAAAGTATATTGTAATACATAATAATTCTTGTTCCGTTAATTAATAAAAAAGCTAGATGATTTTTTTACATTATTGGAATATTGGAGCTTTATTTTGTAGACTTGTATATTTAAAAGGACAGAAATTTATAGTAATCAATTTTTTGTATCATAACGTTTTTACCTTTTGTATAGGTTGAAAAAATAAAAATATTATGATTAAAAAAATAAATCTATAAAATAAAAGCCATTTTGATTGAGATGTCTTAAGATCTCAATGTAGGGCAGGTTTATTATTATTTTCAATTAGATCTTGAGAGATTGTAGACCTACCTACCTGTATAAAGCCTAATATGATGGTTCCGTTATCAATTCGCAAGTCATCAATAAATAGATAACCTCGGTATTTCTTATACGTTAATCGTGATTTTAGAATGTCACAGTGATACGATTGCGTGTAATCAAAACGATCGATTAAAAAGATAATATTTTAATACCAGCTATAGGCTGCTTGAAAAAGTAATCACTGTTGCAAGACAAATTGGCCAAAAATTACATAACCGTTATTCGAAAAATCCCACATTTGAGGATATTATATATTGGCATTATTTTCAGGCTTTGGCGGCGACATTGTTGTACTATAATAGAAAATGTGGGATGCGGGCGTCCGGTGTGATGTTCTTCTTCTGGCTCTTATTAATCTTAGCTGGGATACCTCAGCTTAGAACTGAAATCACGAATCACTATGATTTAGCAGACGACGAAAATGTACAATACAATTTCGTCAGTTACATGATATATTACCCAATGATTCTGTTGATGTTTGTACTTAATTGTTTTGCTGACCTTCCTCCAAGAGATTCGCCATACAAATATGAGAAGGTAAAAAATATAATTTTTGGATAACATAAAGTCTATTTGTGATATCCGGGTATAATCATTCAAAAAAATTGTTTGTACAAACAGAATCAATGTCCAGAAGCCTCCTCCGGTGTTCCGAGCCGCCTCACCTTTAGTTGGTTCGACCCACTGGCTCTTACAGGGTTCCGGAGAAGTTTGGTCGAGAGCGATCTCTGGGCACTGAATCCGCAAGATTCTTCCAAGGAAATCGTCCCTCGCTTCGAGAAATTTTGGCAGCGAGCCTTAAAGAAGCGCGATGCGTGAGTGTTATTTAACGTAATAAGTCGTCAATACAGAACCGCTATTGAGTTTTTTCTTTTACAAGGCCATTAACAAATCTCGAAGGAAAGATAAAGTGGATTCTCGCGGAGCAAACGCGATACCGATGTCTGGCCTTGATAACTTTTTGTCGTATCTACAGGATAAAGTTACTTATATATTATTTTTTACCTATGAGCTAAATAAACATTATGTCATAGGGCAACCGGCGCAAAGGCGACGTACAGTAAAACATCGGCCAGCGTGAATTTCAAACCAGAGAGCGAAAGAAAGCCCGCTTCTATCTTGCCGGCCCTCTGCTTGGCGTTCGGCAGTCAATTTCTTTTCGGTGCATTTCTTAAGCTGCTCAACGACGTACTCATGTTCCTTTCGCCCATGTTGTTGTCGTAAGTCTTCGTATCAATTTATACATGCTGCTGCTCGACTTGACCAGTACTCACCTTTTTGTTCGTTTGCAGACTCTTAATAAAATTTGTGGAGAGCAACGAACCCATATGGAGAGGTTATCTTTATGCCGTTGCACTATTAGCGTGTGCCATAGCACAAACGATGTTCTTGGGTCATTACTTTACGCGAATGTACCTAGTCGGCATGAGAATCAGGACAGCGCTGACAAACGCGGTGTATCGAAAGTCTCTACGGATATCGAATGCAGCCAAAAAAGACTCGACCGTGGGTGAGATTGTCAATCTCATGTCGGTAGATGCACAAAGGTAATTAATACAAGCAATACATGCATACTCTTAAGTCTTAGGCCACAGAATTTCGACGTTGTGTTTTACTGGTTATTCTTATTTATAGATTTAGTTGTGCATATTAAATCTTCATACAATATTTCTCCTACCAATACAAATACGACTGACCCCGAACAGGTAATCTTTCTACACATTAAGTGTCAACTTAAGTTTGCTGATAAAAATATGCTTAGTCATAATGACGTCACGACGGAACTATATCACGGAGGCATCTAAAGAATTAGGCTCGATGATTTGCACGAAATGTACATAATTAAAGGATGTACTTCAATAAAGTACTTATATGTTGCTATCATAATCTTTTATGGAAGGGCTTAGACGTGGGAACGCGACAGTAGCCGATTTTTTATGATTGCATAATTGGAATCCGTTTTAATCTATTAATGTCCCACACCTGGGCACAGATAGGTTTTTAACTGCTTCTGTGGGTTTAAAAGTCTACCACTAAATTAGTGGTGATATCCGGGACTGCTAACATATTTTCCGAGTCACGAGGGTTATATCACCTCTTCCAAACTACAGGGGATAAAACAATCTTAGAATACATCCAAATATCTAAATAACTTTTCGCCGAACCCAAAATCTTTATCCGGGACCTCGTGATCCGCGAGACCTAACCACAAGACCAACGAGGCAGCATTAATTTCGGAGTATCGATTTAACTTGATCTCATAAACTGTAGATAGTGTCATATTTTACAACACGTTCAATTAACGAGCAATTGAAATGTAATCAGTATGGAATTCAAGAGTTAATTGTTGGGGACATGTATAGTTCAAGAGTATTAAATCTACTTCCGTAAATGCTATGTTTGTGATCCCATAACGAGAGTTATAAAACAGGCTATAACAACGACTTTAACAAATGAAACGCGAAAAACACATTAGTAGTAATAGGTATAGTTTAAGCGAGAGTCACAATATGTTAAATCAATCTTTTTAAACCTATTGAAACACGATTATATGAGGTTGCTAGAGACAGAGTGGCCTAACTGCAATTTATGACTTGTTATTTATATATTTATTTTATAAATATGTTAATTTAAAAAAAAACAGTGAAATTGGTAACATAATTCTTACACCAAAAATAGTTAAATCCATTTTCGCCTAAGTTTGTGCTTTTTATTTTCCTCCTTATTGAAAATAATGTTTTTTGTTATTAGGCCACTGTGCCCATGGCAGCCTCATATTAAAGTGCATTTAAACTACGACCCGACGTTCCCGTCCGTCCGACTGTCCTTCGTGACCACTGTATAGTTCGAGTTTAAACCTGCTTAAAACGTTTTATCACATACGCGTTTTAATAATGATATATTTTCTAGATTCCTGGACTTGATGGCTTACTTGAATATGGTGTGGTCTGCTCCGCTACAAATAACACTCGCATTGTATTTCCTCTGGCGTATCCTTGGCCCTTCAGTTTTGGCCGGGCTAGCTGTTATGATAGTACTTATACCAGTCAATGGATTAATCGCCAGTCGAGTCAAGAATTTGCAAATCAGACAGATGAAGTACAAAGATGAAAGAGTGAAACTCATGAATGAAATTCTCAACGGGATCAAGGTGAGATTTATTCCCTGGCTTCTTATCTAATATGAAGTATTTCGACGAAATTAGTTCCCATTAGCATGGATTAATAGAGGGATTTTAGTATAGATCAATACCGCCGCGTATTATGTTACTTAAAAAAAATAGTCCTCAGTAATGACCTAGGTCACACAACATTTAGCATACACGTCCTCATATTAAAGAAGCCTTATCTTACACTGAAATGTTTGTTAAGGCTTGCGATCTATTATCTTATAAGCTTTTGTAAAAAATATTTAATGTTTTTGTAGTAGGTAGTGCCTTTCTTTACATAAGTCAAGCACCGGGCTCGTTGGTGTAATGGTAGCAATGTATGGTTAATAATCAACGAGTCGTGGGTTCGATCCCCACTGGGCCAACATGTTTTACATTTTTCTGATACATGTTGGAATTCGTCTGGAAATCTGGATTAAATGCGTGGTAGGAATATACAAATTCCGTCCAGATCACGAACCACCGTCCACAAATGAAAAAGCTACGAATCTTAATCGCGTTTAGGTTCAGTCTCTGGGTGTCCGAATATCCAAAGCCAAAATAGGTCGACATCGCCTCTTGTTTAGATAAGCTTGAGTTATATTTCCTACCATCCCCCACATGCTCGTCTGTCTCCCTCTATCATTGAAAAAAAAAACAAATTACATGTATAGACATAACTACGTAGTTAATCTGGTTTTTGTGCTCTGTCCAACCGAAATATTCCGCCAAAAAGCGTTTGTAGTTGACATATAATATCTATTGTTTCTGTTATCACAATTTTCTTAAAACACAAACCAATGATATAAACGATAAATTAAGTCAATATTTATCACGTTTCGTTTTCCATACAAAGCAAGTACATACAACAGGAGACATTGGTGTGTAGCATATTGATGATATAGTTTCAAAGGTATTTCGTCAATATTTTATGTTAACTGTTTGTCGATTAGTCTAGGCCCATTGCATCATCGCAAGGGTACTTAATATCCGCAATATTCAAATATACAACTTTGTAACAGTTTAAAAGGTTTTTTACGATAGAGGAAGGCAAGAAAAGCATGGCGTTCACTTGATGGTAGTTAAAAATATACCAGCCCGTAGTAGGTACCTAAGTGAGATGCGTCGTCGACCTATTTTGGTTTTGGATATTCTGAAATCCACAGACTGAAACCGAAACGTGATAAAGCTTCACGGATTGTTCTTCTGTGGTCGGGTAGTTCGTGACCCGGACGGAATTTCCATATTTCTACCACCCATTTAATATCCATATTTCCAGACGCATTCCATCATTTTTCAGGAAAAATATAAATTAATTTAAAAAATGTTGGACCCAATAGAGGCCAACAAACAAAAAAAGCACTCGTCATAAAAACGCAGTAAAGGTGAACTATATTGGTTAAGTACCAACGTTTACTGAAAAAAATTATTAACTAAATAATATATGATGAAATTTATAAATGTTTTCCCGACTTAGTTCATTCTGCGTTTATTTGTAACTGAATTAACTCATTTATGTAAAGTGAGTTTTAAGATAAGAAAATGTTTATATGATTTTATTGCAACTGTTTGTTAAATATTGTGAGTTTAAGTGCACTAACCCTTTAGCAATTAGCCAACACAAATGTGAACTGTGTTTGTCTAGTAGTGCGTTTTATATCCCACTTCTGATCGTAAGTTCTGTTCCCATGCGTCCATTGAAAAATATTTATTTTTTTACACTTGGTAAGCATGCTTCATAAACGACTAAGGGGGTCCATGTCCCAGCTGTGGGAATTGTGGGCTTTATGACTATGCCACGATAGTGATCGGTATTATACTATACGATATAATTTATTTTAAAGAATTCTTGAATGAAAAAAAACACGTATTATGTAAATGTCAAGGTTAGGATAATTTAATCTGAATTTACAGTTAGATGAACGCGGATGAAGCAATACAACAAACAACATTTTTAATGTTTGTCTCGAAACGTTCATTTGTTTCTTAAATTTAGTTTCTTGAAAATGTTATCTTTATCGATTACTTTATCAAAACGAAGCGTTTAAAAAATTAATAGCTTTCCCGAAATTTCCTACCAAATAACAACGTTTTTGTATTGAAATTACGTATGCATAAAATTTACGTCAATGATTAGACACACGTTTAAACGTGTCTGGGGTTCAAATTCGGGAAAAATATTTCTATATAACAGGGCTCGGAAGTCTACTGCTTGAGAGTTAATATGATCTATCAATGAAACAAACAGAATTGTCAATACGGTTTTAACCATACAACAAAATAACTAATCAAAACTAGTCTGTGAATAAAATAGATCAGTCAAACAGCGCGTGAACTGTGTCTGCTTCCTTTGACGTACGCGTAAATAGGATATTGACACACATTTAAGAACAATTGATGTGTCTATAATCTTCCCTTCATGGTCGCTGTCTACCTATTTTGACTTTGGATTCGATGATTTACTAGTTAAAGACTTCGTTTCGGTTTCCGTCTGTGGATTTCCGAATATCCAAAGCCATACCCAAGTAGGTCGACATAGATACTATAAGCTGGGGTATTTATCAACCATAGAGTGAACCAAATGCTTATCTGACCTCCTCTGAAATTTTATTATCTGTCCTCCTCTATCGTTAAAAAAAGACTAACTATTATTAACTAAACTCAACTATTTTTTAGGTATTAAAAATGTACGCCTGGGAACCTAGTTTCGAGGACCAAGTTATCAAAATAAGAAACAAAGAGATGCACGTGCTAAAGCAAACCGCTTATCTCAATTCGGCTACGGCGTTTATCTGGTCCTGCGCACCTTTCCTGGTAAGTGAGCTTCGACTAACAAAATTATCATACACTTCACGTAATCTTAGTCTACGAATCGAAATATTACATTTAGATAAAGATATATTCTAACCTATATTTTAGAAAACTAAGATAAAGTATTATATAAGATACAGACTCAAGATAACGTCTAAGATCAAAAATCAACTCTAAAATTACACTTAAAATGTCTTAATAATGTTATCGTTGTTTATTTTAATAATCAATAAATCTTCGTGTTGTATTGCTTTAATCTATTGATTAGTAAATATTGATTTAATTGGTATCGCACAATCTAAGCTTATTATGACATTGATTTGCGTTATCTAAAGATGTACTTCGCGTGAACGAGAATCGTTAGTCGTATCGATAGACTTTATTATTGACAAATCCATACAAAGAAAGACCTACTTAAATAATTTTATATTACCGATATACAAAAAACTATACTTTGAAATGTATATAATCGTCTTGGGATTTGAAGAGCTTCTGATGATGTCATTCACTAATAATAGAGAGACGTCGAGAACTAATTCTTCATTACGACGGCCGAACAGCCCGAAATCCTAAGCTTTGCATAGTATCGCAAAAGCTATATACATTTTCTATAGTTCTCGTAACATCAATAAAGGTACTTGCAGTTGGGTGTTTTAAACCTTACTGAAAATAATCCTATTTCAATAGATACTAGAATTACAGTAGATTTCAGTTCTTCTTACCACAAAAGTGAAGTTTCATCGTTACTAACTAATTGTGTGTGTGAGTCACCAGTAGTACCGGGTGTGGTTACGCTTTGTATAGTTTCATCGAGTATTTTGATAGAGCTACAATTTCAACAATATGTTACCAGTTAGCCTTGACATTGATGGCTTTGATGAAGGCCGCTGGCTATGTGGATACTTAACAATCGATGTCTATCATTATTATAATGTTTATTATTATTCTGACCTGAAAGAGACAATAAAATGCAATTTAGCATCTCTAACGCGCGATAAACACTTTATTTTATCCATATTTGAAAGTAAATGATACCATAATACTATTAAGGAAAACCAGTTTCTAACCAAAAAATATTGCGGTCTTTGAGTCATAGACGCGAGCATAAGAAACATCTTCAAATTAAATTCAAACTGGTTCATTTACATAAAAATCTTTACCGGTTTAAAACGCGAAATATATTAGTTAAACTAATCTTAAAATATTATTAATTACTTTGAAATAAGCTTAATTAATATATTTCGCGTTTTAAACCGTTGAAGTGTTTTATTAAATGTGTATTACTCGCGAGAAATACAGTCTATATTTGGTTCATTTCTCAATACACAGAATTATAGCAATTAACCACCAATAAAGGGTTCAAACACTTTATATGTTAATCTACTTTCACTTGTAAGTTATTTAATTTTACATTTGTTATGTTAACTATAATTGTTGTTTCAAGGTGACCTTGTTAACTTTTTTCACGTATGTAATGAGCGACCCTGAAAATCATGTTTTGACCCCCACGAGGGTGTTTGTGTCGATGTCTCTATTTTTCACCATGAACTTGCCAATTGGCTTGCTGCCTCTCGTCGTGGTATCCGTCTTGGAGGTACAAATTACAAACTCGGACCTTATAAGGAAGAGCTATATATAAAGGCTGCATCATTCACGCATCCAAAATGTATCACTAATTTACTACGCTAAATATTTAAAAAACACTAGTTCTATATAATATGAATTAAAAAAAAAATCCAATTCATAAATGATCTTTACTTTTGGGTAAAGTAATTAAGTCTATTCTTTCTCAATATGTTAGGGTTTCATTCTGAATGTATAGAGGTATAAACAGTGATACATTTTGCAAATAATATTACATTCCACAAATATATTCTGACGGGCTGGACCACTAAAGCTCTCAGGTTGTGGTACTTCAAGAGCATGCTAACATTTAGTAAGAGTTTGCGATGTATCTAAACGATAATAGCATTCAGGCAGGTTTTACCTTAGTTGCTATTTATGTAACGAAGGTGAATTTACATAAAAACGACCTTCCGTTTAATCTTTTAAGGATTCTAGAATTTTTCGCATATCAGTTTCATATTTCAGATACAATATACAACATTGCGTTCAAACTTACTAAAACGTAGGGGATACAACGTAAACTATATTATATTCTGGCATGATAGGCTGACTGATTAGTATATATTTCTCTATCTGTAATGAACAATTGGCTATCATTTAATTACAAACTGCTATTAAATTGCACAGATCTTCAATTGTATAACTTTAACAGTAATAGTCTCTTTTGTAAATATAATTTCAGTTGTATTTTCTCAGTTTTGAGTGCTAAAAGGGCATTTTGAATTAAGGATTTAATAGCAGTAATCCCTAACTTATATTAAGCTTTTATTAACCAATACGGTGCCTCAGGTATCACTGATGTCATTCGGGTGCTTTGTTCTGGTAAACGAGACTGAAGTATTGGATTCTAAGAGAGCTTTTGTTGCTCTGGCACTTTTCAACATTCTACGTTTTCCTCTATCCATGCTGCCTAACGTTATATCGAATGTGGTGCAGGTAAGTTATGAATTATTTCACAATCATTCAATTTGATTCCTTCGATTAATGCAATGGTGTTTGGGACTTCATTACTGATAGCATGGTTTATTTTACACGTATAGGATAGATATATAATATGTGTACTGTTTTGTAGACCGCCGTCGGTATTAAGAGACTAAATAAATTCATGAATGCGGAAGAGTTAGATCAAGAGTCGGTGGAACACGATCCTAAAGACCGTAAGTAGATACAAATTTGTCTATTGGACGTATGGATTGTTATTACTAGTAGACGACGTGTTATAGCGATAACCCTTATCGCATAAAATTAAACTATTTGAAGCGAATGAAAATAGTTTTACTAATAAATTCATTACAGTGAGTAAAATAAGTAATGTTAATTTTCCAGCTAATCCACTGTCAATAGAAAATGGGCACTTTTCGTGGGGCGACGCGTCAGAACCAATATTGAAGAACATTAACTTACAAGTGCCCCGAGGTCACTTAGTGGCTGTGGTGGGAGCTGTGGGATGTGGAAAGAGTTCACTGCTTTCCGCTCTATTGGGTGAAATGAACAAAATATCTGGCAGGATTAATACTTATGGTAAGATAGTCGAAGATAAATATTTGACATATCCCTTATCGCAACGAAGCAGAAGCAGATATAGATCAAATATCCAAAGCGAAAATAGGTCGATAGCGCATCTTGCTTAGATGTTATATAGCTGGGGTATTTCACCTCCCATCCTCTTCTGTATTAAAAAAAACAACAAAGAATTGATCTTGTTGTGAATTTGTACAATACAATATTAAAATGTTTTTTTTTTTAATTTAAATTACCTAAACCATTTAAATAAAACACTTCAACGGTTTAAAGCTCGATATATTAGTTAAACTTATTTGAAAATGATTTTTAACTTCGGCCCGACGTTTTTCAAGTAAGTTTAACTAATATATCGCGTTTTAAACCGTTAAAGTGTTTTATTTAAATGTGTACTACTCGCGTAAACTATAGACAGTATTTCCCTTAATCATTGCAACTATGACATTTTACTAAAGTACAAAGTAAAAATGTACACTAGCTTTTATCAGTGTTTAGATATATTGAGCGCAAACCCTATTGTTTATCAATGTCATCTATTCAAGGCTTTTTTTAAATAGATAAAGTGTATTGCATGATCTTTCTGAAAGTGGTGCAATAATTGACAAATGCTTGTAATATTGCTGTTTTTGACAAAGATATGAGTACACATAAATGCCTTTCAGTGCTTTCAAAATGTTATTCAATGCGGGTTATCAATTTTGAGATTTATTTAATAACAAGACTCCCTGGCAGTAATATGAATTGCTCCTTACTTCCTTAGGTTAATAAATTCACAAAAATGTTTTAGTTTTTAAGACATTTTACAGAGAATAAAGTATATTTTATTTTCATAATTTTCATTTATTTGTAATTCAGGTTCAGTTGCATACGTCCCGCAACAGGCGTGGATCCAGAATGCCACTTTACAGGACAACATCTTGTTCGGCAAATCCCTGGACAAGAGCAAATACAACAACGTCATCAACATGTGTGCTCTAAAGCCCGATTTCGATATGCTCCCAGGAGGTGACCAGACGGAGATTGGTGAAAAAGGTGCTTAAACTTTTTTCACAAACTTATGGCATATTTACACTGCATAATACTTATGGCATAGTTACGCAGCCGACACTTGGAAAGTGTGTGAATTTAAAACACTCTAATATGCTAGTCCAAATTGCATTGCATTGCATCTATAGCTCATAAAGCTTGGAAAAAATATTTTTCAAGCTGTGAGCTAATAATGGTGTCTTTCAAAATTGAGATTGATAAGCTCGTTAGTGTAAGGGTAACATGGCTAAAAATCAATTGGTCATGAATTCGAACCAACGGACCCAATATTTTTCTAATCGATTCCACTAGAAAAATATATTCTATCCGATTCGACTTCATTTGGATAATAAATGGTTGGTATGAATATCTAAATTTTGTCCGCTCACCTTAAAAACATGAAAAAGCCATGAAGTTTAATCGCGTCACGGTTTTAGTCTCTGTATTTCTGGATATCCACAGCAATAGGTCGAAGCACATCTTATTTAACGTTATATGGCTATACCTACAAGTGATTTCACGCTTGTCTGTCCTCTATGTTCGTCTTGTTTTGTTAAGGAATCTGATAAAACTGTTAAAAGAATAGGCAATATGTCACATGAAAAATAAATGTAACTATTAAGGTAACTAAGTATATCTTGTCGTTTCAGGTATCAATTTGTCGGGAGGTCAAAAGCAACGAGTGTCGCTTGCGCGCGCAGTATATTGCGACGCGGATAACTACTTCTTAGATGACCCTCTCAGTGCGGTAGACTCGCATGTTGGGAAACACATCTTCGACAAGGTATGACGAAATAATATATGCCCCATCTTATATCTTTATTTCTATTGAAGTTTGGGCTGTGACGGGCTCCTTGGTCTTATGGAAGCAATGGATGGCTACCAACCAACGGGTCGAGGATTCCAACCCCACTGGGTCCAATATTTCTAATAAAAATATCGTTTTTCTGAAACATGATACAGACTTCGTCTGAAAAACTGCTTACTAAATGGTTAGTAGGAATATCGAAATCCACTAACCTCTGTCCACAGATGAAAAAGCAGTTCAATCGCATGTCGGCTTCGGTCTGTGGAATTCCGAATATACAAACTCAAAAGAGATAGACAGAGCATCTAGTTTAGATGTTACATGTCTAAATTGGAGTATTGCACCTTTCATCAAGTGAATTTAACTTTTGTCTGTCCTCATATAAAAGATAAGAATACTTATAACGCAAAAGTCAATTTACAAAGGGAAACGTCCTTATTTCATTTGAATATATCACGATGAATTGAAGGAAGAGATAATACGCTACGTATCTGACTTATTTAAATAAGATACAAGATAAGACTGACAAATAAGTGATTTTGACATCTCATAGTTAAAAGCCATTGTAAACACGGAATATGCCAAAGAGTTATGGAGTCGCGTTGTGCCGCCGAATAAGAGCTACAGTTATTTACTGATAAGAAAAAATATAATGATAATGATTTGTACAAATAATGTTAACCAATTTTTGCATTCTATCCAGTCATTGTCAATAGAAAAATGTAAAACTTGCATGATTGTCAAAATATATGGTGTGTGATAAAAAATAAGAAAGACAAATATAATATTAATTAAATCTTCGATGCTAATGCAACCTTGTTATTTCTGAACACTTACTTAATATACAACACATTTTCCATTTTTGTGTATGTATGGTTGTCCGGTTCAGCAGCTCAATGTTTAAACGGCTTTCCTAGCATTGCCATAAGTGGGAAATTGGAATCCGGGGAGACGATAATTGTTAACTAATCATTTTAATCGAATAGGGACCAGAAGTTTGATCAACTACTCACCTGTAAATAAAATAGTTGGTAAAATATGGTGTCTGACCTTCTAATTGTTTAGGTTATCGGTCCAAATGGATTGTTGCAACACAAGACTCGCGTATGGGTTACCCATCAGATGTCTTATCTCGCCCAAACTGACCTAGTGGTGGTGTTACGTGACGGCGAAGTATCAGAAGCGGGGACCTACCAACAATTATTGGAAAAGAAGGGCGCGTTCGCTGAGTTCCTTATCAATCACTTGAGTGATGCTGAACGAACTTCTCCTGAAGGTATTGATGAACTTTGTACCTAAGAAGTAGCTTGACTTATTTATAGTTTACAAAATCTGTCCTTAATTAGCAATTTTTGAAGACTTCCTTCTTTTGTGTGACTTGTACTTTTCTGTTTAAAGAAAAATAAGTTATATAACTTAACACAACTCTTTGACTCTCGTTACGCTATTATTTTCTCATGTTCCTTTTAACCTCAGAAGGTTTATTTTAATTCTTCACAATATGGAAATATTGAATAACAATTATATTTCACAGAACTGGACGAAATGAAACAGGACTTGGAAAGCAAATTGGGTTCAGAATTCCAGAACAAGTTACAGAGAGCGCGCTCATTGTCTGAGAGTGCCTCAGAATCGGAGGTAGCAGCTGGAGGTATAGTAATAATATTACTACGCTTTAATTGCAGTGTAATATAAACGTAATCGCCATACTACAAGTTGGACTAAGGGTATCGTGGAACTCATAATACACAAATTTTACATTGTAAACTTTTCTTAGTGTTCTTACTTTCTAGTGACCTTATTCAATCCTAAAAAAGGTATGATCTCAACATCTATATTGATCTATAGAAAACTTTTTTCACATCAAGTACCAAAGAGTAAAACACTCACTCTTAAAGAAACAGTTTTTTTTTGCGGGAGAATTATCTTTTTTTGTTTTACGCGCACCACAATAACCGCATAAAAGTCAACATGCTTTGTAGTATATAGATAGTATAGGAATAAAAACAATCATTATTGCTCTTGTTAAAATTATGCCTCAAGAGGAATGTTTAAATTATAATAATTTGACAGGTGACAGACGTGGCAGCGCGAAGAGACGAACACCAGAAGATAACGCTGAGGAACGAAAAGAAAAGAACAAACTTATCGAAGCTGAGAAAGCAGAAACTGGCAGTGTGAGCAATTATCTGTTTACTAGCTGTTTCATATACGTCGTCCGCGTATTATAGTTATTTTGGGCATCAAAAAATTGTTTTTCAAAACTCCTTATATTTATAAATCATAGCTATTACCGACGTCGTGCGCATCTCGTCGTTCTTCCAAGTTAATCTTAATAGATAAGCATGTAGTTTCGCATTTTTTAGAACGTTTTATGAGGATTTATTCTCTCTTCATACATATTTACTACATTTTTCACTGTCTCGCTTCAATCGGTCGCAGTGTAATGTATTATAGCCTACACCTTTCATCGATAAATGCTCCAACCACATTTTTTTTTTATTCGAACCAGTAGGTCTTGAGATTAGCGCGTTCAAACAGACTAAAACAAAAATTTCGGCTTTATAATATAGGCATTTATATATTTAAAGATACGTCGTCGGTTTTATATGTACATCTTTTTCTTGTGTTAATTTTTAATACAGGACTAATGTTTAAATTGTCTCGAACAGTAACGACGTTAAGTATATAATATGGATTTCTGTCTGCAGGTGAAATGGGCGGTATACAAACAGTACTTAACCAGCGTGGGGGTGATGGCATCTATAGTGACGTTCCTAATGAACATGGTGCTGCAACTATTCCAAGTCGGATCCAACTACTGGCTCGCGAAGTGGTCCAACGACACTCAAATGGTATGATTACTTAGACTGTACTCTCACCCGTATATGGAACACAATATAATCTATCTATCTGATGATTGAAACTGATTATATTTTTATCAGTCTTTGCTTCTTACAAAGGAATACAGACATAAACATTCAGTAACACTAAAATAACTGTAATATCATCAACTAATACATAACATAGGGGGGATCATTGGTGAATAGTAGCAATGTACGGCCAATGACCAACGGGTCGTTGCTTAGATCCCCACCGGGTCCAACGTCTCTCTAATTAATTTATAATTTTCCTGAAACATTGGTCTTCGTCTGGAAACCTGGATATTGAATGGGTGGTAGGAATATCAAAATTCCGTCCAGATCACCCACTATCGGTTTTAGTCTGTAGATTTTCGAATATCAAAAGCCAAAATAGGTATTTTACCTTCTCAATCATAAAGACAGATTTCCTTAATAATGAAATTAAATTATATAAATACTTTTCATAGTTGGTCAATGGAACAGTCGACAAGGCCAGAAGAGATATGTACCTTGGAGTGTATGGTGGGCTTGGTATTGGACAAGGTAAGTTCTCTTTAACACAATTACTAGGTCCTTTTTGTGTCCCTATAACAATAATGTGTTGGTTGTGTTGACATCCCTTTTTAAAGTTTATATATTGAATACATGGGACAAGAAGTAAAGATTTGCAGTGCTACATTTTAACATAAAATATACTTTAATACTACAAAAAAAAAACTTTGGGAAAGGTGAAATTAATCGCTACATAATGAATACATTGTTTACACTGTTTTCCAGACATACATATAGATCATATTTTTCTATGTACAAATAAATATTGCATGATTACTAACAGTATTTTTTAACGGTATAAACATGTCACTTGTGTGAAGTTACAAAGAATGGTAAATGCGAAGTGATATGTTTTATTCACTTACTGGGATAATATCGGCTGAACATTGTTTTAAATCATCACTCTTCTTATGTAACTAATCTGTTTCTTTTTATAACTTTAGTATATAAATGAAACCAAGTAACATTTCTTACTATGTTGTCATATTTCTTACCGGTTTCTTGAGGGGCTAATAAAAATGTATTCTGAAGATTGATCATCAAATATTATTTGAGTTTAAAAGGAGGTCTGCTTAATTATATCTTATTATTTAAATTTAAGAACTGGCTCGTATTTATGTTATTTAAAAATATTAAACAAAAGAATACATTGATGTGAATATTATGTTTTGGAAATAATAGTATAACTACATATAATATTATGATACAGTTTTAAATTTTTAAAAAGTGTTAATGCTAAAATAAAAATACCAGTCTAATCCAGTAGTCCAATTTACAAAAAGATAACTAGGATCCCGAGTCTGCTCATTCACGAGAACGTGTCTATAGGCTGTTAAGACTTCGTGTCGCGACAATTGTAAGCCAATGAAAATGGCAGAATTGGGACCCAGTGGTTAGATTCGGTTAGTGGACGACTCGGTTAGACGGTAGTGTGGGCCCTTGTTGTGCCAGTGATCTCGGTGTCGGTGTCGTCGCTGGCGCTGTACTTGGGCGCGCTGGTCGCGGCGCGCATCCTCCACGCGAAGCTGCTAACGGGAGTGTTGCGAGCGCCATCTATCGGGTTCTTCGACTGCACTCCCACCGGCCGGATCCTCAACCGCTTCAGCAAGGACGTCGATATCTTGGACAACACGCTGCCAATGACTCTCCGGGGCTGGACCGCCTGCTTCTTCTCGGTACGACGACAACAAGCGCACCTTGCACCTACGTTGAGTAGATCGTAATAATGCATGAAGTTTAAGAAATCGCAAGAATATTAGCACTACATACATCAAGAAATAACTACGACCGATGATTTATTTTCTATAATTATGTTACTTTTTTACAGATAGCACTTTTTGGGATCAGTTTATAAATGAGATGACTTTTTAGGTTATATTCCACGTAACACTGTTTTTTTCCTGTGACTGAGTATGTATATATATGTACTTTAAATTTTAACTTCACGTTATTGTAATGAAGACTTAAATGTGTCAATAACACTGATAATTGTGTTCGTATAGTATGTAGTGAATGTTTTTAAATTATTCTACACTGTCTTCTTACTGTTAAATCTATTGCTTTTCGTGCAATACTAATTTTTAGAGCATGCATTGTATAACGTAAACTTCGTTGTAGTAGATTCACGTAAGAACACTCACCTCAGTAGTAATCATCACGTAATAACGTAGATCCACTTCAATCTCGAGTAGACTAAAAATAAATAGTTTAAGTTGTAAAAAATGTATTCATTATAAAACTAGGGGATCGAAATGAATGTTAACAGACATGTTTAATTTGGACGTTTTTACAGCTATAGCTTCAGTAGTCGCCCAACTTTTGCTTCTATTGGGATGCTGGAGAGCAGCGAAGATCCTGCACGAGGGGTTAATACAGAATGTTTTAAAAGCTCCCTTGCAAACTTTTGAACGAACGCCCATCGGTCGTTTGCTATCTAGATTCGGTAAAGACGTAGACGTAGTAGACACCACACTACCGATGCAACTCTCCGATTGGTGGTTTTGTGCAGGCCAGGTAAATTGCCCTTTCATTGGCTCCTCAAACTGTGGGTTTCAACTTGTGACTATAGTTCGACTCGAAACACGTGTCTTGGCGGACACGGAGTATGGGATCATTACGTCATCGCTGGAGGGCAACGAATCTGCACAATATGTCCATCACCTGTTTGTAACTTTGTTTGTGTGTTTATATATGTATATTCATCATCAGTCAAATATAAACTGATCCCAAACCTCGCAATTTATATTAAAATATGTTATATGGGTTATGTTACATTTTATTATCTTGGGGTATGTTATATGTAAAGAACAACATCCACAGACATGATCATAGTGTATTTCGATATCAAAGACATCTCATATGGGTTGTATAGTTGTTTTGTGCTAAACATACATTTTATGGTTATCAAAGAAATGTTGGATGTGTTTTTGCAAAAGCTTTTTGGGTTTATTTTTTTTGGAAATGAACACTGATACACATCTAAAGCAATTTCTTTTTAAAATGTCTAGGTGCTGGGAACTCTTTTCGTGATAAGTTTTTCGACGCCGATTTTCATGGTCGTGATCTTGCCGATCGGAGTCATATACTATATCATACAGCGGTTCTACGTGGCTACATCTAGGCAGCTCAAGAGGCTGGAGTCGATATCCCGATCACCGATTTATTCACACTTCGGGGAGAGTATTACTGGTGCTACTACGATTCGGGCGTACGGCCTCGCGGACAGGTTAGTATTAATAACAATACAATTTCATAATCCTTAATATGACAATAATTTTTTATTCTAAAAAATATTTTAAAATCCTAAAAATATATTAGTTGCCGAGGCGTAGATGTTTAACGGTTCTGCGAATTCCGTAGGAACATAATAGTTTCAATTTTAAATCATGACTAAAGTCTATTAGTAAGTCGGACAGAAAGTCGCCTGGCTCATAACCATGAGTTTTTTGTGGTAGGGGACAGGACAGACAAACATGGGATTTACGCTGGTAGGTGAAATACTCCCGTGATATAACATCTATACAAGATGCGCCGTGGACCTTTTTTGTCTTTGGATATGCGGAAATCTACAGACTGAAACCGAAACGCGATTAAACTTGACGACTTTTGTTCGTGACCCGGACGGAATTATGATATTCCTACCACCTATTTACTCTCCAGACGAAATCAGATATGTTTTCGAAAAATTACAAATTGATTAGAAAAATGTTGGACCCCAAAACCCATTAATAAGCCATGTATCCTACCATGTCACCAACCCCATCGACTCGTCCACTACTTTCAACACAAAGATTTATTTATATACATTTGTCCGATATACAGGCAACATATATATGAATTTTTAATATTTTGAAACAGATTCGTCGAAGAGTCGGAACGGGGTGTCGACCACAACCAAGCGTGTTATTACCCAAGTTGCATAGCTAACAGATGGCTGGCGATCCGTCTAGAAATGGTCGGGAACCTCATCATCTTCTTTGCGGCCCTTTCTGTAGTGCTCGGAAGGGAAACCATCGACCCAGGCATTGTTGGACTTTCAATTTCATACGCTTTGCAGGTAGGATATAAATGCTTTTTATATTTATTGTAATTAATGGTTTTGTCTACTATGTGTATAGTAGATTACTACAGCAAGGCATTGATGGACGGACGTGTGAATGTGGGCATACGTAAGTCCATTAATGCCTAGTTGCGGCCAAGGCTTCCATTGTACTTTTCTCAATAAGTACGCGAAAATTAAAACTAAGTATGTAGTATAATTTAGAACTTAAAGGCAATGACGGTATATTTTCTTTTTTTTTTACTAAACAGCTGTCTATGTACGGGCTAGTTTAAAATTGGAAGTTACTTCTTTGGTCGCCATGTTGCGGAGTCGAAAATGATTCCATTTTTGCTGTTAAACACGGCCGATATTACTTTTCATACAGCTATTGCCGGTCACTGCTCGATCAGTATAGCAAGTTCGATTTATCTCGAAGGTTGTCAAAATAAAGCTCAAATTTCCAATATGATTGAGAAAATGTTATTGATTTTGTCACTTTTTAGATTACACAAATTTTGAACTGGCTTGTTCGAATGACCTCGGAAGTTGAGACCAATATTGTGGCCGTGGAAAGAATAAAGGAATATTACGACACCCCCTCGGTGAGTATTTTTAAATATTTATTTTATATTATATATCTATAATTTATTACAAAACACAAACATAGTATCAAATACGACACCAGAGCTTTGCAATATATAATAAAATATTGTCACGCAATGTCGTACAGATTGTCTATTATTAATTTTAATTCTCTTGAAAATATTAACTAAATTACAATGATAATAATCTTGCAGGAAGCTGCGTGGAATCTACCTAACGGACCTGGATCGACTTGGCCCGAGACCGGAGCCCTTCAGCTAGAAAGGCTGACGCTCTGCTACAGGCCAGGCGAACCCGTACTGCGCGAGTTAACTTGCACAGTGTCACCGCGGGAGAAACTCGGTATCGTCGGTCGAACGGGAGCAGGAAAATCGACACTCACATTGGGACTATTCCGGTACAGTTGATAACTAGAAAAGACATTAACGGCCGATTTCACATTTGGCTAAATCGCTAAAGCATAAGCTACTATTTTCCAAAAAGGGTTTTAAAAAAACAATTTAGGACGATCTTGGTGTTATTTTGTCAAATAAAAGGTTCCACTTTTTCCTTCATTAAATCCATACAGTATTATCGCTTTGCTGTTTAAAGTCGATATTTAAATACTAAAAACTGCGTTCAGCACCTAGCCCTGGGTTTTAATTACGGCAAAACGAAACATAGTTTCGATCAGCGAACATGGAACACTGATCAATAGAACGAAGACAAAAATGTGTACGCCGTAACCCGCAGGGGAAACCGGTTTTCACCTTTTACTTAACCCAATTGTACTTTCTTGTCTCATTGCGATTTAATCAAAGAAGTGGCGGCGAGTTTCTTGGCAATTCTTCTCGCTCTTGATTTGAGAAATGGTAGTAAATGTAAATTTAGAGTCTTAGTTTAGTTTATAACTGATGTGACGTTCATAAGTGTTCCTAGTTGCCTGCGTGAATAAATGTTTGACTTTGACTTTTAAATTCACAGCATAGTGGAACCGAGCAGCGGCAAGATTATGATAGACGGAATCGATATATCAACGATCGGCTTACACCAGCTGCGCTCGCGCATCACCATCATACCCCAAGACCCCGTGCTATTCTCGGGCACGTTGCGAATGAACCTCGACCCCTTCGAGAGCTTCACCGATGACCAGATATGGAGATCCTTGGAACATGCGCATCTGAAGACCTTCGTTCAAGGTTAGTTTATATGCTAAATGGTACTTTTAGTAGAATAGAATTTATATATATGGTTTCTTTTCGTCTATCCGAAATCAATTATTACCAGATTGTATTGAAAAAAGATGAGTTCAAATACAATATTCCCGCAAAATTTAAAAAAATATCTGCCTTATTTACGCTGTTTCTAACTGTTTCTTCTACAGACATTTATTATTTTTTCTGTTAAATCTATATATTAATACATTTGTAAAAACAGCGATTGACAGGATGTTTTCTATAGTTAATATCCCGGATTTTTTAGGTCTAGCTTCGGGTCTCCTGCACGAAGTGTCCGAGGGCGGTGGAAATCTTTCAGTGGGGCAGCGGCAGCTTGTGTGCCTTGCTCGTGCCCTACTTCGCAAAACGCCTCTGCTAGTGCTCGATGAGGCCACGGCCGCTGTAGACCTCGAGACAGATGACCTTATACAGGTACACAATATCTTTGATTGACTAAGTACAGACTAGTAACAATTGGGTAGAGTTAGCAGTAATTTTTTATTTGGGTAGTTTTTCGTTTTTCCCAAGAGGGAAAAACACGCTCTTCTTTTAAATAATGTCTTTAGTTCACGCGAAAGCATTTAATAAAAACACTTTAACGGTTAAAACGTGAACGGTTTCAAAATTTAAACAAAACCCCCCCCTTTCCCTTGCTTTCCCCCTCCCCCCCCCCCGTTCCCCCCCCCCCCTTTCCCCCTAACCTTAAAGCACCGTCATAGGGCCGTAGTTAAAAATAATAAGTTAACAAGAATTAATATATTTCGCGTTTCAAACCGTTAGTGTTTTCCAAACGTTCTTCTTTTGTTATTGTATCGATTATTATGTTAAATGTACACTATAATGTTCTGTTGCAGAAAACAATTCGTACCGAATTCGCGTCGTGCACCGTGCTTACGATAGCCCATCGTCTCAACACGATTATGGACTCCACTCGCGTTATGGTCCTCGACAAGGGACAGCTGGTCGAATACGCGCCGCCGGACCAACTGTTGCAAGATAAAAACTCAATCTTCTACAGCATGGCCAAGGATGCTGGACTCGTTAACTAGATCACCTATCCTTAATTTAGTTGTAGCGTCACCTCACACTTTTGGGGGACAATTTTCGTAAGTTGTTTTAACGTGTTTTTCAAAGCGATGAATATTTTTTACAAATCTCAATTCAACGCGCGGATCACTTATGAATGATGATGATGATAGTTTGAGAATGTATGAATCTGACATTGATAAGAAAACTGACTTCCATCCCGGCTCGAAATATCGTAAGATCTTAAATTCACTTAATATGATGTACTTAGTGAACTCAACTTAACTTGTTATTAATATAAGGGATTTTCTATCGATTTATACAAGATTTATTTAATTAAAGATGTTTAATGTAATTTCGAATTCGTCCAGAACGTAGTTACCTCAGTTCTATTATCACAATTGCGTTACATATATAATAGTATTGAACAGTGTATATAAATTACAGGCCATAACGCTAATAGAATCTTACAAGACTGAATTCGAAATTAATTTGTGTGCAAGGATTTACTTATTAGGCACTATAAATGTAAAGGGCATTTTGATTCTCCCCTCGTTAAGGAATTATGTTTCATCAGAGCTTATATACCTCTATATTAATCAACATTTGGACGTTGTTTAATTTAGACCTTAATTTCTGTGGTCTAAACAATGTGCTCAACAGTTCAGAAACTTGCCTCAATTGTTTGTATAATCGTATTACGTAAGGCGTGTATTTTTCTTAATTAGTAACTAGCTCGTATTAGATTGCGCATTAAAATTAAGATTTTGTAACAAAATCGGCAGCAATATTTCTTAAGGCCAACATTGACTTAATTTTAATACTAAGGTTACCGATTAGGTTTTTTACTAGAGATCTATAAACTGTGTATGAACCAAATTTTTCCGCTTAGGGGGATATTTACTTCGGTACTCACAGGTCGTGATTATTTTGTATGGTCTATGTTGGATATGTAACAACTTAACGCCCATCTATAATATCGGACCACTAAAATTACTAGTTCACCTTATCGAGAATGCGGGTAATAAAAATTTACCCGTACAATACGAACATCTGGGACCACTTATTTCATTTTGCTCTATTTTATGTTTTGTGAAAGAAAGAAGTACAGTAGAGCTCATAAAATTGTGTCTTTATAAAGAGTTGTCTCAAAGTAACAGTAATAGATTAATTTTGGTGGTAGCAATATTATGATGTTACGGGAACTGTGTGCGATAGTTAATTTGCTAAAAACTGCCTAAAAGCCGTCTTTATCTTTTCATGTTCTTGAAATTTTTGTGGTTAAGTTTATTTTTAGGTGTGTAGCACTTCTTATTGAGCTGTATATTTTAAGGTTTGAATAGATGAAAGGTATAACTGTTTTTTTAGTATAGAAGTCGTCAAACTAAAGTGTACAAAACATATATAGATTCCATTGCATTTGTATGTTGCAGCCCAATTTTAGTTGTTTATACAATTTTTTTTAATAATAAATACAATTGTTATTTAATTTTTGTTGCGAATTTTCTTAAAACATAAATGTCTCCGTTGTTAAGGTATATTCTTAGTACTTAATAGAAACTAATTTTATTAAAAGATCAAACATTACAACTATACATTTTCATAGCAAAAGTTTATATTTTATTACAAGAAACAGAATAAAGTCAAAGTTTATACTCTGGACTAGGATAAGTTCCTATAACATTGTCCTATGCAGGTATTAAAAGAGTTATTACTTATCTACTAAACTGTTTATCTATGAATTTATTGTAATATTAGCTCATGCAACAATTTTAAAACATTGAACTTGCAAGTGTTGTTTCAAGTTCAGAACTTAAATGACACTTGGTAGTAAAAACAGAATTTGTTATGTATTTACATTACCTGAAGTCAGTTATGAATTGTTAAGGAAACTATACGTACTTACATTTTGAATACAAGAGACATAAAACTGACTTCTTTCCTGCTTTTTAATTACTGTATACATGTGAAGTGTAAATAAAACAACCAAGTGCCTATATTATATAGGATAAGACTGGTTTTTATTTTCATATAATCATTCTTACCACAAAAAAAATATTGGTGAATATCACCACTGCACAAGAGACCTAAGTATAACAAAGTATTGATGCCTATTGACTTATAGTGATCAACTCACTAAGTTAATTTTATTGCATAATTAATTATGTTCAAATAAAAACATTATTTGAATAACAATAATTTGTGATAAGCTATACTGTTTGTTTAAATTATAATGAGATAAGTACCCGGTTTAATAAAATGCACTCCTTTCTCTTAAAAAATGTAGGACTGTGTTTTACAGAACACTTTTTTAACAACAGTTAATCCTACGTCCTGTAACATAATTCCTTTTGTCGTAAATGAATTACAATGTACACAGAAGTAACAATAAATAATACTAAAAGTTAAACAATATTTTCAAGTGTGGAAATTAGCTTCGCTAACATATTTTTATTCAGATCACAGAGTTTTTCTTCGTGCTTATCACTATTATTTATAGTTTTGAATGCCAATTGCAATATAGGATACCTTAATGTTTTCAAATCACTAGTCCCAAAAACAAGTTTTAAAGCCCAATCAAATGCAACCACTGTTGCACCATGTTGACTCTTATAATGAAGCAATATTAAATAAAGTAATTCACTCTTTTTCTTTTCTATCTCACCAACTAAATAATTCACTTTCTTCTCTTCAAATCCCATACTAAGCAGGTTGTTGGATATAAGCAATACATCACCATGAGTACTCCAGAGTAATTCTCGTATTTGTTTGCCCGTGGCCTCACTTAGGACATCATGAGAAGTTTGCAGTGTATCCTGTTGTATCAAGTTGTCTAAGATGGTATCGCAAACCTGTCAGTAATTAGTTTTAAGTTAGTATTTTAATCTATCTATAATCGTATCTTTAGGACACAAGAGAATGTTCATGATTACTTACTTGTGAAAATTTATGAAACGGCTCAATTTTAAACAATTTGTCCATTATATGAGGATGAAATTTTTTACAATCACTGAATCTTAACTGAAAATTAACACATTATATTTACTCAGCTAGTTTACAAAATGGTTTTGCTTAAAATGAATAAATTAAAAGCAATAAGCGGTCATTTTAATTAAATATAGAAAAATATCTGGTAATGACTTTCTGTGTAGTTTTATCTTATATGAATAAAAATGAAAAACTATTTACAAAATATCTCAAAATGTCTAATACTTGACAATTGACATTTGACTATGAGAAACTTTTTAGGTAGAATCATTTTCTACGTTTAAATATAAAATTAATAGCTATAATTTAATATTTTTATTAAATATAAAATTATTCTAGCGAATAGTGTAATAATTATTATTAAGGATTGTTTGTTTTGCTTTAGATTACGAACTAGGCATTTTTTTAAGTATCTAGTTTTTTACTACATATATGTGTAGCATTGTTATTAACAAACAGAAACTTATCTGAAAAGATAAGTTATTTTCCCTAATATTTAAATGTACGTAAAGGCCATCTTATCTACCAATAAAGAGATCTAGAAATTAACCATTGGAAATAAATTAGCAAATTGTGTATTGCTTACCCCAAAACAAAACTTAAAGGTATACAAGTAATGGTAATGGCTAAGTACCAGCAAAATCACTTTCCTCGTAAAATTATTATTCTACCTTGTAAGAGTACTATGAATATCGACTTTATAAATGAAACATTATAACGCAAAACTTGTTAAAACGGGGAGGTGACAATATATCTATTTAAATAAAATACTAGTTTACAGTTTGATAAATTTATTAGAGACATTCACACATCAATTTTTATGACAAATAGCCTTACATAATTGTGCCGAAATTATAAAGAAATGAATATGCAGGATGTTAATGAAAATCTGTGATGATAACTAACACACTAATCTAAACCATATTTTACACTGTAAATTTGAGCAGTATTTTTAAACTTAGCTGCCTTAAATATAGCAATACTTCTAAAAGGTATGAGGGTTCGTGGAAAAATTGTGCCGACGTCAAATATAAAAAATAAAGTAGTTAGGATTATATGAATCATGCCGTTAGAAATGTATATCCCAAAAATACAATCACAGTATGTTTAATCACAGACTATTATAAAAAATTACCATAATAATGCTGTCTTTTATACCTTCAGAATGCATTTTACTCACTAACAAAGTATATTTCTTCGTTTTAAATCATATATGCAAACAACTCGTAACTTATGAGCAAAAATATAAAACGACACCGCCGGATCGTTCTGAATTTGATATGGAATGTCTCACTCGTATTAATTGCTAATAGATTTGCGATAATACCTGCTGACCTCACTCATGCATGTGCCACCACTATTAATTTCATAGTAGAAATGTATAAAATTACAAAAAAAAAAGTATTAGAAAATAATAATTACATGGACACAGAACTTCCGAAAATGACACAGTAATTGTATATTAATATCAAACCTTACATAATACAATATAAATCTAATTGTATGTATGAGGTGGCATATTCTACTAGCAGTACTATTGCACCGCTTTCTCTAACTCGTTACAAGAACTACACATCTAGATATTATAATTATAGTTATTGTAGTCTGTATATGCATAAAAATTGTATAGATCAATCCAAAAACTTGGCCGCTGATTACTATGATCGAAATTTAAAAATTGTCACATTCTTAAAGTAAATTTATACAAGTTTTAATCAAAAATATGCCTAACCGATTAACCATATCTCACTTGTCATAGGAGCGGCTTATAAATACGTAGCCTGAATTCAATAAATGCTTGCGTTAAAGAGAGCTCAATTCGAACTAAATCATAAAACTCATTAATTCATTAAACATAGGAAAAATTAACATAAGTGCATAGAACAATAAAATATTTATGAAAATAATTCAATACGTTAAACACAAACAAAATCGATTTTTATAGAGCGCCGATCGAATTTTCTTTTGCAACGATATTTTTGCAGGAATAAACTGCTTCCGCTTCGTAGTTATCATTTATATATACAATTTGTTAATGTAATGCTTGAGGCTTTCAGGGTTTCATAGTAGAAGCAAATTACAATAGAAAATTGCATTTTACTGAAATTAACATCCAGAAAATATTATTCATATTCATCAAATAATTAAAGTAATAAGTTGTCTTGATTCGTAACTAATGTCGAAACGCACTGAAACTATTTCACTAATGAACCGTTTATGCAAACTATTCAAGGAGGAAGTCCAACGCCAAACGTCAACTAATACCCCTGTAATAATGGCACCAACTTATCGCACCGTATACCGCCTACATAACTTTGTTATTGTATATAATTATATAAGATCGATCTTAGCGATTTTAAAATGTGTAAAATCTTAATTTTACATAAGCAAGCACGCTAAACTTAAAGTATAAATGTTCTATAATATGAAGGTCACATTTCCAACTAAATCCATGTTTGTAATAGAATTCTTCGTCGAACTTAGTTCGATGTACACCACAGTACTAAAGGAAAATAAATTAAAGGTTCTTTAGAAACGAACGTCTCCTGGACCGTGATGTAGTTATTTCGGTTTGTAGCTTAATTCTCCACCGCTATGTCGGTTGTCGTAACCTGTAACAGCGTAACGTGTATCATTTCCATAGAGCCATTATTACATATTTCATAATCACAGATGGTTTCAAAGCATTACCGTTTCCGTGTTTAGGTCTGGTACAGTGGGAAGTTCGGGAATGAGGTCCGCCATTTTGTCAGCGATAGGCAGAGTTTCCTACAAAAATATGATGTGTAAATACATGTCGTCTTATAGTTGATTTGGCACCCAAGTGCTTGAGAGTACCGTTATAAACGTGCTAACTACATCTATATGATATAGGTTTAGTGCAAACTATTTTACAAGGCTGAAACGTTAATACGATTTTAAACGAGGCCGAAATCGGCAGACTTTGTAGTATTACCAATCTCGTAATAAACGAACAGTATGAACTTGCATCAGAATACATTATTTACAATTGTCAAAACATACCAGGAAATGCCGTTAGTTTCCATACTAGTGATCATTTTGTACAATGCTGACGGGTTGAAACTTTAAAACTATAAACGGTGCAAAGAAAAACGATGAGTGTTACTTACATCGACACATATCAAAGCGGAAGTCTAATAGCGAGTAGCATTAGTACATGCGGGAATTACGTATAGAATGCGTAGGAATCGCTCGGGAAGGGTTTAGGCCAAGGAAGGGCAAATATACATGAAGAAAGTCATCAAATCGATCACGCTCCACGTCTTCCGGTTATTGACTTCGCACATGCTGAGAGAAAGATGCTGAACTACTTTAGAACTGTTAACATGATACCAAAACGTTCCAATTAAGATACTAATCTTCTACAAGGGCAAATATCCGGTGTATTCACCTGTGTGGCGGGAAGAGGCTCGGGCGAAGCGGGCGCCGATATTTCTGACTCTGTCGGGCAGAGGTCGCTCGGCGGCAAGGGGAAAGACTCCGAGTCTTCTGCTGCGGCCGCCGGCTGCTCCAACGCCTCGGACAATGAAGGGGGCACTGACTCGGCTACGCCCTTTACAGACTCGTCGCCGCTCTCGGCTATTTCCTCCACCGAATCGCCCGCGGGGGACTCATTGCCATTCATCACTATCGCGTCTCCATTCAGCATTACGTCGACATTGTTTTCGATAATTTCTTTTCCTTTCGTCTTCAACATTTCCGATTCGTTTGCAGTATCAGTAGTTCCGTTCAATTCGTTTTGAGAATGGATGCTCGTATCGATGTCGTTTTCTTTCAACTCACAGATGCCACTGTCCTGTTCGAATTTAGATATTTCACTAGTACTATCTTTCGAAATATCTTCAACTGTTGATGGTGCCTGCTCCTCAGTTGTCTCTTGAACAATTTCCTGTGCAGCTTCTTTCGTTTCAGTCAATTCGAGTATTGAATCAGATTCATTTGCTATTGGGACATCTACAGTGGGGATAATATTTTCTTCAGCACTATTGTCACAAACGGCAGGGTCTTTCAGAGAGTTCTCTATTGACATTTCATTAGAAAGACTCGGTTGTGCGTTAGTATCGATAATTTGTTCAATGACGTCGGTTTTAGGATCCGAGGGTTCAGTTTCAAGATTAGATTTGATAGTTTCAGTTATTTCAGGCTCGTTCGGGATGGAGTTTTCAATCGTAACGGGGGTTTCGTCAGCAGTTACAGTATCAATATTATTGGTTTTATTAGCGAGTGAAGCGTCAATGAGTTCGGGAGCCATAGTGGTAGCGGCAAAGGAAGCCACAGAAGATGGAGGAGGATTAGCGGGAAGAGGGGGAGGCGTAGGCTCTATCAAAGGCGTTTGATCGACACAAACCTCTTTTTTAACAGGACTTTCACACGACGGTACCGTTTCGGTGACTTCGATCTTAGGCTCCTCAGTCTTGTTTGAATCGACTACGGGGACTTCAGTAGGTTCTTCTTTTTTTGTTTCTTCCTCTGGGGCCTGACCATTAACAAGTAATTTCTGTGGTTCGACGGCTTCCACTTTCGGTTCTGGCCTCGGGTCGCTTTCTACTACCTCATTTTTGGGTTCCTCTGGAATAGGACTTTCCACTTTTGGGGATTCAGGTGTGCTGCTTCCATTTGTAAGAGGCTCTGTCACTGGTGTTTCTGGTGTCTTTTCGTCCTTTTCAACATCAGACTTTGTTTCCGCAGCTACTTCCTTTTCTACAACTTCAGGTGTAGACTCAGCCGCCTATAAATGAAAAGTATTTTGAAAAATTATTTAGTATACAAATGTCACAATAATGAGGAACAAAAATGATAAATAATACCATAACAGTGAATAATTAAATATATTGATAATGTAATATGTGTAACACAGTGAAATCGTGTTAACACACTGAGATTAAACTAAGACGCTATCAACATTTAATAGTACTCCGTGCCACGCTTGACTGGTCATATTTGTTTTACTATAACGTAGGTAATTTACCCTTCAAGGCTCTGCTTATTCGCCCTAAACGAAATATTAAGTTTCCGTCACGTTATACGCTTGTTTGTATACTTACTCATGTACTAAAAAGCTATGAGTAATAATACAGTGATGTATATGGTTGAAAAGATGAATAATTTTATTTTAAAAAATCGACTTCTCCAACAAAACTACGTTTACTTTTAGCTCTATTGAACTAGGTGAAATACTGATAACAGAACTTCTCGTCTATGTGTACTTTGTATCACAGTTTCCTAAGTTGTGTCAATAATAAATTACGTCTTTTTGCGATTTATAAACGCGCTTTTAAGTAAGCTGTAACTTAACATGAAAGATATAATTGCATCCTTGTCATTGTATGTACATAAATAACTTGCAGTTCTGTAGACATACAACCGCAGGGCTTCGGCAATAAAATGATACACATTACAAGGTCGCCTTTTGTTTACTGGCATGGAAATATTGTGCGCTACTGACCGTCGCGTTTCTGTTAAGTTTTATCACTGAAACATTAAAATAACAAAGCCAATTTAAATTATTATACCAGACGCAAATAGATAGGAAATTTTACGAAAATAATTATATTTACAAATAAATAATAATGTAATAAAAGACACATAGTTTACAACGTATTTGCAACAATCGCAAATTACCAAAAAGGAAAAACTTACTTTTATGTGCGACGCGACAATTTAATTTACATTTTTAGATTACGTATTAGTATGTCAACAGTATTAAGGATATTATTTAAAAAAATACACGTACACAATTTGTATATTTTAAAAATTAAATTTCAGCTGAGTGATGATTTCCGCTTTCACCAAGGAGCAAGTAAAAAGCATTGTCCGAAAGTACATTAAAAACACCGGACAAAACATCCGCGGAACGGTGGTCACGCACAGGAAACAGTGTTTTGTTTAAGCTCTACATGTAATCTCTATTGTGTTCTGTTATGCACATTTTATACGCTGTCAATTTTGTCATCGTGTGCAATGTATTGCGCATATTACGGGCTTCTCGGTGTATCGTTTAAACTTGGAAAGTAGGTGTTTAGTATAATCAACCCCAAAAATACTTAAGCGAATTCGCCTAAGATTAAGACACTTAAGTGTCAAGGAAATCCAATCTACCATAACTGAATAATTCAACTAAAAATGAACGAAACGAATAAGGGCAAGAATTGGTACTTATTTAATCGGTATATGCGCACTCATTTATCCAAACTAACGGTATATTCTCGGTGAGTCACCTATACACATAATACAATGGCTTTCTGGTATGGAAGCGATTTTCCGCTCTATAACTAAATATACGTTGACTTTTTATGCGCCATAAAAACTTATTTCTACGGAATAGATAAAGGCTCTTAGTTTGTTTGTTTCATAACAACTTAGTCTGAAAAAGTGCAATCTCCGTTAGATCTCTCTTCGATAGGTTTAATAAAATATAATTATGTACATTTTTATTGAAGAAGTTAGTACGATGCATTGAAGTACCTACATAATAAAAAACAGTGTCGAGTAGTCTGACATATGCGGTTAATATTTCAATCGAGCATAAATAACGGAGGTGATAGAGGTAGCATCTTGGCTAGCCGGTCCAGACGGACGCAGCACTATCAAATAACTCATAGCTACTCGCTCTCGCTATCTGAGGTTGTCGCCCTGTCTTGGCACCGATTACACCAATCGTTGACTGGCTATCGAATTACTACCTTCACAGAGGCACTCCAATACTATATAAAATATTAGACAATACATCTAACTAATGTGGTACTGCAATACGTGTGATGTATCTCTTTCGCTACGAAGTCGAGGATGAGCTCGCCTATTCATCATGCGAACGTATGGAGACCAAAATAGATCACTTAATGGGGTAACAATGGCCGATTTAATGGTCCTCCGACATTCCCACAAGAATGCCGGATAACAAAAAAAGTCACATAACAATAGCCATCTATAGGAAATGGAATCTTTCCTTGTTATCAAAGCTTCATTGAACGGTGGCGTGTATTATGAAAATACGACAGATGAGACGTCGACGATGGGCATTAGCGGCCATTTGGTAAACATGCAACATGAACTGTCGAATCGAGTTACTTCGGTAGCAAGTTTTGAAACACATGTATACGTTTCAAATTTGTATGAGTAGATCATTGTTCGTGTAATGCCTTTCTAACGAACGCGACTTAAACCGGTCCCGTTTATAGCGTTTATAGAATAGCGAATCCTCGTGTATATTTTTTATCCTCGTTACACCGAAAGACCAGATTTAGTAATAACATGTTGGTTTTTTTTAGCACAGACATCAACTAATGAAAAACTGTTAGAATAGTTTATAATGTAAGTCGAAAAAGACTATCCAAAGACTTCCCTGAATCCTTAGATAAACAGGTACCGAGTATAAACGGTGGCACATGGATATCTGGCCTTCGTCCCCACGCCCACTGCAAGCCTCGCAAAACCTGCCCCGCTCGGCTAATTTTATTTTGCACCTAACAAACTTGTTTCAGTACATACCTTGCTTAGATGCCAAACACATTTTTAAGTTTTACATACCACTGGACGAAGCTGCTTTATTTAAATAAAATCACAAATGGGGAGTCGTATGTACATATGTATTAATTGTCATGACGCGTTTGTGCGTATTTTAAAATAAATGTTATTACTAAATCAATCAAATTATATTAAACCTGAATAAAGTTGTAGTGTGTAGAACAAAGTGGGAAATAACTGAAATGTTATCGTCAAGCCACGTCAAATCTCCCTCCTTGTGGGAAGTTCTGGGATCTCTTTAGTGCTAATGACCGTGCATCAACACGTGTTATGTGAAATAAGACGGTACTCGTAGTATTTCTGTTTACGTACATACGACCGCTATACATTTGGGACTATAAAAAGAACATCAAAAGTTATGAACAATTAACTTTTAATGCGAGGCTGGTAAAATTCCTTTGTGAATTGAAGATCCACTTAGCTTTAATTACGATATCAAACACAAGGATCAACCGAAAGATCGACAGCGAGAAGCCCCTATGACGACCGAATTTTTAGTTCTTAGCTTATAAGAGTGAGGGACAACAAATTATTATTTATACGTCCGGTTTTAGGAATGTCATTGTACATTAAATAGTTACTGTACATTGGACATCAGTGAGGTGAAATGGCACGATATGGCTAACAGTAGACAATGGCGGCTCACGTTTGGTTAGCGCGGATATAGAGTTGAATCATAATGTGCATTGTTCGCGTATTTTTGAGTGCATTGTACTAAAATGCTGAAGTCATGTGGAAGAGAAATTATTTGTTTGTGCGATGAGCGCAAAATTATAAGAACTATTACTAAGTCTATGTTACTATCTATGCGTTTACATATAACAAATTTAAACAGCTTTTCATTCGTTCCGAATATTTGGCAACACATGTTCGATAACTTAACTGGGGGTCAATGACATAGACGTACAAATTCTTATCTTACTTATATTTTAACTTTTAAGCCATCGCTAATTCGCATCCGTTTTTAGTCGATTCTTTATTGAATTTATGGGTAGCGTATATTACAATTTTGCAAAGTTTTAAATAAAACACTTATATTAGTTATAGTTTATTGGAAAATTATTTTTAACTCCGGCACGACGTTTCGGATGCTTTGCAGCAGCCGTGGTAACGGGGAGACTAGTATATATCGCGTTTTAAACCGTTAGTGTTTTATTTGAATGTGTACAACTCGCGTAAACTACGGACAGTGTTTAATTTTGGAAAGATGTTTAATAATATCATAAATGATGTTTGTGTCTTTGAATTAGTCTCGGTCACATTTTAAAAATAGTTTAATAGTGTATATGCTATATTCAATAGCACACAAATAAACTTCACAATTAAAATGTTAGAAGAATCATTAATTATTTATGTGAATTAGAAACTGCATTGCCTGAATGACTTGTCACATTTGTTGCACGTACAATATTAGTAAATCGGTTTTGTAGCGGCGTATATGAAAGTGGGTCGCGTAAGGCCCATATCATTGGATGACCGGAGCGTTGCAGGGAGGGTCCGACCATGCACTGTCACTAGTGCACAGGGAACGTTACACGAATACAAATTATGCAGAGCTAGAAAGTAGATATACTTTGAAATTCATATCTTTAAAATGGTGACGAAGATATTCACACTTACGACTCATGTACCAACCACGATAAGAAACTATTAAGCATTCATATCGGAAACGGCAAATTCGTTTTATTTGAAGTTAATCGTACTTTTGTCTTACCTTGAGCCACTTTGGGTTCGAGAGCCAAATATCTTTCACTGAAAAACGTCTTTTACGATCAATATTGATAAAACGTTTTGTTATAACCCATAAGTGCTAATTTAAACAAGATGCAACTTGAGACGTTAGACATAGTCATATGGTGCAAGATTTCTCTTTCTTCAAGTAATTTATATTAAGTATTTCCTTTTACCTGTTTATGTGGATAGTGCATAATTCTTCCGTTTAGTATACTTATGGCGTTAAACAGCCAACTTTTTGTGTACAAAAACACTACCATTATAACATGAATAAAAAAGAAACTTACCTCTTCTGGAACTTCTTCTGTTTCGCCATTGGTTTTTATTTCCTTGTCCTTTTGCTTCTTTTCCTGCTTCGGTTTGTCCTTTCTGCTGAAACTGATCGATCTTAGCGACCATTTCTTCTTGACCTTATCAAATAAATAATGAGTTAATTTACTCTTTTTAAACTTTGAAACGTCATTGCATTATGTTAATACATTTGTTATAACTTATAACATTTCTTACCTTTTCTTTCTTCTTCTTGCCATCGTCCGGCGACGACACATCGTCACCATTTTCCGCTTTAGGTTCACTTTCCCCATTTGTGACGGCACTCTCCTTCTCTTTCTCACTCTCATCTTGTTCTTTCATTTCTTTTTCGGTTGTGGCGTCCTTTTCATTTTCAGGTGTGCCGCTGTCAAGTTGCTTCTCTTTTTCCTAAATAAACCAATTTCATTATTTTTTAATAACAATAACAATAAAAATCAGTTAGGTATAGAAATGTCCATTAGAAGAGCGTAATAATTGTTAATTTAGAACCCCGATCCCAATATCCGTCATGATTGTCACTGCTGCATACTAACTTAGATGCGGGTGCATAATTGCGTATAATAATAGCTCACGTTTTTTTTAAGCAGTCGTTAGGAGTGATTCATTTAACATTATAGATGATTTTTGTTCGTTCTAAAACGGTTAAAATCGATTGTGAAACTGTAATTGTCGTAATGATAAGTAGTTTGGGAATACTAATAAAAAGCATCTAACGAAACTTGACCGATGCCCGATCGTTGTTGTAATTGTGGAAAACTGTCAGAGTTAAAATCACTCGGGAAGTGTTTTAATGCCACTACCATAAAGCACTCATTTTTGTGAGATTATACTTTTCTTTTTTGGCATTTGTTGAATCATAAATTGTGCACTACTTTGACGGTTTAAAACGAGAAATATATTATTTGTAATTATTTCAATATACCACATGGTTGTAAGTCTCCCAGTAAGTTAAAACTCAGGCCGTAGTTGGAATAATTATCACATGAATTTGCGTGTTAAACAGATTTATTTAGATTTATGACAAATTCAGCTAACTTCTGCCTCAGTAAGAAAATTATACTTTTACCATTTAGAGAGGACCTAAGAGGTTTTGGTCTAATCCAATGATCTACAAGCAATCTCGTCTGCTAAGCCTTCATGATTCGTAATTTGTCAGAGTAAAACTTACGGGTGTTTCGTGAATGTGAGCATCTCCGTTCGCCTGTGGCTTCAGCGCATCGGCGTCAGCCAGCTGCTCCATGCGCCCCTCGCCTCCAGCACCAGCCGCAGCCACCTCGCCGGCGCTCTCGGCTTCTTTGCCGCTTATATCCACCGAGCGTTTGCTCTGCTTTGCACCCATTATTGATGCGTTTCTATTAACAATATTATCATTATAATATTAGCTTTCGTGATAGGACACTAAAAGCAGATTCCAAGTAGTCAAAGGTATTGAATATAAAGCAAGGGAAGCCATAAGTTATCTCCAGTAATCTATAAATAACTCAATGATTAGTCACAAACAAGCATGCCTCTTATCAATAAACACTTAGAAACCATAAACACTTCACAGGATAGGGTCATTGTATGTGCATTGTAAACAAATGAGATAAAACATGAATCTTGTGCTTTATATATAGCATTCAAAAATATTTTTGATAGGCTATTTTTGGTTTCTTTTATGAACAGAATCAACCATATGTATGTATTTAATGGTAATCTTAAGTCAAAAACATTTATTAGACCAAAGTATTTAGATTAATAAAAAAAAGTTTTAATAATAGTGAAATTTAAAATTTTGATATATTGTTTAATTCGATATTTTTCCCATTTATAAACTAAGTCATTTTTTTAAACTTCACTTGACTTGTATAGTTGTATTTCTTTGTTTTCAATGTAAGAATGTTATTAGTATTATATATAATGATATCCAATTTTATACTCTTATGAATTAGTATGAAATAGGTAATGTATTCATTTTCGTAATTCTTTAACCCTCAGTATTAAGAACAAAATGTATATAAATCAAGTTGTAAATATGTTAACATTCGTATTTTACAACTTGATTGTTAGTTAATATAATTCTGGTTTCAATTTATTATACCTCTGAAATTTGCGTGATTAGTGCAATATAAAGATTTTTGGAAATGGTTATAAGTAGTACAGAAAACGGTCGACTTAGATTTCGTAAAGAAATTACGTCGTAGAGGTTAACAACGCTGACAAAATTCGGGTAAGGCCAAGGCCAAGCTTAACTTTCGTCTTATGGAAAAGGGTGGTGTCTTTTATATAAATATTCAATACAATTAATTTAAGGTCTACAATATCCGATCTCTCTAGAACAACTCATATGGCATGCTCCAATGGAATTTATTTTAAATTATCTTGGTGAATGGAACACTTCAGTAAGTCAATGCGACAAAGTATAAACCTTTGTTAATAGCTTGCATCGGTTCACTTACACTGATGATTCATCGTTCGATAAGTAAATGCGAGACTGGTAATCCCGTTTCACAGAATTATTTATTAGTAACGAACGACGAAAGCAGAATTGTTACTCATTTTATTTATGATAAAAAGAATTCTTTGTAACGATATCTGTAACACGTTTTAATATACTTTTTGAAAGAGTTAAATGAATTAACATTCTGTTACTATTAAAATAACATAAAATTCTGCTAAAATATTTGTTTAAACAATAAAACATTAAATTACGTATAATTGTGCTGTCAATAATAAATAGATAACAGAAATTTAAAAATCGACATTTTAACTGCCGGTGGGGCGAGTTAATTTTAACATGCGTACTGATTCATAAATAAGATTATGATGACAAAAACTGATATTAAGATTTTCTTACCTGTTAACTTTCCAATCCGAACAGTAAAAGCAAAGATTAAATCACAGTCAAATTTAACAAAAATTCACTTTCAGCACTCACAGCTCAACACAATATGGCGGCAGTACAGTATCTCCACCCATCAAGATCAAATTCAAAATTGAAACTTCCTGCTATTGGTTGCTGAATCCGAGACGCGTCACTTATAACAACATTACAAAATGAAATCTTTCATGTTACAACCTTCCGAAACAAAGAAGGTGCGTTCTAAATATAATCTTATTCCTAATGAATGTAAAATTATTTATGTTGTATATAATAGTAATACACATTAAAACTAAATAAAAAAAGCAAGTAAAGTTTTTTAATTATTAACTAAGCGCTAGAACTTCTTATTAATTGTTTTATATGTACCATACGATAAAAGTTTATGCATCATAAATTATCTTTTATTTGACTTACAAAATCTTAAAGTAACGAGGAACGAGAAAGATATTTAAAACAATCTTTTAAACATAATGTTTTTCGAAAGTTATAATATAAAATTAGATTATATTATCTGTGCACAGACTCGGCGTTCACTGTTGTAGACCAATAACTATAGTCTATGATACTTGATTGTCGTTGGACAATGGACATTATTGATATGTCGCGTTTTTAGAGTTGTCCGTGATTCTGTTCAGAAAAATAGTGTTTTTACGTATCATTCATAATATTTTTCAAAATAACTTGTGTATTGTGTTTATTTAAGTAATTAATCTGTGTTGTGCTGTGTTGGACGGTTTTAAATTCATCGTACAGTGGCAAAATTGTTTGGCGTCACCTGACTGAGCTCATTGTCATTTCCCGCCATTTGCTTTGCCATCGTTTAGTTCGATTTATGTTTTCATCTTACAGTGTTAGTGTGGAATTGTTAATTTAAGTAATATTAGTGCTCAAGTAATGTCATTAGATAGTAATGATGCTTGTGTACTAGAGTTAGAAGATTACAACTTGTACGAAGAAGACGCACCCGATCACGCTATCCAAAGGTAAGAAACCCGGCGTGGTTTCTCATGTTTGATCTATGTCAAAATTATAGTGCTTATACGTGGAGAATATTTCCTTTTATGAAAAAAAAATGTGTTTTCTTATCCACATATGTTTTATAACTTGTCGTTTACACACGATCCCGCCCCGTGCCGGCCTATAGTCAGCTGTTGTGCCGCCATGTTTGGTCGCCTTAAATAGGCGTAGTAAGCGCTTTACCCACGGCGGTGTTTCACTAACTACTGAACATGTGATTTAGCGTACCTCAATCATCTGTGTAACATTACACAATTTCATTCATTGTTTTTTATAAGATACGTTCGAAATTTCACAAATGGGTAAAAATTAACGAAACCGTATTATACGAAGTTTTAATTTGCTCAAAAAAGATTTATTTCACTTATAAAAAATGTCTACTTTATTTCAACCTTTCAGAAGTGACAGACACTCAGTATCTGGTGGAAAAACGATGGAGGCTGAGAAGAGGATTAGACGAGAGATTGCCAACAGCAATGAACGCAGACGTATGCAGAGCATCAATGCTGGGTTTCAGGCGTTACGAACATTGTTACCTCGACATGAAGGGGAGAAACTCAGCAAAGTATGTATTGTTATATATGTGTATCTATGTTATATTTTGAACCGAAAATGTTTAACTTACCAATTATGAATTAAAAAGTAATTATAGAAATTAATTTGCTTTACTTTAGAACATGATTTTCTTTCTAGGCTGCCATATTACAACAAACTGCTGAGTATATATACTCTCTTGAACAAGAAAAGACGAGACTACTGTCACAGAATTGTCAGTTGAAGCGACTATTGAATCAGCATGAAGGAGGTGAAATTCCTTTAAAGAAGAGAAAGAGTGAAATGATTACTCATGTCCCTTCAATTATTCCTGATTCTACGGAAGATACTGTTACTACAAGATCGTCTGAGTCTGTAGCTGTTATCACTGTTTCAAGTCTACTACAAAAGAAAGAACCCGATAATGGAGAACTCCTGGTCCAGTTGGAGCGAGAAAGACAGCTAAGGCGATTGCTTGAAGAGCGTTTAAGTGCTTTAGAAATTCAGGTGTACCCTGAGTCAAGAGAAGTAGCTCATACTGTTGTTCACTATGAAGAAACTGAAGCCACCGAATGTAAAGTTGAAGAAAAAGAGGTAGAAACACAGGTTGTGGAGGCTCCAGCACCTCTACTCGAAGCAGCTATAAAGGCAGAACCACGTGTAGAAGTAGAGGTCCTTCCAGATGCAGCTCATGATCAACCTTCTAGATTGTATCTCGCAAGCACAAGCCGGCAAAATCTGGAAACCATTGTGGAAGCTATTCGTCATTTAGAGGGTGACCATTTGTTCCGTGAAGAGGCAGGTGATACTCCTCTTGCCCTGACGAAAAAAGCAGAAGTGGTTCCACCACAACGACCTGGCGTAATTGTGGTCAAGCATTCGTGAGTGCGCTAAACTAGTCTGTTTTGGTTTAATTTTGCTTCCAGTGGAAGAGTAACACCTTATCATCCTCGAATATTATTAGTTTAGTTGTCTTTTCCAAAGTGACAAGTTGATATGTCTGTGTTTTGTTTATTTGTGTTAACAAAGTCAAAGTGACCGGAATGAAAGTATGGTGTGAGAATGAATCAAGACATAGATTGGCGCTGTGCTTAGTTAAGTCTCAAATATTATAATGATATTTGAAATTGTATTCTTGCAGGCTTATTCTAATTGTTAGGTAGAGGATTGACTGACTTATGTATATTTATATTTCTAAGTTTTTTTAAACAGAAGACTCCAGTATGCTGCATGCCAAATTAATGTCCATTGTGGATTAGTAAGTAATTGAGTAAAGTTAAATAAATTTGTCTAAAATTATTACAGCAATAATAGTGTGGGCTAAGAGTGATATTTACTTATAAGATCCAGCAATAATATGAATGAAAAAAAAACACATTTTTACAATTATATTATATATAATAATCCGGCATGTGGCACTGGTAGTTTCCTCATTTTTATACAGTAGTAAAATTTGACAGTTTAATATACACTCTTTAGGTAGAATGAAAGTTGAATGAGAATAATGATTGTCCCCAGTGTAATGTGACAAAATACCAGTGTTAATTATTTTATATGTTTGAATTAGTAATTTTATTGGTAGTGTCCATATTATGTGTAAGCATTCCAGATCTGGCACTTAGTTACAGTGGTATTTTAATTAGAAAGGCTTTAAACTTCAGTTTTAATGAAATTGGCAAGAGATATGTTCTACCTGCTTAGTGTAATTAATAGTATTGAAAATTTTTGACTCTAGCATAATCGAAGGTGATCCAATCATCTACTGTATTTCAGAAAAATATTGTCAATCTAAATATGTATAAGTAACTATTGTGGACTGTCGTCCATACTAATTATGATTTATAGGTGTGTAAAAATCTATAAATTATTTTAACTATTTGCTTCTATGTGCTGTAATATTTTTTGTTAAAGTTTAACCAGCAGTGCTTTTTGTTAGTAATTTGACTTTATAAGTTTCAAACATGTATTTTGATTTAAGTTAAGACTCGGCAACAGAGTGAGGAATGGTTAATTATGTAACAAATAGCATGATCCTGTTCAGGGGATCAAAAGAGGTTATAAAGACTGATCATTAATCCATTATTAAGTTACGCTAGTTGGATCCATCGTGTTGGTAGTGTTTATGTGTGTGCTGTGTAGTTATTTGAGTGTGTAATGTAAAGTTTACAGTTAGCAATCTGTCAGAATCACAGAGATTATTTCTAATCATGTCACTACAATAAGTAAATTAGAGAACAATGGTCTTTAAATCTCTCTAATTCTGATAGATTTTATTGGTAACAGCTGTATTTGTTTACAATGTAAACTATATGTAAATTGGCTGTTATTGTTTTGTGCATTTGAACTTATAGTATTTGTACATTTTTTAGTTATTTAAATAAGTCCATACATACCTTGTCGTATGATACTGCAATCTCCTCAGCTTTGTGGTTGAAACTGTTTATTTGCACTCTGTTTCTGAGTCTGTAGAAGTAAGGAATCGTCTGCCTACCGCCTTTACATTATGTCATTATAAGATAAATAACAATGTAACATATTGGACTTGGTTATACTGTTAGTGTAGTCAAAATATCTAGGATTAAGAGATTTTAAGTCAAAGAAAGCAAGTTAAATTGTTTAAAATGTGTTATTATTTATGTCTTAAAGTATTAAAATGGTTATTTCTTATTAATTAGTTTGTAAATGATGACGATCAGTATATTCTCATGCTTTTTTGAACAGATATTGAAACCAATAATGATTTTCTTTACATTAGGTACAGCAACACTTAAAATATTCACTATTTGACTACTATGTACATTAACTTTTCCTTATAAAGTTTATTTTTAGGGTTCTAATGGCCTTAAAAGCTGTGTATTTATTGGTTTTATTTATCAATTATCATGTAATGTTACATTAAGAATTTTCTACACTCTATCACATATTTTATATGTCATATTATAGCAATTTTATCTTAACATTAACCATGTATATATATATCATGTTCGCTAGAATTCATTTCACTCGCGTATGTTTTTTGTTCTTCTATAAAAATAATTTTGGATTTGCTTATTCCTTCTGGAGCTAAATTTTTTTAAACATATTCAATGTTACATAAAGTGTAGTAGTGAAATCTCGTTTCCCCAGTGGGGTGTGAGCCGAACACATTTCTGTGTCCATTTCAATTAATGTGTAAAGGGTTTATATTGAAACCGAAAAACTTACGCGCATCTGAGTGTCAGTAGACGAACATGACAGCACTGCATTTGTTAAGATTTTTTTGATATTTCATATTTTGAAGAATCGTCACAAATCTCAATATCAAAGTTCAAAGAAGATAGGTGGATTAAGTTAAGTGGTCTATTTCTGTTTAGCGAGTCTTAACTTAGGGATAGAGGAAAAATATGATCGTGTAACTATGTTCGCCACATACTTTTAACCATTTATTTTCACTTTATCACTAACAGACTCAGTTCCTACGCATTATAGTTAGTAATAATTTTTACAGTTCGTATTTAGGATACTTACTTATTGATAAAGTGTAGAAAACGATGCATGAATGTTTCCTTTTTGATATGAAGTCAATAAAAATTATTTCCTCTGATGATTTTAATAATTGTACTACATTTGACCTACATTTACGAATATTTATAAAATATTGATATTCTATTGTTTTATTTTTTGACATTCCCCATTACCAGGCTAGCAGATTGATTATGCACAACTACATAAGAGGTGTATAATATAAAAATATATGCCGTAGACAACCCTAAAACTAGTACACAAATTATGTTACCATCTTTGTGGCTTTGTTAAAAATCTCATTGATTAGAACTCTATAATAAGATCTTGGGTTTGAATCTCGGGGAAAGAGTAATTGAATTAACGCATAAAACTTATCGATGAAATTGAGGCGTCTCACGTCCCATAATCCCATATTTACGGGATTATAATAAATCTACGAATTGTAACTAATTATTGTATTTCATTAGGAGTCTGCATCCGGTACCCGACAGTCGTCCTCGTTCGCCGATGTTACAATAGCAAATAGCCAGTGTCATCAAACGTCAAGGCTGTACTGGAAGTTAGTATTCGCCGTCGGTAATCGCCACAAACATTGCATTAACTTCAATCAGTTGATTCTAGCGTTATTTTGAAACGGACGTGCTTGCTATTGTAATAGTGTCACAAAACGAGTTTAACTACGATAAAAAATTGCATTTTAAAGTATTTGTTATAACATACTGGTAAAAAAATAAATCATCTGATAATCTTTCGTTAAACAATTAAATGATGAATTACTGGATTTAAGATAATTGATACCTGAGGTATGTAATACGTAGGCTATTTTTTTAATTGTATCTAGGGTCGAATGTTATCAAGGTTTTGTCTCATCTTTTGAGATAAAAATATTTCCTGATTTATTAATTTTTCATAAGTTTATTCGAATTACAAGCTAAAAGTATATCTATTGATAGTATATATTGTTAAGAATTTTTACTAATTCGTAATAGGTCATATTATTCGATAGTTCTGATCTCACGCTATAATCAACCATACTTTTAAGATACGTTGCGGATTTTTTACTTTCACTTACGTATGCGTTACGCCTGTGAAGCGACAAAAAATTACAAATGTAATGATAATAGTGAAATTGAATTGAAAAGCTTTTTTGTTTAGGTGAAGGACCTGAAACAGTTGAAAATGAAACTGCAATATTATTTCTTGGCTACTCTGACCTGCGTTGCCGGTTCGCTAGACTTTAATTTAAGCGAAAAGTAAGAAAGACCATATGTTATTTATTTTTTATATAACATTTGTGCGTATTACTATTATTTGCAAAGAATAAATTTAGTGCGTCCAGATATATTTTTAAAAATACACAAGCGTCGAAACTGTGCGTTCGAGTCCTTTTTTATAAAATTTTTCGCTCTGTCTGGCGTACGAGGAACTCTCGAGCCCTTGAATTTTCCAAAGGTGACTCTTCTGTCAATATTTTTTCTTGTATCATAACATTTCCTAGGTATACATATATATTTCTAGGAATAATAATTAACTAATGATAATCATGTTTTTAGTGGAAAATCCCCGAACCAAAGTTCAAACGAGAAGATAATTTCATCTGTGAACGAATTGGGTTTTCACTTAATAAAAGAGTTGATGAGATCAAACCAAAATAAAAATGTCGTCATCTCTCCGGCTGGTATTTCTGGTGAGTTTTATTCACAAATTATGATATTACTTTGATAATTTTATTTATCTTATATAGTTTACGCGTACCTATTAATAATACTTTATGAATAAGGAGTAACTTATAAATATACTTATTTCACTTAAGCTTTACAATATTAATTATATTTATACATGGGAAAGTACCAACTCTTATATACGTGTTTATTCCAATAGTTTTTGGCGTATTTTCTATATTTATTTTAAACCGGAACTTCGCGTTTCAACTTGTAGGAAACAGACCGTGGTAAATTATCGCCATTCCTGCAATTATTTTATATTTCCATTTGTAATATTATCATCTGTTATAGTTTGTGATTTTTTTGTTTCATAAATATTAGATAGGAAAAGCGTCATTGTGTATGATGGTAATTTTTTTTGTTAAAGCATTCGAACCACTGGTCGTAGTAGTAGTTAAAACTAAATACAAGTTTAACTACTTATAAATATTGCACGTTTCAATCCATTAAACGTGTTGAGGCTAAATATTTTTGTTTTGCGCAGGATTACTTGCGATGACATTATTGGGAAGCGTCGGTGAGTCGTACGAGGAACTCGCTCGGGTCCTTGGATTTTCCGAAGGTGACTCCTCTCTTCATACATAAACATATTTTATTGTACAATTCACAACTTACTACTAGAGTATTACAATTATATTATTGTTTCAACGAATATCATTATTACAATAATTGACGATACTAAAAACGTTTTGCTCTACCTTCTTACTTTACTTTCTTCAAAAGTAAATATTTGTTTCATACTATACAAATAATATATAGACCTGTCTGTTTAATATACGCAATGCCATTCTGAGAATATCCGATATTAAAAAGGACAACCCGGTTCTGTTTGTAACGAAATAATACATTAGGTGTAACATTTAATGAACAAGGAAGTGATTTTATCCTTGCGATTTCAATACATTAAAGTTATCCTCGTTTCTATTATTGAGGCTTTATGTATCTGATAACCTAATAAGTAATACCCAGGTTCAATAGTAAGGTATTTAACCAACTATAACCAGAGAGATCGGCGACAATTCGCGCGATATTGTGGATCGCTCCTAAATGTCTCTCGCTTTTGTTTCACTCGACAGTCGCCTCTGAAGATAACTTGTTTAATATACCATGCTATACTGTTTCCTCTAGACACATCTGCGCGTTTAGTGTTCTTGTTCCTAGGCCATTTGCCACCATTAAAAACAAAAACAATAAGTGCCTCGAAAATAGTGTTAATTACAGTTTACACGAGTAGAATACATTAAAAAATCAATTGTAACGTTTTAATAATTATAAGGTAATTAGTTACTTACGTAGGTACATATATTATTAAATTTCTTAGATTTTTCATTGTAATACGTTTAATTAACTACAATAGTAGTACGACGCTCGTAATATGTTTGCCTTTCATCTTTGGTGTGCATAATTTGAACGAGGCTCTTTGAAATAGATCCTTACTTTATACTACCGTTATTTCCTTTTAGTTGACATTCTAACATTTGCCTTACAAGAGTCCACTTTTAGTCTAAAGCATTCTTATAACAAAGAATTAAGTGAAATGAGACATTATTTCAATGTAGTTACATCGTAAAAGCATTAACTACTTATACTGAATATTTTTTTTACAACTGCGTTTATAGTAGACTAAATATAAACGTAGATATTAAATTTTATTGCAGACGTACAACGAAACCGCGAAAACCACGAACATTTCGGAGAATTGTTGCGGGCATTGAATTCGAATGACACTACGAGTAAAACCCTGTATTCTGACGCAATTTTTACTGATACAAGATCAACGCTACGAGAAGTTTTTCGCGTCTATTTAAATAGAGTTTATGGTGGAGAAGCGATAGCAACAGACTTTCAGGACAAACTCCAGGCGAAAAATGTTATTAATGAGTAAGTAACTTTAATATGAATACCAATAAATTATTTGAACCAAGAGTCAACGTAAAGAATATTTTGTTCTAGGTGGGTTAAAAATAACACAATAGGAAAAATTCCGGATTTCCTAAAACAAACTCTACCTATCGACACAAAAGTTGTTTTGTTGAGTGCGCTTTATTTTAGCGGTCAATGGCAGCACCCGTTTTTAATAGAATACACAAAAAGGTACGTATGTAATTTCAATAACAAAAGCTTTAAATTACTCATTACTATGTTCTCCGTACCATACTACGTCCACAATAATTCTTTAAAATCCCCCCTATATATCTATCACACCTATCCACCAGCAAATCGTGCACTGTCTATGATCTAAGTCGTTTAAGTACAGAAGTAACATACGTATGTACCACCAGGTACACATACGTTTAAATACTGTCTGTAGTTTACGCGAGTAGTGTATTTAAATAAAACACCTTCTAGTCTCCCGTGGCCACGGCTGCTACAAAGCATCCGAAATGTCGGACCGTATTTAAAAATAATTCTCAAACAAGCTTAACAAAAATATATCGCGTTTTAAACGCATACGTTTGTCATACGAATTGCTCGTTAGCGGCATTGCGTTTCTAGGTAGATAAGTAAGTTATTTTAAGTTACTAGGTCTCAATTTATCTAAAGACTTTAATTAAACAATATATTTTAAAAGACTACTGATTTGTTTAAACACTTTTTCTCATCTATTTCAGCCTCCCATTTACAGGACCTACTGGTACAAGTATGGTCGACCAAATGCTGAACATGGGCACATTTCCTTACTTGAATTCATATACTGATGGTATTTTATCTAGTTTTTACATTTCCTTACTTGAATTCATATATTGATGGTATTTTATCTAATGCACTAGACACCGATAACTTATATAATATCTTTTCAGATTTACATATGGTGGCTCTCCCCTATAATGATAGTTCGACTATAATGTATGCTTTGAAACCTCGTCGACCAAAAGAGCTCAGTCTCCCCGAACTGTTGAGTAGATTAGATTTTGACAAGGTGAATTCCTTAATTGATAAAATGAAAACAAGGAAGTGTGTTATTCGATATCCGAAAATGGACTTGCAGTGGACGGAAGATTTGAAAGACTCGTTAAAAGCGCTCGGGGTAACGTCCATGTTTCAACCGGACCAAGCGAATTTTGCTCTAATGGTCGATAGTAATATGGTTGTAAATAAAACCGAAAATGAGGTGCTGAGCAGGATCAATGCTGGAGACTTAGAAGAAAGGTCGTTCAAAGAAATAGTGAATAGCCTCCCAAATCCTGGAGTTTATGTCGATAGTATTTTACATGACGTCAAAATAACAATTGATGGTAAGGAAACATCGTTTAAAATAACTGGAGATATAAGAGAATAGAAATTAAACTCATTTGCAACAAACATTTCAGAGTATGGTACAGAGGCAGTAGCGGCCACAAGTGGTATACTAGCACGTTCCGCTGAGCTGTTTTATGCTGATACTCCGTTCTTCATGTTTATTAGAAACGAAAAAACTAAACTAGTCACCTTTAGTGCTGCTATATTTGACCCTAATTCATAATTTTAAAAAAGTGAAACGAAAATAATATACCCAACTTAAGTTTCCATAGAACAAAATGTTTATGCAGTGCAACAAAAATATAAGGAAGCAATGTGTAGTGAACAATCTTTGTTTTTGTTTACTTTAAGTAAATAATATCTTCTTAAAAAAAAATATTTTGGGCAGACCATAAATAAGGCTGCCTATAACCTTTTTTGATTGATAGAATAATAAAAATAAATGTTTATTAAGTGAAACATTGCATAGTTTATAGAAATAGAAAAAAAATAAGTGCTGTAAAGATGCCCATTAAATGTGCTTGCAGTAATGGACTGTATGTAGACCGTTTTATGTATTTTTCATTACATTAATACACTATGTGATTAATTTGAAATAACATTATATTTGTTAACTAACTTATTATCTATGCTCTCTTAATTTTTCTATCTTATCATGTAAAGTTTGCTTCCATTGTTCTTCTGATATAGACTGTGCCCATTCTGGAATAGACGCTGGGGGTAATGCGAAATCTGCCATAGCCGACATCACCTAAAATACAGCATAGTAAGCAAATGTTTTGTTAGTAAACAACCAATATAGATTCCTAAACAAAAAATATTTTAGTAGGCCAACATATTAATAACCAAAATTATGACTATAACAAACTCAGTTATATGTCTGCCACACTAAAGTGGCACTACATAATAACAAGGGAATTTACTTTTTAAATCCAAAATTTTAGTTTAATGAACTGAAACTACAACTTTTTGCAGTCTTAAATTAAGAATGTATGGACCTGCTGTACTCGTTCATTATCCATCTGAATGGGATCTGTCGTTCTAGGTAAGCTCCACACCTCTCTTGCAAGAGTACTTTCCATTGGTTCTATAGATGGAACATCAGGAGAAACTTGAGTCGCTCCATCATCCTGAAACAAAATGTTATTTAAATTGTAATAGGGACAAGACAAATGTAAAGAAACAATAATTTACTACTTTTACATTAGAATCTGTTTCATCATCACTTTCTTGTTCAGTGGTCATTGTTTCAGGGCCCTGAGGTAACGGCTCGTAACCAAAGTATTCATTTTGTTCATCATCACTTTCCTCTTGATGACCATTTGTTATTAATTCCTGTCTCGGAGGCGGCGTCAGATTTTCAGGGTTATCCGGTGGTTCAGGTCCTTGACACACCATTTTCTTTAAAGAGATTTGTAAATAAAGTGAATACTTATACTATTACGAATAGTATACGTGTTAGTATCCGGTTGTACGAATTATATTGATAATTATAATATGAGATAAATTCAATGAACCCTATGCTTCGAGTCTTGCAATATATATTGAATACTTTTTCAATAGTATCGTTTACAAATAACTAAATGGTAACTCAAACATTTGCACAACATCTCAAACTTCTTGGTTATTGAATTTTTATTATGACAATTGATAGGTACATTGATGTATTTTTTTCGCGACTGATTAAAATGGTGACCAAACTTCACACTTGTGTCAACATGATTTGATCACATAAATGAAAATTTTAATCTTGGAATAGGGAGTATAAATTGTAATAAACGACTACATTTTTCATAAAATATAATAACATGGATCAGAAATGTTGTAGTGGTTTTGATTTTTCTTATATCATTTTATTTAGGTACCTATACATTATTATTTTATACACCTTTGAGTTTAGTGAGTTTAAAACAAACAAAGTTTTTAAATTATTCTCTGAATAAAGCTCTTCTTTTTTTCATTATTTTTGTCCGGCAATGAATGAATATTTAAAATGATACTTCGTTGCCACAGAATGTTTCGATTCGCTATTAATCAACATCAGTTGTCACAATTACAGATGTCAATAAACAAATCTGAAACCGCAAAATATACGTAATTTTTTTTGTTTGTGGCCGATTGTAGTGTGTTACTTTAAAAATCAAAATACTGGGTCTAAATAATAAACGTTTTTGGTCGCTATTTATTTGTGCGTGTTTTGCATACGCCATTATGGCTTGGAGAAGTCACGGCATCAATAATGCAGATATGATACGTAATCTTCGAGGTAAATCTTGGCATTAACATTTATATTACGAATATTGCATAAACATGAAATTAAATAAGAAATACCCATAATTATTATTGGAATTGGAAGCCGAAGGATCAGTCCACTAGCCTAAATTTATGCATATTATCTCTTATAATTGTAGCTAATGGGATCATTAAATCCGACACTGTTGCAAATGCTATGTTAGCTGTTGACCGCAAGAATTATTGCCCTGTTGCTCCTTATCACGATTCGCCTCAATCTATTGGCTATTCTGCTACTATAAGTGCTCCTCATATGGTAATTAATTTATTAATTATAACTATTATCCATAAGGCATTATCTTATGTTTGAATTGATTATTATATACAGGCTGCCATCAGACTTATCACACTTATTTAAGTAAAATGTGGCCTAAAAGGCCAAGCTAAACGTTTTCATTGAAGGCAGAGGATGCAGGAGCTGTTTTTCTAATTAACAGAAAACATCAGGTTATAGTTAGGTTATTTACAGTTAAAAATTAATGTTATACGTCTGATAGCTTTTGCTTAATGTTCATAGTTATTGACGCTATAATTTTTGCATTGTCAAATGACACATTAAAGTTAAAACTTGTTGTTAGAACCCAATAATGTCTCACAGCTTGATTAATATAGGTCTTATCTTTCGTAGGAAAATTCTAAACTTAATGCTTGTGCTTAAATATTTTTTTAAAGACATTTTTAATATCAAAGTTATATTACTTATTTGTTAAAAATTTTACAGCATGCACATGCTTTGGAGAGATTAAAAAATCAATTAGTGCCAGGAGAAAAAGCACTTGATGTTGGCTCTGGATCTGGATACTTGACAGCATGTATGGCTATCATGCTTGGAGAACAAGGACGAGTTGTTGGTATTGATCATATACCAGAACTTATCACACTTGCTACAAAAAATCTCAACAATGATAATCCAGGGCTGCTTAAGTCTGAAAGAATAAAACTTATTGGTAGGTGTTCTATAAACCATGTTTAAATATGCTGCTAAGGTTCCACAACACTGTTTTCTCATTGTTTCTTCAATCCTTTGGATAAGTATATTTTCATTTTAGTAGTTGAAAAAGGATTCCATCCATATACGCTATGCTACAATGCACACAAATGCTACAGCAATAAGTACCCACTAAGCTTTGTACTTTGCTTAAGTAAAATAAAATGGTAATTTCTAGCTGGTGATGGTCGTCTTGGGTACCCAGAAGAAGCTCCCTTTAACGCCATTCATGTTGGAGCAGCAGCCCCAACCTTACCACAGGCTGTAAGTTTGTCTTCTTTGCCAACAACAGCACAGTTAAGAAATGAATTATTGTCACTGAATCTTCTCTTATTATACTTATATCCGTATTTTCATGTTTGTCTAGTTAGTGGAACAACTGAAACCTGGTGGTCGTTTAATTGTGCCAGTCGGGCCTGAAGGTGGTGAGCAACACTTAACTCAAGTAAGTGAAAAAACTGCATGTCTTGAAAGAGAATTTACAATCATATAGCAATGAAAACTGTCATTTGCAGGTGGATAAAGCGGCAGATGGCACAACAACAGTGAAAAAGTTAATGAGTGTTATATATGTTCCTCTCACAGATAAAAACCATCAATGTCGTAAGTGACTGAGCATACTAGTGTTTACTACTGCAATTGCTTGTATCATTGTACTCTTCATGATCAGACGTTTTTTTCTTTTCATGTTTTATTGTAAAAGTATATAGTTTTCAAATGTATTTTAGAACCTTTGTATAACTGTAGCTCCTTGCTTAGAATATGAAAACTTCATTTCTTATTTCTCGGTATGATATTAGTAACTGACCATTTATATGCTGTCATTACACTATTTTTTTTTAATAAGTAACCAAAAAAGCTGTTTTCCATGTACAACTAGCACATTAAGTATTTTTAAAATCCATAATATTGTTAAAGTGAAAGTTCTGTCCGTGTTAAATATAATATTTAGAAAAGACTATTCATATATTTTAGAAATAATACTTGAATACTTTAGTAATCTAATTCTCAAAAACTTAGACATTTTTTGCCTTTTATGGTTAAGCAAAACTATCGTTATTTTTGTGATATTATCTCAAAATATATTTATTGTACTTGCAAGTGCGTGTGCGTTCTTGAATTATGATAAGAACTTAAACCTTCACTGTAAAATAAAGCACTTATAATCATATGAACTATGGTACGTTGGATCCTAATGAAATTATTTACAAAATACTATTTGTTTTAGGTACTTGGCGTTAACGCCGTATGTTATTTATTCTCTTTAAAATAAACAAAAAAGGGTAAATAATTTAATTTTAATATTTATATATAAAATGTAACATTGTTTTTATTTTCTACCTCCAAACTTCTTTTTGCTAAATCCTTTTTCATCTTTCCTCGAGTCTGATGGTTTAGCTCTTATGTGCAATATAGAGTATAACATTTCAGCCTCTTTTTTATTTTCTAATATTTCAGTAAGTTTATCCTGGAAATAAACGTAATTTTATATTAAAAGCAAATTTATTTATTATAAAATTAAGTAATTTTATAAACTAATCACCTGTGACAATGTAATCAAATGATCCAGAGACACTCCCCTGTTCATCAGTCTCGTTATGTTCTTGGAGGTTACCCCAGGGAGTTTTTGAACAAAGTCGTGTACCAGAACATTGTATCTCTCATAGCAAACATCATCAGATGCATTCTCACCACTCAGAGCTAAAGCTTTTTCTACATTAGGGTTCTTTCTACTTTGCTAAACAGAATTAAATATTTTATACACATAACTGTTTTTTTAATGGGCTCATTGTCCCATTGGTAGTAATGTATGATTGAGGGTTGGATTCATCCACATATGTTACATGTTTAAAAAAAACTACTTTTAAATAAAACACTAACTTACCACGGCGCTAAAGTGTTTTATTTAAATGTGTACTACTCGCGCAAACTACAGATAGTGCTTGAAATACTAGGTACCTAGTTATAATTTTTCTGAAATATTTTAGGCCTAGTGTGTAAGAAATGAGATGATAAATAGGTTGGAGTATTCCACCTTCCATCAAATGAATCCCAAGAAATTATCTAAATTACCTTTAGCTCATAAAAAAGTTCAGCAGTCGCATAAGGACTAGGAGACCACACAAGTTTTAATCTCGGAAAATGTATAGTAAGAAGTTGGAGCTTTTGTTGTATATCTGCGCCGGACAAATCGGTCGATACTGTGTAGTTGCCCTGTAATTTTGCCATTGATAAAAAAATGAAGATGTGAATATTTCATCAAATCTTTTTTGCAATATTCATTTGAATCAATAAATTCAGTCGTCCGCAAAATCCACGCCATGACATTTCTTTGATAGAACCCTTACCTGAAGATTGAACGGTTTGTTTTGATCAAACTCTATAAGTAATATGGGCCTCGCGTAAGCGCGACACATTTGCGTGCACTGCGCGAATAGGCGACCGGAATTTAATGAGCCGATCAAATCTGATAAAGACTTGCGTTCCACGCATATCTCTGGTGTTAGTATATAGTCGCCGATCTGTAAATGTCGCATAAGAATACAAAATATTATATACATAGGTGCCGTCTATTTAACATTAATAGCACTAATCTTTTACGAGTTTATTGGGTTCGGTGGATTTATGTGACGGTTTATAATCATTATTATTACATTTATCTCTTATTTTGATGAGGACAGACAAGCATAGGTGTACTTGGTGGCCGGTGAAATATTTGAAGGCTGTCGACCAATTTTGGCTTTGGATATTCAGAAATCCATAAGACTGAAACCGCAACACAAATTCCACGGCTTTTTCATCTGTGGACAAGTTGGACCCGGCGGGGATTGAACCCACGACCCGTTGATTATTATTATTAGCGATACATTGCTACCATTAGACCAACGAGCTCGTAAAAATCTGTTCTAACAGTCCGAACAGAACGACTTGCCAACAGAGGGTGTTGGTATGTCTGTCCATGTTAACCACACACTAGTATTTCCATTTATAGTGATAGTTCCTTAAGACTTACGGTTATGGTGACTGGTTCAATGTTAATTCCTTTCTTATGAAGCAGTGCCGGCAGGTCTGAACGAAATTCTCGCATATCAACAATCACAACTGGCTTCTCTTTTTGTTGTGTCTGACCCCCTTTAAGTAAAACAATATAAATATCCAGAGCAATAAATACATCTGTAGTTTGTATGTGACAGTACTTACACACTAACCTGCTTTTCTTGTATCGGCAGTAGAATCCACTTCTTCCACATTAAGATTGAAATATTCGTCAGTTTTTCCATCTTGATAAGAAGGCACAACCATCACCTGTAATTTAAATAGAATAGTAGAACTTTGATTGGCACCATACCAATCTTCTATAACCGGATTGAAACTTGTTTAATTTATTAATAATTTTTGGAAAAAAAAATTAAAAGCTATATAATAATAAATAATTGAAAACAGGAAGAGTAGAACAGTGAAGCTTGGGAAGTTTTCACTTATAGAATGAAGAGAGTACAATTTTACACTTAAAAGAGATTCTTATGTCTATATACACTAGTTAGAAGTTATATTAAAAAAACAACAACACAGTACAAGTTGCCTTGTACCTACAAGGTTCAACCAGAATTGCCAAAAAAAGAGTTCTGAAGGATGCGTATAAAAGCGTTTTTCCTTTAAGTAAAGAGATCAAGGTCACTCGAGGTCATGGAGTCAGAGAGTCATTATATTTCAAGTGTTCGATATTTGACTAAATCATATTATTAATATTGTAGCAGCTTATTTTTTTTATTTGTACAACTATACTAATATATAAAGCCGAAGAGTTTGTTTGAATGCGCTAATCTCAGGAATTATATGTTCGCTTTTAAACATTATTGATTAGAGTGTTTATCGAGGGACGTTATAGGCTATTAAATATCGCATTGCTTCTGATTGGAGTCAGCAAACAGCGGAAGGTGTGAAAAAAAAAACGGAGAAATTATTATATTCTTCTTGGGTTTCCAATGCATACGCTGAAAAACCATTCAAGATACTCAAATATATTAATGAAAGAATGATTTCTCTTTGACTGATCAAAAAAAATTACCGCAGCACTATATATCTATTTTTAAAATTAACTTGAGAGAATGACGCGACGCGACCGACGTCGTGGTTAACAGCTTACATTTCTAAAGGTGAAGAGGAGGTTTACAAAAACAAATTCGAATGCCCAAAATAACTTACGCGGACGAAGTCGCTGAAACAGCTAGTTTAAGAATATGTAGGTGCTTACACTTTTAGTCTGTATCAATTGTTCGAAGGCCTGTTTCTCTCGCCTCAATGTCGTGAGGTAAGATTGCTCTTCTACGGTTTTATCGTGAACTAAAAAGTACACTTTACTTATTGGTTCTTCGGGCTTTTTTCTAGCCTCGAACAGTTCGATTTGCCTTACAGCGGCGACATCATTGTGATACAGTATTATGTATTCAGGCCTCAATGTCTCGAGCGACTGCTCTAGGGACAAAGGATTTCCGTTCTGTTTGAATGTTTGTATGCAAATTATCGGCCTCTCCTTCTCAATTTGTGTAAAATCTAAGTTTTCTATCTAAAAAAATAAATGTATAATATTTATATTTCGTTTTGACAAAATAGGTTCGATGGTAGGCATGGTAATAATAAATCAAGTTTCAAATCCTGTTAACATCGACATATTTCTAAACAACTTTTTATATCGTTTGGAATAGTGTGGACGTGAAACTTAAGCTTCGGTTTCAGCCTGCGGAGTTCTGAATGCCTAAATCCAAAATATGTCGGCTCATTTTGACGTACTGTTACATGGCTGGAGTATACCTTAAATAAAGTGATTACCCTCTTTCTTGCCCGTTATTATTAAGTAAAAAAAGGCTACAACGTAAATTGTAATATTAATATTACTTGTGGTATTGGTTCAAACATGCTTTCTTCCAGCAATATTTGGTCCTTCTCCCGCTGTGTAACAGCTTGAGATATAGTTAACACATAATGTGATTTATCCAAATTATCTGTGTTGTCCGATTCACATGTATTTGCTTGACTTCTTTCTGATACTTGTGATAGATTAGTGTCCGTTTCAACTGGTACAGTATTTAAATGCTTATAATTTGAAGAGACTGCATTGATTGTTAAATCTCGACGAAATGCCGTATAAAAGAGGTACTTATATGCACCCATCGTTAGTAAATTATTCAGTTGATAGCAGGTTTTGTTATCGAAGCACAATATCAAAATTTTTATGTTGTTCAGAGATATCTTTTTCTTTTTAACTTCATCTGGTATTTCATTTAATAGTAAATCACTTAGACACTTCCATTTTGGGGTAGATTCTGGATCGAATTCTAGAAAGAGTTTATTCTTTTAATATCTATGTTAATAAATTACAATTTAAAAGAAAATAAAATATGTACCATTTTTTGAATTAAAAACTCTGCCCCGAGCCAACTTAAACAGATGCTCTGCAGAATCAAGAAGTATCCAACCAGAGTTCACCTGTGCATATTCTGGTGTTCTATACTTACTAACTAAACTATAAAATGATACTGCGTCATCATTTATTAAGTTTCTGGAAAAAAAATCTAGTTAATCTTTATTGATCAAAACTGATTGCCAGGTATATATAAAGCAAATATATGTCTAACTAACATTATCATAGTTCTTAAGATCTTCAGATCCTGAATGTATTCCTTAGTCCTTGTGCTAAGCTGATGCCAAACACAATCCAACTGAGATTGAAGAATCTTGTGGAATTTCTTTGTAATGCAATTTTCAGTTGTAATTTCCTATAAGAAATTTCATCACTTTATCCCTTGGACAGTTATTTAGATTGGTTATAGTTCTTAGTTCAACTGAATATGATTATAAAATTAGTGTTATATTTCTAAATAAAATAATTAAATGGTTTAAAACATATTTTTCATATTTGAACTACGGCCGAAGTTCGGTCTACCACAGTCGCGTAAACAGTATTTAGTGTTATATGAATTACTCAAACCTAGAAGAGATCACTCGACAGTGATTAGGCCGCCAATTACACCCCTTAGTTTTCTTTTTCTATATTATTTTGATTGTTTGGAAATTTTATTATCTTTTTTCTTATTATTGCATACCAGGATATTGTTATATAAATAAAAAATCGGCACCTGACTCCCGTCAGTCCCTGAGCAAACGTCTAAAGCATTCCCTGCCGGTCAAACTAATTGAGCTACCGTGTCACAGCTCACATTCTTTAACTCATTACAAGTAACTCTCACAGTGTATGAAATTACAGAATTTGACATTTTAAGTCTTTGTTATTCTTTACAATAGGTAAATTGGACATGATGGCATTGTATAATTAAAATTAGATTCAATAAAATTTACGACATGGACTGGACTTGCACCAGCATCTACAGCTTTGCTTATCATGCTACTGCTCTAACCAATAATCTAAGGTACTGAGCTCAATAGTTATTTAATTAATAATCAAGAGATAAAGTAATGGTGGTTAATAATGAATGCTACTAATAAAGGCAAATGCCAAATATTTAAAAAATAAAATTCTATCTTAAATTAAATATGTTCTGTGGAATTGATTAAACCAAGGTCTAAGCAGTTATAACCATTGTTTCATATACCTGCATATCAATTGTTCTATTAATACTCTTCAGTTGTTTTACGGTATAGTTCATAATGTCAAGAAGGCATGACTGTATGTTATTCATGTTGGATGTGAGAGGAACATGCAACTCTTCAACTTGGGCTTCTCTACTTTTTAAACTCTTGATTACATTTCCATGGAATCTAAAGAAAGCATTAATATACTAATATTACATTTAAACAAAAGCTTAATAGTAGTAACCATTTGACATACCTAGGCCATAGAAACAGTTCCGTTACAAACAGGGCTCTCATTACTTTTTCAACATGATTATATCCAAAAGTAAATGATATTGGAGAATTTGAAAATGCTTTTATGAAACCATTCTGAAATATAAAACGTTATATTTATGTGTTGTTTTTTTAAGTGAAATTATGTTAAAAAAAAAAAATTCAAACAACTATAAGCTTACTTTGTTATTCTGCCTAAACAGCCTCAATACGAAAGCTTCCTGACATGACTCAAGCACTGTGTGAGCTCTTAGAACTATTATGCCAGTTATATGTGGAACAGGCACTCTATTTTTCAATAAATCAACAACTAATATTCTTGTTGACACTATAAAAACACCACCTTCTACATATGTCCTTTCTCTAAAATTTAATAATGTTTAGTGCAGTTTAAAGTAACCTTCTGAATCTAGATTGTGGCACAAAATGTTAAATAATATGTTAATTTAAGTCTTACTTTTGTGGCAGTAGATAATGCTCAATGCAAATCAAACTATTATACAAAATAATGAATTACCTTTCTGCTCCAGTATTAGGAAGTGCAGACAGCTTAAATTTTTCTGAAAAATATCTTTCTTCATATTCATTGCTGTTTAGTATTAATACAAGGTTTGTAGGCTCTTTATACATCCAGAGAAAATTTGATATAATATTAGTGTAAGGCAGGCCTCTGGTAAATAACCAAAATGCATTGTTACAGGAGTAAGCACAAAAAATTTAATTATAATAAAATTATTTTAAAGAGAACAGAACATATATACAATAGTCATTTTCTTTATAAGAACCTACTTAGCTAGTATAACGAGGGCATCTTTTTCGTAAACATCTATAAAGATTTGTTTTTCAAATGGAAGTAACGGATATTTTGTCTCAATTGCCGTATCAGATGTTTCATCAATGGAATCCATTTCAAGACCCTAGAAAATATATATTTTTTAATATTACAAAACTTTCAGGCAACCAGTAAATTTATGGTACTTCACAAAGTTAAAAATAAATAAGCAATTAACGAATAACAACGATGTTGTTATTCTCTCTGGCCGACCCCCCCCCCCTGTCAATGTCATCCAAGTGACAAAAGATCCTTGTTTGACTCTACTGTGTATTTGTACTTAATAGAGTAAATAAAAAATAAGTAGAATGTCTTGTTGTTTTTATTTTTATGATCTTTATTTTTCGGATTTCATAGACAGTTTTCAGCTTGATAGAGCTCTATGAAGCGAAAAGTTTCTTCATTACTCATACTTGGCATAATCGTATTCGATATCAATAAATCCTCATTAAAAAATACGTCCGCACAGAATGCAACGTGCTGCTCGCTGCAAACGTGTCGCCAACGTGTGGACGCTACGGGCCTACGGCCATCACTGTGCCACAGCCCACAACCCCGCCATAACCCTTTGATCTGCGTAGAAAAACCGACACCACACGGATCTTGAGCCAATGCGTGGGCCAATAGTCCAATACCTATCAAAAAGATCACCAACCAACCAATCTTCGCCATTGTGTAGAGCCGTCTATAAGAAAATCCTAATTAATATATGTCATACTTCTTTTTTAAAACTTCTGACCGGTCTCCGTGATTTTGTATTTACTATTTTTCACGGGTTAATTTAATTTTTATATTGAAGTGATTTCAGCTTTTCAAATTAAATTATAAAGGTAGTTTTTTTATAAATACAATAATTATTAAATATAGAATATAATCACTAATGATAATCATTGAGCAAGTAAGTGAATATAATCTCTAAAAAATTAAGTAAAGTGCATAATAAAACCAAAGGAGCTATAGTTATTCTTAGCTAAAAAGTGTAGTGACCTTAACAAATATAAACAATTTAAAATTGTTTACAAAATCTATAAGCCATGTGGTAAAAAATATATTTACTTTGTGGATTTATGTGAGAATTTTTCAAAATCTGTAAATCAATGGATTGGACTACTATTGGTTAAAGAGACTTGTTTCCAGGCTATTCAATCTTGGCTTAAAAAGTTGACATGAGATGTGGTTACGTCACTTCCGTTAACTATACATATTTTATTGGTCAACGCGTCAACACTCAACGCTATACGCGGCGTTGTAACTTTGTATGCCGCCATTTTGACGTTTCGGCGTTACCTTCTGTGCTTGTGCGTCTTACAAATTTAATATTTATTTATCGTATACGTTAGTTTGCTTTGTGAACATATTGTAAGCACTGCTGTAGTTGCTTTGACTACTTACTTCATACAGGTATGTGTTTAGCCTTAAATATACAACTTGCGCTTTGTGATTGCATAGTTCATTGTAGATTTTATTTTCAGTGATTATATGCAAGCTCAAACCATGCATCATTTTGGAAATAGAGGATTTGGTGGCCCTCCTCAGCCTCAAAGGCAGGGAGGGCGTCGCGGAAATAGGGGGGGCGGTTTTCGAGGTGGAAATAATTCGAGATTTGATCACAATCAGAGAAATCAACCTCATGGAGGTCAACGCCCAATGAATGAGGTTTGTATGAACCATGACGTGTGCTTTTGCGGCTGTCGAGATGTCAGCTATTATAAAAAATCTGGAACATTTCGAGTTTATAGATGGTTAGCATCATAGCCCGCCATTTTGTTGTAACATAAAAATCTGGATTGATTTTAGAAAAAAGGCGCCGGGGCGTTTAGGAAGCCAATTTCATGTTATGATTATCATAGAATGAACATTATATTCACTATGTTTTTTATCTCTCCCTCAATAAAGAATCTCGTAATGTGTATTCCACTGAATGCCAGAATTCTTTTTATAGCCAGTGCATCCACCCAAACCACTGCAACAAGACAAGCCTCCTCAGCAGCAACAACCTGTCCCACAACAACCAAAAGAGAAAGAAAGCCCTAACCAACCACAAAATCAACCGCAGAATCAAAAGCCCAGCTCCCAACAAAATCAACAGAAGCCCCAAGAACCTAAGCCTGTTCAAAATGTAGTTTCAAAGCAAGAATCTAAAGACAATGTTGATAAAAGTGTTCCTACAGAACAGAAGAGTATGAATAACATTAGCAATCAACCAAATTTCCAAAAGGTATTGTATTCTTAGAGACCAGCCTTACACTTCTGTAAATGGCAGGGTTGAAACCATCTAAGGGAAAGTGAATTCATGAAAAATTTTAACATGTACATTTTAACATGTATGTTGTTTGTATGGTTAAATATCTTTAAAATTTTTTAGAATGTTAATGGTAATTTTGGTGGGCCTGGGAAGCAAGGAGGCTCATGGAGTCAGGGTAATCCTGGCATTAAACAAGGTGGTAATAATTTTGGCCAACAGAGGGGACCAAGAGATTTCCAAAAAACTGGTCCAGGTCCACAGCCAGGACAGGGCCCACCACGCAATCAACAACAGAGACCAAACAATCGGGTTGGTGGACAGTTTGATGGAAAACCAGTTCAAAGAGAGGTACATATTTAAAACTCTTATACTATTATTATTTTATTTCTTGTTATACATGAGTACTTATTGAACTGAATTGAAGATATCAAATTTTACCCTAAAGATGTAAATATTAGATTAAAAAAACTTGTCTTAGCTTTTATCAGTTTGAAAACCTTTTTATTTGAGGCATGTTGACAATATTTGGAATTTATCTTACAGGAACACATGTTGGCAAATAAACTTAAGGAACTCATGGGACCGTTAATTGATTTGCCATCCATTGAACAACCAGAAGTTAAATTTAATGGAAGAAGTAGATTGTACATTGGCAATCTCTGTAATGATGTCACTGAAGAAGAGTTACTTAACCTTTTTGGACAGTTTGGTGAAACTGCAGAATTATTTTTAAACAAGGAAAAAAACTTTGGATTCATCAAGATGGTACATAGTATATTATGAATATTTTTCATATCTGTCTTAATAATAGTAATATTGACATACAACTTTTTTATTTTTCTTTTTGTGTTTCTTTAGGATTATAGAGTAAATGCAGAAAAGGCCAAACGTGAGTTGGATGGAAAAATGAAGAATGGAAGAACAATGCGGGTTCGATTTGCACCCCACAACAGTGCCGTACGCGTTAAGAATCTCCCACCATTTGTTTCAAATGAACTTTTGTACAAGGCGTTTGAAATTTTCGGCAAAATTGAAAGAGCCTTTGTCAGAGTAGATGAAAGGGGCAAAACTTTAGGAGAAGGAATAGTTGAGTTTGCGCGTAAACCTAGTGCATTGGCTGCAATCAGAAATTGCTCTGAGAGATGCTTCTTCCTTACATCGTTAGTAATCCCTCATCTGTTGTTATGACAATATCATTTTAATTATGATTTTATAGTATATAGTTTCTTACAGATCGTTACGTCCCGTTATTGTTGAAAACTTAGAAGAGCCTGACGAGTTTGATGGATTCCCAGAGAAAAATATTCCCAAGAAACACCCTGAATTCTTGAAGGCTCGTGAGGTACGGCTTACCAGAAATAATTATAATCTAGGTTTTCTTTTCAGCCTCATATTCTATCGTTTTACATTTTTTTATTTTTAAATACTGTCTATAGTTTACGCGAGTGGACACATTTAAATAAAACGGGGAAACCACGGCTGCTGCATAGCTACGAAATGTCGGGCCGAAGTTCAAAATAATTTTCAAATAAGTTTAACTAATATGTCGCGTTTTAAACCGTTAGTGTTTCCTTATTTTTATCAGGTTGGACCTCGATTTTCGGAATCTGGAAGTTTTGAGCATGAGTATGGCACAAGATGGAAGCAACTACACGAACTTCATCGGCAGAAGGAGGAGGCTCTGAAGAAGGAGCTAGCAGCTGAAGAGGAAAAGTTAGAAGCACAGATGGAATTTGCAAAGTAAGTAATTCTTTACTTACAGCTGTATAATACTGCTACAACAGCATTAAACCATATAACAGATTAAATCTAAAAAATAATCTTAAATAATAATACAAACATAAGTCTTTAGGGAATGCAATGCAAAATGTATTGCTTTTGTCTTAATAATGCTTCATTCAGTTAAACAATGTCAGAGAATTTAAAGAAATTGAAGGTTCGGATAATGATGAATAATATGCCTGTAATTTGGTAGATATGAGCACGAGACTGAATTACTGCGAGAACAACTGAGGCAACGTGAGCAAGACCGTGAGAGGCAAAAACGCAGTTGGGAAATGGCGGAGAGGGCGGCGGACGAGCGACGTGAAGCCGAACGCATGCAACTTATGCGCCATGAGGAAGAGCTGTCCCAGCGCATGCGTCTGCAAGATGACGAGTTGCGTCGCCGGCAACAGGAGAACACGCTATTCGTTCAGGTAAATGATTTTTTCCAGATAATCATCAGGTACCTTTTAAAATTTACCACAACCACCTGAAACTGAAGTATATATTATCACTATACATATTCATATGGACGAGAAAAAAAAGCAACCCAAAATTATCCCAAGCTTTTGCATGTAGCGAAAACCAAAAATTATTGTATAACCCCCAAATTAATTTGCCGCAATCGGCCGCATAGACAGTATATTAGGACATTATGTGGTCATACAAATTTTTCTTTAGAAGGGTTACCTAATTATACATTTCTCTATCAATTGCTATATAAAGTATATGCTTTCACTTTGGGCTTAATATTACTGATCCTATATCTAGCTATTTGTATATATATGAAACAGATAATTACTTCTTACAGGCCCAACGACTGAATTCAATGTTAGATCGTCAAGAACAGGGCATGTTTGACAATCAACAACCAATGGTAAGTACTTAGTATATCTCTAATTCCAAAGTAAACCTTGTTGATTATTCTCATGAAATTATCATATTAATCTGCCAAGATTTAATTATTGTTTATGTCGTAAACAATTAAATCTGATTTTCACTATAAGCTGATAATTTGACATTAACCTTTAAATGACTGGAAAACATCTTTGGTTAAAATTTGTCAATAAAATTAAGAAATTTTATGCGCGAACAATGTTTTTAGGAACGCCAGTAGATTTGTAAGGGGCTTAAATAACTATTACTCTTTTACACTGAAAGTGTATAAAAAATCTAATCTTATAATCTCAAAATAAACTGATTCTTTGACAATATTACTTCTAAATCACTCTTTTATCTATCTGTTATAATATTATTAGAAATATTAATATTTTTTTAAATTGAATGGTTTATCTTACCAATTTTAAGCTGTGTTCAATATAGCTATTTGAAGTACTTTGTACGTACATAAAGTTTTTATTAACTATATTCTCACGTTATGATATATCGCAACGATATCAGATCGCAAATAAATCAAAAGTTTCTATAGCGGATTCAATTTTTAAGGATAGAACTTTGAGTTCATGACTATCTATGTACATATATTTCGGTAAGCCTCTTCTAGGTAGCATTATGTTACACGATACCTGTAATTTTTAGATTGATAAAAATTCAATCTGAAAGTAACTTACCAAGATTTCTTGCAATTGTTCGTTGGCGTTGCTGTGTCTTCCACTCTCGTCTACTTGACATTTTGAAAAGAGAGCCACTCGTGAGCCTAAAAGCGAGTTAAAGTACAATAAGTTGCTTTTTTATGATTACGCGTTTGTTTGCTAGTAGCCTATTAAACGAACCGGGCTTTCGTCGTAGTAGTGTTGAAGAACTCGACGAATGTTATGAGTTACCGCCACATGAGACTAAAACTGAATCGAAAAACTTTTATTTAATGAAATTTCAACTGCCATTGTTGAAAGTTCGGTACGGTCATTAAAACGCTACGCAGGCAATATAAGGTGGTGGGAAGCCAGCAGAAGTGGTGACAGTGATATAAAATAATCTTACATGAAACCTGAATTTAATTAATACCTTGAACACAAATTAAAATAAATTCAGTCTTCATAAACAGTAAAAAAATTTGGTGCTTGAATGAAGGAGTTATTAGGGAGAAAACATTTTTTAATTGCCTTGGATATGAAATCCAGGGATGCTAAACACATAGTTAATAAGGGAAGACAGATTTACGAGCTAAAGTGAAAGGGGACCAAAAAAAACTATATAATGTGATGTCCTTAATTATTGAATACATTAATACTAATTGGGACGAACTCGTTGGATTTCGGGAAGCCACAACAACCTTGTTTGCAAATAGAATTACTCCGTTATAATAAATATTATTTTTATAATACTTATTTGTTATTCCATTGATATAACGTGTTATTTCAATATTATTGAATACGACCACAGTCACCGACTATGTAAATCTCATTTTCGGTGTTACTTATCTCTTACGATTTATTTTAAATATAAATTGCTAAAGTACACTTTTCTTTTCTGAAATGTGTACAATAGCTCGGGACGATTCGTTACTACATTATTAAAATAAGGAGAAGTTCACAGAAAATATGTTACATCAACATATCTTAGAGGATCTTCATTTCGGGTACTGAACTTAAACGAGATTTCTCATTATAACTATTAGGATTAAGATAGTAAACAAACTTGTTTCCACTAAAAATATATTTGTTGTAAATTCGGTCGCTTTTAGTTTATATGACGGTTAGGAAAAGTTTCATTTTTGAAATTAATTTTAACTTTAAAAGAACAATGTTCTCTTTTGATTTAAGCCTTGTTACACATCGAAATGGTGATCTTATAAACTATTGTTTATCGTATAAAATTGCATTTACGTACCTTTAACCTAAACCGTGCAATACTTATTGTTAAATCTGTCAACGTTGACCGACATATATATTATAATTAACTTTTTTGTATTAGTCTATAACAGTAAGTACGAAAACGACTAAGCGTTCCAATCGCACAGTGTGTTTCGCACTTTATTTTAAGAAGATAAGATTCGTAAGGATAATTTTAAAAAAATGTAACAGTTACCTTCAACGAAATACTTTTCTGATGTAGGTCTACATAAACTTGCGAATTATATATGTATATGACTTTTAGTGTTTCCACTTTTTATGATTGCTCACTTTAGGACGGAGGCTTCAGAGACCAGTTCGACATGCCGCGAGGAGGTTTTGACGACATGCCGCAGAACCGCGTTTGGGAAGGACGCCCAATGGACGAATACCCAAACAAGCGTCGTCGTTTTTAAAACACGTTATCGAGACAGTCTATTTAACATACGCACGTCCTCTCGCATAGTTTCGCGCTCGTAGTCTAGGCAAGTTTTGGTTTGGGAAAAATATGAGACACCATTGGATTTTTTAAATTAAGTCTTACAAGATCAGTAGACATAAAGATATTTTAGACTATTCTTATTTTTCAGGCCTTATATTTTTTTCTAACCTAATACTTCATTAGACTTCATGTTACACATCCTTAAAATCGTTCAGGAAGCGACGAGATGACATAATATTTTAATATAGTGACTTTAAATATCTCTTATAATTTAAAATAATATAATATTAATGAATTCTTGGTAATGATCAAAGTATTTGTAGTGTATTGCTGTTCTCTATGAATTCTCATCGTGTTATTATAATACATGACGCATAGGAATAATTAAATATTAAGCTTATTTTTTAACTTAAGATATGATTCACAATGGTTCGATGCTATTTTTCATATAATTATAATTAGATCCGTGTAACCAGAGAGCATAACGTATCTTCTTATTTCTCTTAATACCCCTATTAAGTGAATTGTTAATATACATTTTCTCTGATTGTAAGGAGTCTATTTCTTTGAAATTGGGGAAAAAATAAATGGAGAATTAACCTGACGGGTTAGCCACAAAATTAAGTAGGCTCAAATTATTTTTTCTGCGAAATTACTACGTTTATATACAATTACTTACAAATACTTTTATAGCAATTAGGTGTATTAGCTAAGTTATTTTAGAATTTAAATTTTTGCGCTCTTCTAGAGTGGAACTTTAAAATAAAATTTAAAAAAATCTAAGAGTTTCTTTTAGAGTAATAAAGTAGCACATGTCGTTTCTTTATTCAAATATGTTCAATTATTTATTTAAAACTATGTCTACACATTGTGTATACTTGTAATACACACATTAAATGAAGTTCTTACTTTTATTGTCAAAATTTTCCTTACTCAAAGTACTACACTTATAAAAAACCTTGTTACCAACTGTTATTTCTGTAATTGTTGGTAATAAGGTTTGACAGTATTTTAGCAATACATTTTTCTTACTATGTATTGATTTGAAGGTAATAGTTCTCTAATACGTACCGATTGCACGTATTTTTTAACAATTTTCTTAAACACGATGTCGGAATTGTGCGCTATTGCATCTAAAGCTTGGCCTACATTTATAGAATAATAAGATGGGGGGTAGTACGGAATATTATTCTAAATTGACAATAACCGACAAGCTTGTGCACATGCACTTAATTAAACATCGGGGTAAAGTGGTTTATGCGTAACGTGCGAACTATCATAACAAGCATATTTAAAAAAAATGATGATTTTTACTTTTTTTCATTATTGTAAAATTCATTCTTTTCATAACATTCGTATAACAGTTGTATTAAGGTATTACTTACCTTGTAACACTCGCATTTATCGTGTTTTATTTCATTTAAATTTCCAGATCCTCATTTGGCTGACTATACATTTTAAATCTACATTACAACTTACTATTTCCTACCATTTCTTTAGGTGAAGGGAAGTATGAAAACAATATTTAATTCATTATATTTCGCAATAATCTCATTTGTGTTATTTTTAAAGTGCACAATTGAGTCATAGATTTATCGTAATGGTATTTATCAGTAATGAGTGTTTGTACATGTTTATTTTTTGAACATTGCTACTTTTCAGGATTTCTCTACGCAAATTGTATCAAACTCGACGTTGTGGGGTTAGATACGATATAAATACGACATGATAATATCGATATGTATTGTATAATAATGAAAATAATATAAAGCAATATTATCGTAAATGTCTGTTTTCCTACGGCGAACTGTTTTTATTTTATGCGGATTGCGGAATACATTCTATGCTCAGCACGTATATTCGAATGTAAACCTAGCTGGTACGAAACGCAGTACCTAGATGCGACTTACAGCTCTCAGTATAATAAACGTAGAACACAATTAAATCAAATGTTGTTAGAATATTATAATAGGATATATCCGTGTATTATCACATTCAGACAATCATCGGGTCTTTGATCAGACAAATTTCAACTATTCTCTATCGTTCACCAAATGCTTATCTTCACGAAGCAGGTCTTCTTGTTCGTTCGAAGTGGAATTTAGTCTATTTTTAATTTCGTTCACAGGCGTACATGAATATATAATTGGTATTTTGATTTCATTTGAGAACAACTACTAACTATACATTGCACATTATCTGAATTTACTTGCTACGTAGCTTCTAGACGAATTGATACTTGTGACGTGTAAAATCGAATTTGCTAAAAGTGAACAATTTATATTCCTTCGTATCTTTTTTTTAATTTTGTATGTTTGCTCATGAGAAACCTAGCTAAAATTCTTTTACTAAGGAAACTGAAACGAACAAGATGGTTACAGTTTTATGATTCAAAGGATTCTAGCGACACACTTATACCACACAGTATCTATTGAGGAATTTTAATTGTGTTTTATAATTGCATTATTTATTCTATTATGTCAGCTTTTAAGTCAAATGATTGATGATGTCACATTTATACCAACTTTAGTTATAATTCTCTTCTGCAAAGATAGTTTGATGGAATTTTAAAGATGTCTTCGTTTCGTACTCTACTCCAACATTTTAAGTTTCACCAAATTTTTCATAGCACTGTGCTTTTCTTTGAAAGGATGACAATTTTGTATTGGCCTTTATGGGCGAGATTGGTTATTTTTTTGAGCTTTCCGGCTTGATTCTTGATGTCAATTCAATCCTTGACCATCCCCTTCCAGCCAACTGTTTGCTCCTCCTTTTAGATTAAGTTTTTCCTTCAACATAATCCGAGAAGAATATGATGAGGCCGAAGAAAAACTTATAAATGCACCTAGAAGAGTGTTTTCCTGCGCCTTAACAGTTTTGCTGTTCCCGTTTATATTTTGCTACAACGTGCCCATGTTGTTTATTTCATAAGTGGTAAGTGCATATGACAATGAACGTGGTTGATTAAATAAAATATTTTTCATAAATACAATACGTATGTGTATAGTAATCGTTGACACTATTCAATTTCTATTAAATTTTATAAGGCTACGGCGGCCAATTTGCAAAACTTTAAATTTCGAGTTTTGGCTTTCGCTTTTGAGAAACGCGGAACATCTGATGATATCACTCCTGTTGGCGCGTCATCGAGAACAAATTCTTAATTGCGAAAGCCGAACAGCTTGAAAAACAAAAAAAAATCTATCGTTCCTATAGAAATGTTGAATTTTTAATTTCACATTCTTTATTTACGATACTCTTTAAAAAAAAAAGTTTATAACAGTTACAAAGAATAATTACCTAAAAAAAAGAAGGATTGGGCTTTTTATTCATAGCCGTTATGAAATTCTCGATGAATGTGGAATAGCTCCTGAAACAATTTGGACCGTCTAATCTTCTCTCGTAACAAAGGTATAACATAACATATTAGTCTCCATTAACCTAATTTTTAGGAACTTATGCGTATCACGTGGAATAACCGTCGCGGTTGTTTGACCAAGAATGAATAAACAAAACATTAAGCTAAATTGTCCATTAAGATAAGACTTAGATCAGACGCAAGTACTTGTTGATCTCTAGTATGCCCTTAACCTGTACATATATTTTGACTACTGGCTATCAAATGAAAAATCAAAATATTTTATTCATAAGTTCACATGATTTACCTATACTTGTCAAAACTTAATATAAAACCTAATGTGATTTAAACTTAAAATTGTATGGGTTTTCTATGTTGGAAATCTTGATCTTTGATTTATATTCATGATTTATTAGACTAAAAAAAAATCTGTCTTTATATGCAGATAACTCGCTTTTATTTGAAAACACCGCCAAAATAATAGTATTCAATCAATGAAATACATAAGCCCCATGCAATCGATTTTATTAATATATTCTTGCATTTTCAGGTCTCGGTTTTCAGCTAGAAGAGAAATTGGAATTTATCAAAAGGTACGTAAAAAATATAGAAATATATGTATATATGGCAAAATATTTCTATCTTTTGGCATTAAAGTTTCATAATAGTTTTTTATTTCAGAGACTATAATCGGCTTTTTGGGACCTTTGCTGCGTCTTTATCTCCATTGAGTATGGTGAGTTTATTTTATTATTTTTATCTTGTATTAGAGTCCTTTATCAGATTCGAAGCAATATAAAGTAAATTTATTTTTGTTCAAATACTAAGATCCTGACAGAGGGCTCCGATATTTTGAGCTAGACATAAGATATGTAATGATGAATCTTTTTACATTTTGTCTTCTTTTCCCGTCAGAAAAATGATGACGCATAACCAAAATATTCTGAATGAAAAAAAAAACAATATTATGTTACTTAACCCTGGGTACATTTAAGTTATCTAATAGATTAAAAAAATACATTTATAAACAACGTGAGGAAATTATAGCTACCCGGCAAAGTAATATATTTATATTGTTTTTTTTTTTTACTTCGTATTAATGGTTTATAAGTGGAAATGATATTGATTTTAATACACAATTTTCATCTTTTACAGGGGCGTTTCAAAATATTGGCAAAGAAGAAAATCAACATTTCACTTTAAAGCTTATGAGTGTCATGTATAGTTTTTTTGTTATCTAGGCATTAGGATTTCAAATAATCTGTCTAAATATGAAACGAAATTTATTTTGAATAAAGTTAACGTATAAGGCAATGCGTGAAACTGATAAATGTACTTGACAGAGTAACACAATTATTGCCATCTTGTTCAAATAAAAGCCAATGCAATAAGCTAAGAGTAGTTAGTTTCGTTAAATAGTAATGTCTAATTTTAGAGGGAGCAGTCCCTTTAATAAATAAGTTTTGCCACTGAATTTGCTGTATCTAATAATCAATTAAGTAAAATATATTAATAATGTAGATTTATCTCAACACTTCCTCAGCATTTTAAAGGAAACATTTTGGTCATCACATTTATAACGGAACCTTCCCGTTATTCAAGGTGAGTGGAATATAGTCAACTACCCCTTTTATTGAAAAAAAAATTAGTTATTTCACGATCTCACAAAATACTTAGTCCCATTTCTGTTATTTAATTGTAATGTTTTTAAGTTTGAAGTTGTTTTTGAATTTTAAAAGTTTTATAGTTTATCTATAAAATATTATTTTTAATAATTAAAAAAAAATGTTTATTGTTGCAGGTAAAAAATAGAAGAAGAATTGCCTATTTAAAAATAATATAAGTGAATTTTCAGTGTTTTTTTTTCTTATGTAATAAAAATTTACACATTAACATGTTATGAGCAATATATTATATATTTTTCTCAATCTTTCCCTGTTTTTGTACCTATATGTCAAAATAAAAAGGTTTGATTCTTTACTTGACTTTCAAATTTATAAAGAAAGAGAAAAGTAAGTATTTTAATGCTTATTATTAATACAAATTTCTTGTTTTCTACATGTCTGCGAACTTAGACTCGTTTCTAGTTCTGAGATAATAATTTCCTCTGGCCGTACTAGGAGCTGGGTATCCCATGCTAACCGCGCCTTCTTTGCAATTTCCGTTTTCATACTCTTTCCAGCTGCCGCACGGATATGATAAGAAGCCGGTTTCAGTTGTGTAGAAAACAGATTCGTCGAAATAAACACACGCTCTGCCGTGACTGCATACACTTTCTGTAACCATTGTATTGGAAAGATATGTATGCATAGTACGTAGTTTTTTTAGTAAAAACCAAAAAACTAATGTCATTTACCTTTACCGCATCCTGGTTGCACTTCAGTACCTTTATTAGGATAGAAGTCTGCGTGGCCATAGCTTCTCAAATATCCATATGTACCGGCCGCCGTATGGATAATGTCAACGAAAGTAGCGTCGCTTTTATCCAAAACGAAGTCGGCGGGCAATTTAGGTATTTCAAATAAAGGCCGCGCTGGGTCTAAGCCTAAAAAAAAGAAAGTAACTAACAGATGGTAGAAGACTGAAGTAATTAGAGAAACCCCGTTTCCTATTTAGGTGATCGATTTTATTTTAAAGATAGATGATATTTTTTCCCAGGGCGTTCATAGCTTACCTGTTATTCTGAACGTACTTCTATTGGAGAACATACCAGCGTAACCCATAACTTGAGCACCCAAACTGTGACCAATTAGGTGGATATTTTCGGATTCAACGTCGTAAGTTTGTATAATAGCATTTAGTAACTGCGCCACTCTTTTACCAACGTATCGCGTACTTAGCGCTGCCCAAGGATAAAATATATTTTCCGATAGTTCACTCCAGTCAACAGTTATGACATTCAAATCGTACTCCGTTAGGAGGGATGTTTTTAAATCTTGCAACCATTCAATTTTGTCCGATGAAAGCCAGCCATGTGTTATAACTCTGACATCGTTTGCCTTGTTGAAAAATTTGCTGGATATCAGAGAATCATTGCTTTTGTGAACAGTTAGGCGTTCTGGTGAATCTCTATTGTCCCTAAAAAGTATTATTTTTTTCATCCGTAAAGAGTGTTAAGTGTAATAAATCAATTATATTACTATAACATACCTAGTATAAAGATTAAAGTAAGCATCTCCGAATAACATTCCGGCTGTTGTTCGCGGGATCAAAGAGAAGTTCATAATGTGTCTAGTGTTGTTTTCGTCGAAGTAATACAGCCATTCGTCTCCATAGCCGGGGCCATAATCTTGAGATTCTACACTTAGCCATACTATAAAATTAAAAGTAGTAAATTAAAAATTACTTATTATATTAAAAAGCACTTATCAGCAATCTTGAAATTTGACCGTCCGAGGATAGCTCGATTGAACTTACGCGTCCGTCATAGGAATTTAATCCACTTTGTTGTAAAATTATATAGCATCCGAAGGCAAATAAGGTTTAGTTTTCCCCAACAATAAATAATATCCCAGCCTTACAACATCTAAACAAAATGCGATGTCGATCTAACTGAGTATTCAGAATCGCGATTATACGTTACAGCTTTTTCATATATAGATGGTGGTTCGTGATCCGGGCGGAATTTCGATATTCCTACTACTCATTTAAAATCCAAATTTCCAGACGAAATCCAACATGTTTTAGAAAAAATATAAATTGATTAGCAAAATGTTGGACCCTGCGGAGATCGAACCCACGACTCGTTGATTATTATTTAGCCTTATATTGGTACAATTACACTTACATATAAGGAAATATTAAAAAAAAAGTTTCGATGTCGGAAATATTTTCTATGTAACGGCCCACAGAAGAAAGAAGTAAGACGGCGCCACAGTTTATTTGACTCAAATCTAAGTAAAAACTTACTTATAAAGTATATAGCACTAATTAAATAACACTTTTCTTTTAAAGGCATAATTTAAATGCAGGTTGATTCGAAATAAATTTGTAATTTTACTTCAAAGTTACAACCACGGAGAAATAGCTACTAACACCACTGTTACTAGCATCTTATACTGTGACTTGGTATTGAACTACGCAAAATTATCTATTCTTGGATAAGAAGACCATGAGTTTTTTCTTTGCCCCAAGAGCGTGTCGGCAACACAACGAAACTTGGTTCTGTTGTGCAATAACATAAAAGTAATATAAAATGACAAAGACAAGATACGCAATTATGTCTATCTACATAAAAAATACTTTTACTTGTCATCTCCTCTGATGGATTTTTTTCTACTGACGTATCTAACAAGGGCAGTTATATCTTATATCCTATATATAAGTAGTTTTTTCTTGTTACATTCCGGTTTTCTCACAATATTTTCCCTTGCAATTTTTTCGTACCTATACAGCTGGATATGACGCACTTATTTCGACAGGTTTTTTTAGATAGCATACAGGTACGTAGGTAGAGATAATTAAAAAAACCTCGAATGTTATCGCATGGACATTAATATTAATAGATGCATTTTGAAGGATATTTTGACCTTGTATTAAAGATTAGAAATGTCACATTAATATTGGCCGAAATGGAATAACTCATCTATACCAATATTATAAAGCTAAGAATTTGTTTGAACGCGTTTAGCCCAGAAACTACTAGTTGAAATTAAAAAAAAATATTTTGTGTTGAATAGACAATTTGTCGAGGAAAGTGCATATTGTAATATACTACTCGGAAAGCTACAGACAGTTCCTAAAAATTATAGTTCGTAATTGAAAATAAAACGACACATATATCATAGCAACGTTATTGTATTTAATTTTTTTGAATTGAATCCTTTGTGTGCTTACACAGTAAACACTGATCTCAACACTTATAACTAAAAATAATCTAAAAAACATAAGTAAATGATATTTATATAGATTCGTAAAATCGTGGCTTGTGCATTATCTTATTTCAAATAAGGCGAACACAGGCGTTGTGGTTTTACTGGAAATACATAAGTATATTAAAAGTGCTGGGTATAAGTTCGAAGGTTCGGATAATACATTACCGTGCTGACATAATGTGCAGTTGCCTTAAGATTTTATTATTGGGTGCCCTTGTTTCACCATCATCCATAGTGTTACGTTTGCCAATGTGCACATAATAGGTACATCGTTCGCTTATTACTTTTAAACAAACTGATATACATACGATTTAATTACATTACTCTAATATATTGCTATCTTTTCATTTTAGTCTAAAGAAGTCGTGGAACGTATTTAGAGATTATTGAGTCCCTCTAAATAAACCGAATAGGTATAGTCGATTGTCTCGAAGATTTAATGAATTAAAAATCACTTAAGGTACAGACGCCACTGTCTAAATACTTAGGGAAGGTTGTTTTTTATTATGACAGACTAGATATCACATGGATTGAGCCGTTATATGTTTATTTACTAACATCTGTTACAACGGTGGATAAGATAATTAAAAAAAATCACAATATTAACGGATTGCGGATTGCGGTTACTTTTAGAATTGCGTGGATTCGTCGCCATCTCAATAATTTATATCTAGCTTCCTAGGCACATTTTTTCTAGTTCGGTTACTCACATTTTATAACATCTGTATGGATAATATATTTGGCTATTTGTCTATAGTATTAAGTAGCTTTTAAATTAATTTTGTTGATGGACCCAATGAATAGTCACCCTTATTTCTTAAAAGAAAAAGAGCACTGGTGTTATGTTAGACAGAGCAATTTTATTATTGCTTTATATGACAACATACTATGCAAGATAGTGAACGTCTACAAGTGATAAAAGACATTTTATATAACAATACATCGCAAAAAAAAATTGAACGAGGCAAAACAAAATTTAGAACGAACAACAAAACAAAGTTTTATTTTCACCACCTTGCTACAAAACTCTCTAAATGTTAAAGATTTGCAAAAGATTTTACTTTACAGTTGGTCAGTCGAAAAAATTGAGCATATATTATATACATATTTAATTTAATTGTACCGAACGGAGAAGTTATTGCACAAATTGTCGACACTATCTTTCTATTTGTATCATGTGGTGGGCATCACCTTCTAAAGTAAGACAAACAAAATCTACTTCGTGTCGATAAACCTCAGCTTAAACTAGTTGCCGGCAGTGACCAGAGTGATGATGCGACCTGGGGCCTGATTCTGCTTTTTACACTGGCTTGCCCGGTTCTACCATTTGGTATTTTTCTAACTTCATATAAACTCTGCCGTCGAGTAAAATCGTGTTCGGGAAGAAACGGAATCAGAGCCCAGGTCTTAGACATTACAGTACATCTACACGCTCGCGCTAGTGTACCACGTACCAACTACTCCTTACCATATCTACCTAACTATTTTACGAGTTATTTATGTATCAATTTCTTTAAAGCGTACATTTTATACTTATTTTTAGGATCTTCTTAACGATATTGGAATGTCGAATCGTTTTGAATATATTCTGATACAAAAATTCGTCTTAAATCATTGTGTACATAAAACGCGCCTTACCAATATATAACTTGTAAGTTAATAATACAAACTAAATAAACAGTCTTTTAGTTGACTGACAAACTAAATAACATTTAACAGGTGGGATGGATGCAGGAACCTGACGGTTTTCTTGTCAAAGTATTAATTTTACATAAATGAAATGCGATAGCAGAAATTTCATTGCTCGACTATAATGAATTGTACTTGTAGCACCTTTCTTTATTAGCTGGGTTCCAATACAAGGTACTTTTAAAAGATGGATATTGCAAACGTAGTATGACCATTATTATAGGACGTTATTGTGTCTTGATTTGAGTTGACTCGAACGTCATACATAACTTTATGCAACACCTAAATAAATAAGTGTTTAATACCTAACGTGTCTATACATATGTACAGTTCAAAAATTATATGAAAATCAACTAGATACGCAACAGATAAAACTTATAATTTGTACTTGGAAATAAATAACTTTATATAAAAATAAAAAAAAACATTAACCCCTCAACTTACACATCTACCTAAGATTATATTTGTTGTGTTGTACATTACAGCCGCGCGTTCGACGCTAAGTGTGGTTGGCGATTAAAAGAACCGACGACATTTAAATAATTTCGTTGCGTACATGAGCGCCGAACGCACACGCCATTACAATATCGTACGTTACGTTTAATAGTTACAATAATAACTACAATATAATGTTGGTATGAGTGGTGTCGTGGATGCCATCCCACTCATACCTAAAGCGTTTAGGTGAACGTAGCTTCGCACTGCCTACCCGCCGCTACACCGCCCTACAATTTAAAATAACGATGTCGTCTTATTATCATCCATTCCATGTGACCCTCGATACGTTCATCCGATCTTCTCTCACGTCAAACCATCGACGGCACATTTAAACGGTCTATAATAAGTATTTGAAATCATTAATTGACAATTAAATCGCTTCGGAGAACAGACAGTGCGAATAGAAACGCCACTGCATCCACATAGTTTACACGAATGTACATTTTACATACATAGATTACGATTCAGTCGAATATTGCGACTGATTGCCTCTTAATTCTTAACATAGATAGTCTCCAGCGATGTAGTTCAACTTTCGACAGAGGTGGGCTTAATGCTAATTCGACATTGTTACCTAACTAAATAAATTCAGTTCAAAAGTCAAGTTGTCACTAGTCAATCTTCGAAGTAAACCTTTGTAACTCGTTCACTCGGGTCTTATTCAAAACTATCATCAACTTGACTTGACACTTGCGTTTATACAATTAATTATGTCGCTCTACACACCAGCTTCGTAAGCTTTATTTGTAACGTGATTAAACGAAATCGTATTCGTTTAAAATTCTAACTAAGTGCCTTTTCTTATATCGATCACTACATAATTAATGAAGAGCGACATGTTAAACGCGCTGATATATTTAAAGTAGTCGGTGGGGAGAATATAATATTGTAGCCGTCAGCAGACAGTCTCCGCGGGAGCCGGCGCCGGAGCTAGGGGAGCGAGGGGCGACAGGGGAGCGATCGCCGAAAGCGAGGACATCGGAGGCGGCGGGGCGAGCGGGTCAGGGGAACGCCGTCGTAGCGCCTGGCGCTTTCGAAACTCCAAGAACTCCTCCTTCATGGCGCGTACTCGCGCTTCCACATCGTCGCGCGAGGGCCGTGCCCGGGTACGTTCCGGCGTCGACGGGGTGGGTGTGCGTGTGGCGCGATCCCATTCATAGTGCACGTCCACGGACCCGGCGTCCACAGCTTCACCCGATTCGGGCCGCGACGGCACGGGGGCTGGGGGCGGTGCCCTGTACGGCGGCGGTCGCCATTCCGCTAAGCTACCAGTGCGACTGCTGCGATTGTGCTGAGATGAGGACGCGTTCTTGCTACCGAACCCGCTCGACGACGAGCGACTCTCCGGGGACGCCTCGTGAGGTGGAGGCGGATCGGTGCCGGGACGAGGACGCGCGTGTCGCGGAACGGGTCGCCATCGCGTACGGCTTAAAGCATTGCACAGGACACGTGAATCGTTCGATTGTCTTGGCGGCCGCAACAAAAATGACGGAGGCGTCGGAAAGGAGCCGTCGGCGGAGCTCGGGAAAGGAACTGAACTAAGATCAGATATATGGAGCGGCGACCACGGCGTCCACGCCGGTACCCACGGCGCCCATGGAGGCCAAGGTGACCAGTGCGCGACGGCGGGTGACGAGGCGCGGAAGAGCGGCGGCGCAGCGGTGGGCTGGAGCGGCGCCCTCAATCGCGGGAGGAAGCCTCCGTCGTCGGACGAGGAAGGGGCTGGCGATGCGGAGTGGTGGGAGGGAGAGGGTGAGACGCGAACCCAGTACGGCATGGCGCCCTCCTCAGCGCACCTTGTCGGCGGCCAGATCCAGTTTGCCGTAAATCGCAAACATTGCACTATACTCGATATTCCGCTTTCTCTAAATCTGCAAAATACATTCAATTGTTTTAGTTAATTCATTTAGTATACACAACTATTTAACAATAATCTAGATTGCGTTAGTAACTAACCTGATTTCCTGTAAAAACGCAGCGGGAAACACAATTCATAAAATAATTAACTACTTATTTGCTTCATTCAAGTCAATAAACTACAATTTATAAGATATATTTATCTAACATACAACGAGCTGAACTTGCGAGTATTTCGAAGACTTACTTTTTAAAAGGCACTTGAGTGCTGTCAGCGGCGCGAAGGTCGGTGAGTCTCGCGGCTACCATGTTGTATGCTGCAACCGAATTATTTCTGAACATTAACGCGGTGCAGAGACTGACCAGTGCGAATAACACTCGGCCGCCACCCGCAACCGACACCACACCACACCAAGCCCATATCCACGCCATGACCGCCCGAAAACCATATTGTCAACTTAAAAGCATTTAATTCATCGTATTGACCATTCCAGAAATCCAATTACTTTCAAAATCCTCATTGAATCGTGTTAGTGGTCTTGTCATTCGATGAATTAAGTTAGAAGTGCGGTTATAATATGTACAATCACACAATCAATGGAAGTGAAAATGAAACGCGTGAGACACATCAGAATGTTATGGAAAAATGTGCAAAAACATAACAGCCCATTCAATTAGCAATATCTACGAGCAGAAGAAACACAACATGCTTTCATTAATCTATATCGGCATTGAAACGAGAAATGTGTAGAAACAATAGCTTTATCACCGACAATATGGTAATAACTCGTAAGATCGTTCTTCAAGGGATCTAGAGGTAGAGTTCTATTTAGCTTTGAACTAGAATTGAGCGTCGGGAGCGAGCTAGCGGCCGCATCCCCTTCGGACTCACCTTTCTCCTGTTTGCGTCTCTTACGCTTGTTGCATATCTTGACAGCGCACACGGAAAGTATTATGGCGACTATAAAAAACAATATTCCCCCGACGACGCCGGCGGTGATAGCTTTGTGCTTCACCCGCGCGGGGACGGCGAATCTCACTTCGTCAGAACTTTCGTAGCTCGTCGCCGAATTCGCTAAGATGCGGAAGTAATACGTGCGGCCGCCGACTAAATTTTTCACTGCAAATAGAAAAAAATATAACGTAATAATAATATATCTACATACTAAATTAAAGTTAAAATTTAGATTGAAAAAAGTGTACGTCAAGGGCGGAATGTGAACCGGCATCCACGGCGTTCCGTGCTGTCGCTCTAACCAAATGAGCTACCGGGTCCTATACGTCATCGCCGAATTTTTCAACCTATTGATATAGACGATGATAAAAACTACTTTTTAAAATCTACAATCGAATTTTAATTTATATAATGCCATCATATGCAATAACAAGTAAAAAATATGCAAGTTTTCAATAACCATCTATATTGTACTTTTATAGTTTATACATTTTTTTACACAGTACATTAAGAAGATAACACAACCAACTGAGCTACTAATCCATCTTTGTATGCAGTAAGTGTATATATTTTAATTCATATAATACTCATTTAACGTGAAAACAATGGTTTTAAAAAGCCATTTTATATTTTTTTCGCGAGGGTTGCATGTATTATGGGTTGAAAAAATTAGACGATTATACGTGTGCGACACGGTAGATCAATTAGGGCAGCAAATTTTATTCATTATTTATTCATTTAATAGATTGTTTAGTCAATTTAAGTTAAATGTATTAACGCGAATGTTGTCTGGACTTAAATATTTTGTTTGTTAAGATCATCAGTTTACGCGAGTAGTACACATTTAAAAAAAACACTTTAACGGTTAAACAAGCTTGTTCTGGACTTCGGCCCGACGTTTTCAAATAAGTTTAACTAATATATCCCGTTTCAAACCTTAAAAGTTTTTTTTAAATATTCTGTTTGTATTTGGTGACATTGAATATAGGGCTACATATTGGGTTAATGTCCAGTAAACATAATTTTCTGGGCTTACCAAGATAGCTGGTTTCTTCAGGGCGTATCTGTCCCCTATTGAGCGTCTTCCATTGAGCATCAGTTCTATACTTGATGGTGTAATATTGAACGAGATGCGAGCGATCTAGCGGAGTCTGCCACGAGATAAGAAACCCGTTGTGTACTTCAGTCACGGTTAGGTTGCGGGGCTGGCCAGGTTTTGGACCTGGACATACAGAAAAATATTAAGTAAAAGATATAAATCCATCTACGTTTAAGGCTAAAATAAAAAACAAGCAAACTTATTGACTTCCTTGTCAAATTATTCAAATAATGTTATCCCTGCAAGTAGCTAGGAAATGGAAAGCACAATATTGAGAACAGTGAATAGAAGCAATTTACGAAATGCGTGAGCAATGCTTCAGTTATTGTGTTAAAGAGTTAGTACGTTAGTAGACAATGTAATTAGACATGCTTATACAAAATAAATTTTAAGAATTTATAAACAGAAATAAAGGATCGAAAACTAATTTGTAAAATTTTAGCAAGTTATAAAAATACGTGGCGTTTAAAATGGAATAAATAGCATGCTTTAAGTACCAGATCCCTCAGGAGCGTTCTGAAAGATCTTTTCATCTACTGGTCCCGCGGCGGTCGGGGTAGTCTTTGGTTTCGCACCTACATCTATAAAGAGCAAATAGTATTTTTACTATATCCCGCACAGTATGCAACCGTTACCGTCTTCAAATAATGGTTCAATACTGTCTGTAGATTACGCGAGTAGTACACATTTGTAAATAAAGTTTGTTAAATGGTAACCTTAATACGCCCTTAACTATGCGATTACAATTATTGTTATTGTTCGTCCTCACAAGTACGAAATTCGCTTAGGTATTGAAATACCCACAGTACATGACTAAGTATATATATTCATGCTTTGTATAACAAATAAGTTGATCACATAAAAAAGATTTTCAGATCAGCCGTTGTTAATAATTTCAAAATACATTTGTTAGTTATGTTTCTGTTAGATGAGAATCATACGGTTAAAATTTTAACTGAATTTAGGTCACAGTTAACAATATTTCCCTGTGATATAAAATAGACTTACCAAGAGTCCTTATGGTAATAGCCTTGCTCATCATTCCTTCTCCGATAGTGTTTTTGCTATTGACTTGAAATTCATACGTGGTCCCCGGTTGCAGCCTATTGATTGTGACCTGCAAATTACAATAAATATAATATGTAATAATTAATTAAAAAAATATATAAATATATTTTCGAGATAGTGGATGGTAATATAGAGACTGTAACAAAATTCTTGCAGCATTTTTTTTTGATTGGGTAAAATTATCTAATTATAACCCAGCTTACACATACAGGCTTTATTTTTATTTTAGTTGCCCTGATATGTTTCTTCTTTAGAGATAGAATGATATACATTTTATCTCGATACGTGTTTGATACTTACAAAGGTCGCTCCGGAAGGCGTAACGGGCACCTTGGTCCACTCCGAGAAACCAGCCTCCCGATACCAGATTGTGTAATCCTGCTTGTAGTCCGGCCCCCCAGCGTATCCCGGCTGCCATCTTAGTGTCACTTGAAACTCAGTGGCAGTGCCAGAAACATTGTACGGTGCGTGTGGCTGAGTTCCCTCTATAACCAGCTGCGTATCGGCAACTATTGTTGCCACCTAGTACAAAATGTATCATAAGTAACATTTGATCAATATAATTAAGAAATGATCATTAATAACGATTCCTCCCCACTAGAGTTCGGGCTTCTTGTAAGGTGGACTTAATTGCAACCACCAACGACCAATTATTACCTTCCCTTTTTTCTTCAATTCAGAACACGTGTTGGAATATGCATATAAGATTATGGTGCATGATCAAGGGATATCCCTTATCAAAACGGTTGAAATTCTTATGAGAACAAAGGCGGCACTTACTTAAAAATATTACTTACCTCGTTAGAAGCTACACATTGATAGATCCCAAAGTCCTGCCGACGTAGTGTGTCAATAGTGACGTTTCCTCCTAAGGCTCTTACTCTGCTCTTCTGCAACGGAAGACCATCCCTTCGTCTCCACACAACGGTGGGACGTTGTGTTCCTTCAGCTTCCTGTGCTTCACAATGCATCTCCACCGATTCTCCAACCTAATAGTTATTAAATCTCTGTTTAATAATAGATAGTTCAAAACAGATAGGAAATGTTTAACTAATGTGCCCTGAAAAAATGTATGAATTGTTTGGTGTTACTAATTATTGTTATTATTGATAACAATTATAGATATTGAAATATTGAATATTATATATTTAATTTTATAAAAAAAAAGAAAGCTCTCGTTTTGCTGTGTTAATTTGAGCCATCTGATGTTAATACCGTCTTATATGTATACTTAAATGTAAATAAATAAATACGTATGAGTTTGAGAAATGGTTCTCGAATATTTAAGTATGTATGTATTAAGAATTTGTTTTCAAGAACAAATTACGAAAAATGTGCAATATAACTATCATAGAATTAACTTACCTTTCTTTGGTACAACGGTTCTGGTTCTACTGTGAACACGGGTGGCTTTCTGACCAGTACCTCCATGGGTCCTGTGAAACAATCACGTTATAATAAAATACTGTAATTGTCCCTTTTTTATTTTATTTGTCCACGAAACACGACCTACCTGAAGATCCTTGTGTGCCCTGTGCATTGTAAGGTGTACAGGTATACCTGCCTTGGTGATTCTGATTTACTCTAGTGAACAGCAGGGAGCCATTGTTCATTATCACAATATCTTTCGTTTGATAGGGCTCCAAGAGTCTTTTATCCTTCGTCCATGTGACATACTGGAGAGGTGGATTTGCTTTTATGTAGCACTGTACTACCCCGGCAAGTCGAAATGGAAGATATTGTACTGTCGGTGTGAACGTCACTTTTGCCGGATCTAATAAAAACATCTTTGAATGAACAAGAAGCGTATTTAAATGTTACCTAAACTTTACTACTAAAATATGAAACGTAATTCAATCTATGATAGATTTTTATGTATTTGAAGCAATCATTTAGTTTTATTGTGTGAGTACATAACATGTGAAAATAATGATGTTAAAAATTGTGTACGTATCGAATTATTTTATTAATTAATTCGCTCTTATTCCATTGAATACCAGTTTAAAGGCGAAGAGAGAACGTGCTATTCCGTTGGTCCTAAAAACCAGGTATTTTTTACATCACTCTGCTGGCAGCAGCATCCATGCTCTACTTTGGGAGGCAATTATTATTTTAGCAGTGACTTGCGATATAACAAATGTTAGATACATAAGTTTTTAAAACACAGGCGTTTTACAAACAAAATACCTTAAAGTGCTACCTAAATTAGGTCTCTGTTTGTATAGCTGTTGGTGGTACAAACGTATATATTAAGTGTATGTTAATTCCTGTAACGTGTTAGAACAAAAAGCAATTGCCTACACAGGGTGATTCTGAGAAAAGCCAACTTACATTCCACATTCAAATAGGCGGAAGCACTCTGTGGGTCACCAATCCCGTTGGACACTTCGCACAGGTACTGTCCCGAATCATCAGCTGCAACTGGATTAATCACTAGAGCACCATCGCGTCGGATAGTGACCCTCGTATCAAGAGCTGCCACTTCAGAGACCGGGGCGCCTTCACGGAACCATTTCACTGTCACATTGCCAGGTAACGCTTTGGCTTCGCAGGAAAATTGTACCTTCTCTCCTTCTAGCTTCGTTTGATTTGTTGGTGGCATCTACAAAAAATGTTCAATATAGATCGAGGCCTCGAACTTTTCGATTGACAACTTATTTTATCTAAAATCTACGGGGAACTAAAAACAGTTATAAATTACTACGAGCATATTATAGTTACCTTTTCAAAAACTCTTACAACAACAAAAATCTATCTAATATTATAAAGGTGAAGAGTTTGTGTGTTTGTTTGTTTTAACGCCCTAATCTCAGGAACAACTGGTTCGAATAAAACAATTCTTGTGTCTTTTCTGTTTGTTAGAACAGTTATTATGTGGAAAAAATAAGGAAAATTATTTATCTTTGAGGGTTTCCGTCGCGTGCTCTAAAAACGGAGCAAGGTACCCAAAAATATGTTTTTAAACGGTTTTTTTTATTTTTTATTTATTTATAACATCAAAAATTAAATTACATTTATTTACATACTGATAGGAATAAAAAAAACCACTAAGGTTTAAACTGATGCTATCGTAAGTTTACATAACATCTAATTAACTAAGTTTATTTAATAAATATACAAGATAAGTAGCAAATGACCATCTTGTCTACGCATGTAATGTTATGTATGTAAGAATGATTCCTCATTAATTGATCTAAAAAATGCCAGCGACAATACATATCTATCTTTTAAGAGGTTTGCAAAACAAATTTTGATGGCCAAAATAAGTATTCTACGTGGACGAAGACGCTGGCACAGCACGTAAAATATACCTACTAACGAATTAACAATATTCTACGTATTTTGTTAGTAACTTTATTATCAACAACGTAACGTAAATATAGCGGCACTTATATGCCGCTATGTAATTTCGATAACATAATACCAGTTTTATATCATGCTCACAGTGATAACTGCTCCGCCAGCGATGATGACGCGTGCTGTATGGGACACTTGGCCTTCCCCGTTTCGCGCAATGCACGTATAGTCCCCGATATCTTCATGCCGAATGTTGCTGATCCGCAGCTCAGTGCCGTCATTGAAGATGCCCACTGTGCCCGATGGCTCCACAGGATTTGCATCCTTGTACCACAATATTTCTGGGGTTGGTGTGCCTTCCGCCTGGCAGTTGAGGATAATGGCATCTCCTACGACGACAATGGGGTATTTCATAAAATGACATTTGATTAATGTCCCTTGAAAATATGTTAGTACATTATATTACTGTTTCATCTATACTAATATTATAAAGCTGAAGAGTTTATTTGTATGAACGCGCTAGGAACTACTGGTTCGAATTGAATCGAATTTTGTATTAGAACATCGAGAAAGGCGAGGATACAAAACATTCAGTTGCGCACCGAAAATTTTTCATCTTCTAGGTTTTCCGTTGCGTGTGCTGCGTCAAGATACCAAAATATTATGTAGGAAAGAATGATTCGACTTTAAATGCTCCAAAAAATGTTCACTTCGATGTCAACACACACAATGTTTATAATTAACTTGCAAGAACGACGAGACGCAACCGACGTCGTGGGTGGATGGGAGGAGGTTTGCAGTACCAAATTTTGATGCCCAATACCTGTTTTACGCGGACGAAGTCGTTGGCACAGCTAGTTAATAATAATGTTATCGACATAAACGCTAACCGCAGCGTACTGCGTTTTACCACCGAGCAATAGATTAAAGTGACGGTAAAAGAATTTGTGCTTATCACACATTATTCTCAAAACCGTGAAGAAATCGCAACGATCTTCACACTCTTCGCTTCACTTCCGCTGACAGCTGTTTCATATGCGATATCATTTCCTCTGTCAATATTGGGCGAATCTATCACACGGAAGCTTTATTTATACCCAGGTGTGACAAAAACAAGCGCGTGACACATTTTGAGCGATCGTATATTGGTTTGTGTAATATGACCTACATTCGTTCATACCTAGGTTGACGTATATAATCTCCTCCGGCGTGATAGAGAACCGCGGCGGGGCATGCACGTCCAGGTGGAACCACGTTCCGTTCTTGTGTTGATTCGGCGACCGGTTGAGGAACACCACCTTGCATTCATACCATCCCTGGGGAAAATAATTTTAATATAACTCTAATTGAATATATACCATGTAACAATTTAATTCTTAGCTTTTCTTATATAGGTTCATTCGTACATATAAAATGATAATAATAAATCAATTAATTACAAAAACAAATAAAATACAAGGAATTACTAAATAATTAATTTACATAAAAAGGCCTATCGCCTATGGCGATTTCTTTCAGAACCTTTGTTTACAGGAGGGAGAAGCAAAGGAAAAAAAAATTATATTAATTAATTATTTATATTTGTTTTATATGGGGGCCTTTAATTGTTTTTCCTTTGCTTCTCGATTTCATTTATTCTTTTGTTGTGTTATGCATTAGGAATGTAATGCCTGAATTACTTTGTCGTAACTATGTTATATGTAATCTGTTACTTAAAGAATAAACAGATATGTTTTTGGAAATTACTTCGAAATTCGGAGTCATGGTTATCTAGTAAAATTTTACTTAGCTTAATTTAGCTTATTGCTCAAACACAGCCAAAAAGCAAAATTGTACTTCCAACGTGTGTAAAAGAGAAGTATATATGTACATATTATAAACAAACTCAAGTACTTAAAACGTCGGGCCGAAGCCGAAAAATAATTTTCAAATAAGTTTAACTAATAATATCGCGTTTTAAACCGTTAAAGTGTTTTATTTAAATACTTAAAGCGTCTTATGAATTTTTTTTTTTTTTTAATGAATTGGTGTAATAATATGTAGCATATATTTCGTTATATGTGCATTTGTATAACAGAGGTTTATCAATGAAGATGACTTCTCTTTGTTTTTAAACCGAAGTTTGCATCCATACCTGATCCGACTCCCGTATATTAGTGAGGTTGAGGCTGGCGGCGCCATATGGCGAGTCCGGAGCCACGCGCGACACTCGGCCCTCATATCCCTCTCCGCTGTGCGTCGGATAGCTCTCGTACCAGATGTAAATCGGTATGTCCTGACCCTACACACACCGCACACGATTATTATCACGCAATCATCGGTGCGGACACCTTCCTTACAACCTAACTACGAACAATAACGACCACAACGCGCGTACTACATCTAGATAGATATACTTCCAATATACGCTTAATTGTACAATGTCTTGTCTTAGGAAGATGTATTGAAACTAAATGCCAACAAAAACTAACTACAAGCATGCGAATGTCTTCAAATGAATCGAACAATGGAAGGAAAACAACATTCATAATTATTTCGATACAAATTCGTTCTGAGCCCGTAAAAGCCTCGCGACGTGGATAACAAAAGCTTTTGTAAATATAGAAATATGTACGTACATGCGAGATGAAATAACATGATACCAACTGATAACATGCAATACGACTCAGTTTAGGAGTTGGAAGATTCGTGGATACCACTTCAAAAAGGCAGATGAGGAGGCTGTACTTCCGCCTTAGTGAAATGGGTTGATTCTAGGCAGGTTGAGCGTGGGAACAGCCCACAGCCACAGGAAGAGAGACAGACAGAACCACCGCAGTGCGCGAGGGAGTGCGCGTGCGCCTTCTCAGCCTTAGAAAGCTTTCGCCAAACATACTGTCATTCATTTCAAGTAACTTCTATTTCAATGTTCTCTTTGTTACTGTATCGTGACGTATAATGCAGAACACCCAGTCTGTATAGCGAAGGCATAAGCTACGTGCTCCCTTTCTATCTCCAAGAGAAATCGGTGCACCAAAAATTAAAATAAATTATTTTTATCATAAAATAAAGGTAAATCAGTCGAAATGTGATTGTGTTGTGTATGTTCGTTATGTACGGGGGTCTGCTGCTCTCTCGGACTCGTTTCTAAGGTCTTTATCACTGTGGTGTCGATGTCCAATCAGCAGGGCGACGTTGACGACAGTACGTCGAAAAGGCATCACATGGGTGCGTACAAACTCTATCAGTTTCTTGAAATACATCGAAATATCCTGCTGTCTAGCAGTACCGTAGGAACGACTCTTTAGAGACTGATTTAGTTTGTCTGCACCAGGCATGCGGGTCATGGGACGGGCTGGTTGATAGAATACCCGGCCCACGACGTCGCGTTACCACTAGCACGGTACAATACGTAGTGTCCTTCGAGACAAGCATAAAGTTATACTTTACAGTCTGCGGAGCGCGTCGACTAGACGCCACGACCTTTACTGAACAGAAACACACACACGAAACATGAGCAGCTTTGTAAGTAAGAGTGGAGTGTGACTGTCATACCGTTTCGCCTACCTTCTTCTCCCACTGCAGCACGTACGGCACGGGTATGTCTTCGGGGAAGTCCACCTGGCAATTGAACACCACGCTCTCACCGAGGATCGCCGTAATGTGCACGGCATCTTGATGGTCTTGGTGGCAGGTAACTATAACGAACCAAGCTATTTTGGCATTCAATAAATTTATAGGTATAGGAGACGTGTATTTTAAGGGGGGCTGTTCTCTCTTTGAATCAGATACGATTGAATTATAACAATCCAATCGCGCTTCGAGCAAACAGAGAAAGGATTAATTAAAACGGACAGAGTTTAAATGAACTGACCGATGTAGTATCTATTGATCGACAAACCCAGAATGGTGTACTATTCGTAGGTAGAATATGTGGACATTGAACACCCACATTGAACTAACCAGAATTACCTCGGCTGTGTTTCTATTGAAATCTAGTCGAGTTGTGTGGGAGTGTATAGTGCACATTGTTAGATCTTAGCTCAATTAATCCCTACTACAATATGCAATAAGCTTGGAATAGGTCACATTGTGTGACTGCCTAGCCCAGAGTTTTGTATCTAAATTAAGCAACGTACACAGCTTCTAGATATATATATCTGAGGCCTGCGGTAATAAAAGTCAGTAGGTAAAACATTTATAGTAATCGAGAGATACACAATTTTTTAAGGCGTCGATGATTCTTATTTTATTTTATTAAAAACTCTTTAAGGAAATAAATATTTAAGGAAAGGACATTATCACACAATAATTATTACAATAAGGTATTCTAATTATAAAAAAAAACTCTTGAAGGTCGAAAATAACTATTTAATTATTTATTATAATAAAACAGCGTCAAGAATATTAAAATTTAATAAATTCTTGATTTTTTTATAAAATTATTGTTTTTTAGGAATACAATACATGGGTTTCGGAAGGAATTTCGAAATTCCGTCTAGGTCACGAACCACCGTCCATAAATGAAAAAGCCGTTTAGTTTAATCGCGTTTCGGTCAAGTCTGTGGATTTCCGAATATATATAAAAGAGACGTATAATTTTGAGTGTCTTATTAACTGGTAAACTTTGGACATACCCGGCAGATAGACTAACAAGAGAAGGAGCAGGCCGGCGGCGATGTGCGGCGTTTGCTCGGCGCGCCAGCCCATGCCTGCGCTCCCATGTCACGGCCGCGCGCGGCGACTCATCCTCGGTGCATCACCTTCAACAATCAGACCATATTTTAAGCAACCATTAAAACACCTTATCTATACTAATTATATAAAGCTGAAGAGTTTGTTTGTTTGTTTCAACGCGCTAATCTCAGAAAATACTGGTTCGAATTGAAAAAATATTTTTTTGTTGGTTAGAGCATTAGATGAGAAAGGCTATAAAACATCGCGCGGTGACTAATAGGTTCGAAGAAATATCGGGAAATGGGAAAAAAAATCATCTTTGTCGGTATCCGATGTGTACGCTGCGAAAACGGTTCAACATACCCAAAAAGTGTGTATCTAAAAAAAAGTCCGCCTATCTTTTAAGATTAACTTCCAAGAGCGCAGGGACGCAACCGACGTCGTGGGTAACTGTTTCATTTTGTAAAGATGAAGAGGAGGTTTCCATAAACAAATTTGGATGACCAAACAACTATTCTACGCGGACGAAGTCGCTGACATAGTTAGTATACCTTACTATAAAGAAAGATTTGATCAAAATTTACGAAAGCATCTCCTGTGACAAATTAACTAGCAGTTTTTTTAAGTTTTGGAAGTTCGTAAAACCTGCCAAATAACTTAATTAGTAGAATATTGAAACTACTAAACCTCTTTTGGAAGATTTATACATATTTGTCGTAATATATGTTTTACATTAGATATGTTACATTTGAGCTTTTCTGCTTATTTCTTCTATTCGTTCCATGTGTTTCATTTGAGGAAACAGAAATCGAAATTCGGAGACTATGAGATCTATATACGCTACGATGTGGGCAGATACTAAATCCAGTAGGATATCAAAGTAGTAGCTAATGGAAAAGTAAGTTAAGGAAAGACCAAAGATGGTGGATAGGCATTGAGAGCTTTTCAAGAGTCTCTGCTGTATAAAATTTATTGATTAGTAAAATAGCAAACGGTAATGTGTGTAATTAATTAAACGAATTAATAACCCATATCTTAGAAAAATTAAGGCGTCTTAATTTTAATTTTAAGTGTGCAGTTCAATAACTTTAACATTATATCATATAGTGAATAATTTCTTTACAACATAACGAAGAAACGTACACGACTTTAATTTTCGATGGTAACTGCAGCGGAGCTATTTTTTTGTATAGTCGTGCGTAGTTCTCAATTTTGACAAATATAATTAGAAGACTAAAGTCTGTATGTCTTCCTAAAATACATAAATGTGGTTTAAGACTGGCCTTGATGAAACAACGGGGTCTAAGCATACCATACAACCTCACAACAGCGTGAGCCTACATGGTGGCCTTTGTATAACGCGTCCTTGGACTATTTCCTTACCATTCAGAATAATTGCACTGCATCACGATATTTCAACTTCAACCCTCGCGGCCAACCCTTGCTTAATTCGGTTTGTGTTATACCTTTAGTAAAATTAACATATTATTGCGTATGAAATTATCCAGTTTTTTATAGTTGTTCAATTAAATTAAATTGTTTTTATACCTTTATTGTAATAAATGATTTTCTCAAATATATACCACGAGTAAAAAAAATGGGTGGCGAAGTTCTGTTCACAGTTTCAGCGTAGAAACGTGATGGATCGAACGAAATCGTATGTAATATTTTTTTGCCTTGAAACAGAAAAATCTTGTCAAAGAGCTTCGGTTTTACTTTAAGAATGAATCGACTGAAAGGATTTTTGCACGAGTACACGAACAGCATGGGGTATCCAGTCGGGCAGCGGTCAGCGAAGTCTAGAGCCATTATCGATTTTCGTACCTTGTCGCGACGTGTAATCGCGCTATGATAAGCGCGCCGAGATCGAGGTCGCTGGGTTGGGGACGAGATCGGCAATGTGGTGTCGCGTGGGCGGGCTCCGTCATCTGTGGAGGGCGGTCATGGGCTCGCGGGTCGCTGTTCGGCTGACGCGTGCGAGAGGGCGCGAGGCAGGTCGGGCACTGCCCGCCGCGCGGTGCCTCAATATTGATCGCTGCGCGCGCCGGCCGCCGCCCTATATGAATGGCCCCCGGCTCACGTGCTAGCTGCCTAGCTTAGCTCTGTCCGCCTACGAATATTGCATACCTTCCTTTTAGCTTATGGATCTACAATGTTTGCTTTGTCAGGGGCCTCAGTTGCATTTAGGCTCTTCCCGCCTTATTTTCCTTTGTTCAGAATCCGTGTTTATACTTATATAACGTATACCGAACTAGATTGTTAAAATAGATTTTTGGGGATATTGCTTTGTCTACGAAATTCGTATTTTTAATCATCAAAATCAAATGTATTGTATGTACCGTATTATTATGTTATTTACTATAGGTATTTACTATAGTATATGAGCAAATATCACAAAATAATTGAATCTCAAAGAACTGTCAAATTAAAATCTTAATTGAACGCTTTACCCCTTATTAATATAAACTCACGGATTTAATTTTGAAATTTACAGGCCATTCCGTTGGTGGCACGTCGCAGCTTCAAATATATTTTAGTGTAAAGGGAGAAAAAGCTCACGGCAAGTTGCATTGTATTAATTACTGGAAGCGTAGCAACGTTTGAAAATCCTAATAAGATTTGAACTTTATTCCGTAAGCGAGTTCAGCGTGGATCCTATTAGGAACTGCTCTGTAGTTGCGACGCAGTGTCCAAGTTTAAAGTAGAAAATCAAAAGGAGCTATCGATAAAGTTGTGGATGTCGCGGGCAAAGCGGATTACTTGTAAGACTTCCGCACTTCGTTAAAGAACCCTGTATCAAAGCTAACTCGATTATATTCGGATGTCATCGGCTGTTTTATTCTTTATAAGAGTTATAATATGGGAAAATATTGCGGTAAGTATGTTAACAATATCAATAACAGTTTAAATAAATTCGAATGATCGTTCGAGATAGGCATTTCTTATTTTCAATCGTAATAAATACTTTTAATATTCAGGAATATTTAAATGATTTCTTCACATTGCTGAAGCTCTGACTTGGTATTTGGGAAAAATCTTCCTTTATTAGATTTCGCATGACCGTCTTTGATCAAGTGATTTATATTCCCCATAAATTTAGTTCATACATGGAGATATTATTTTAAATAGTTAAATTATTAAAGTTGACCAATGTAAGTACTTAACCTGAGAGTCATATAGATACCACACAATTAATTAATATTACAAGCTTTCTTTCTTATACATTATAATGACCATGGTGATGAATTTTGTTGGCATACGACTGAGCTTTTTGGTAGGTATATGTCATCGAATTTTCCGGTTTTCTAGGACATGGCAGTCACGAAGTTTTCTATGTGTACAATCAATGTGACAAAGTGAATTATGGAATTCGTAAATATGGACAAAGAGGATGGTACATAACCGGGGATCGAAATTATTGCTAGAAGTCTCTAAACCATGCGGCTCCCTGCAGAACTTACGGCCCGGTTGAATTACCGTTTGTAGAATAAACGCCATTTAATATGATGGTCATCAACTCCTCGTGACTCGTGTCTATCACCAAGCTCTGGCGTGCCGATACACTTATTTAACAAAGTCTTGATTTTACTTCACATTCCGCAAATAGCCGATTATATCCTATCTTCGCACTTTCGCCATAGATAATGCATTTGATTGAGTGTAGAGAGGAATGTTTAGAGCGTTACACCATTTTTTTTAAATGAAATGAGCTTACATGAATTGCTATTCTTTTGATATGTTTGTTTTTTATTCTTAGAGAATATAAAGGATCGTTAGAAGTCACTAAATCGGAATGTGATCTGTTAGTGAGTAGTAAACATAATTAACATTTTATTTTAGTCTTCTACCATGTTCAATTAATCTCGTCAGTTATAGTTACAGAGAATTAATGCCGACAATTCTACAGAGTATACTGCGCTAAGTAATTTCTTGAAAAGGCACTTTTGTAAACTTAGATGTTGGCAATACTGATTAACTATGCAAAATAGCAACACCAAGAGCACAAATGTAAATCATCCTTACACGAGTTAATAACAGTCCGCCACAGAGTTTCATGTCAAAACAATATGCAGTTAGATAAGATATGACGGCTCACAACCGCCCCACATATCAATCATGGCTTTAAGTTTAGACGACACTTTACTGACACTAATAGTTTTATTATAAAGCAGGTATACAGTATATAAAACTCAGTAGCGACAGATTTTAGAACGTTATATATCTAACCTGAGGTAATCATTGTGTACGAAGTATTATACTATAATTATCAGTAGTGCCTGCAGTTACGGGTATTACGCATTTATATAAAACACTCTAACAGTTTAAAACGCGAAATATTTCGGATCGGTGTTAGGAATATCGGAATTTCGTCCGGGTCAGTCACCGTCCACATATGAAAAAAGCCAAGTTAATCGCGTTTCGGTTTCAGTCTGAGGATCCCGAATATTCATAGCCAAAATGCGTCGACAACACATCTTATTTAAATTTTATATGGCTGGGATATTTCGCCTTCCAGCAAGTAATAATATAGCTTATATTTACATACTTAAATAATAAATTAAGCTTTAATACATTACTATAGATAACATAAACATTTTTTTTAAACTATTTGTAATATTGAAAAGCAAACAATTTTTTTGTTTGCACAACGTCGAAAGAATGACGATGGTAACCGACTGGAGTAGCGTGGCTGGTTTAAGCTTTTAAACTCTCTCCTATCTTGCAGACCTGTGCCCAGCCGTGGGATATTTATAGGTTGAAACGAACAGGGTAATTCAGTGAAACTCGACAGAAGCTTGCAATTTCCGGCGCCGGTGTTCACCGTTCAGATAGAACGTGATATATCCCGTATTAATTTGCGATATCGGCTCAACGGTTCTCGCCGTAGAATTAGATTTATCTCGAAACCCTTTACAGTAGTGACTGAAATAAAGAAAGAAAAGTGAAGAGCTTTACTTGCAGCGGGAGGTTGCTGGCGACTTTTTTGTTTATTTCAAGTCTACTTGATCTGTGGAAGTTTTTGTTCAAGTATTCAACTGCGCGACGTTGAAACAAAGATACAGCAATTCTGAGACGAGAAAGTCGTGGAATTCTCATTTTATCGTCCGATTTTTATTTACGAAACACATAATCGATATATTATAGTTAAACAAATTTAAGTACGAAAATATGCTAAAAAACAAACGCTGTGAAATATTATTTTTGTGTAAGGGGTGACATTGTTTGGGAAATTAAGTTAACTTTTAAATTATTTGTTTAATTTTATGTAAAAAGGTATCTAATAAATTTGCTTAGTTTTGATAAGATGTATTTCTTTTCTACAAGAGTATTGTAGTGTATCGTTAGTGTGTTTTAACGAGCACTACTACTACAGCAGTATGGTAACCGATACTTACGGTTACACGAGCTTTCCAAGGCTCCCAAAAGCTCATTTTCCAAACTGTGGTTGGACTAGAAAATTTTATAAATCCCTGTACCGAACTGACATCCAGCCATCCAGCTAAATCTACTGTCTACTAAACGAACGAGGCAGTTAACAAGTAACGCTAAGAAGCTTAACAGTATTACTTAACTTTTTGAAAGCTCAATATTAACTTTTGTTGATATAAATATTTTCCTTTAAAAATAGGAAGTTAGATTTTTACCTGGCATTTGTTTATGAAAGTTGAATGGTGTCTGAAAGTTTTAATTAGTTTTGTAGGATGCACGGCGTCGGCGCGAAAATAATAATTATACTAACCGCATTTTTTGCAACAAGTGATTTTAATCGATTAGGGGAAATAATATTATTAATTGTACTTGCTTATCTAGAGCTTAGTATTTGTTTTTATTAAAATCAATAAAACAATTGCTTGCAAACGAAACCATTGCCCGTGGGAACGTGTAAAATTTTCATGGCTCTTATAAATAAAACATACTGACACTGAAATTATAAACATAAGCTTTGGCGTAGTAGTAGCTATAGGCTCAGTCGAGCAACGTGCTATCTCTAGCAATTCTAGAGCAAATATGTAGGTTAAGCTATAGTTTTATCAGTGGAAATGTCTGCGAGGGAAGTTGGCGTTAGACGGATGCTATATTTGTTCTGGTATGGAAGTCCATAGACAAATCTGTTCATATAGTAACCTCGCACTCTTCACAAGCTAGCACATATCTATTTTAATAAAGAATTTGACGTGATTTCTAAGAGTTAGATATTATGTTATGTATGGCTAATACATAACTTAATAAAAATTCAAAATTTTTCACGTGTCGGCCACGGTAGCTCAATTGGTTATCACATCTATTCTTTTAAATATATATCTAATCTTTAGTGCTGCTTTTTTTACTTATATGAAACTCAATGCACTTATCTTATTGAGTTAAATTTGATATTTTTGATTATTATTTACAGTTAAATACTCGTATAACTAAATTAGATTGAAAAATATATAAATTAAACGCCCTTCACCTTTTTCACAAGAGCTAACTACGTTACTGTAGTAATTACAAATTTCTGAATGGCTGTACGAAAAGTAAATAAATAAAAACTGTATTCAATTCCATTCCGGAGCTCGAATTCTAAAGCAATGTTAATCTCGAGTTTTGCGTTGAACATCCCTCGATAGCACTTACAACTGGTGCACGGTGCCGGAATAGAGTTAAATTAATCAACGTGCAAATTTTACATGATAGACTTCCTAAGAACTTTGAAATACATTTTGAAACTGTAATACATTTCGATATGAAACTCTTTGGTGACGAAGTTGTTTTTTTTAATCTAACAAAATATTACGTCTAATCTATTACACGTGGTCGTTGGTACAATGGTAGCAATGTATCATATGAGTCGTGGTCGTTATTTACATAAAACCCTTGTAACGGTTTAAAAGACGAAATTTTAACTTTAAAAATGATTTTTTACCTTCCCTTTGTAAGCACGGCTACTGCAAAGCATCCCAAAACGTAAGGCCGTAAACAATTTGTAAAGTTTAACTAATATATTTTTCGTTTTAAGCCGTTAAAAGTGATTTTTTTATATGTACTACTCTCGTAAATTACACACAGGTGAGACGTACCTATATACAAATTATTAGTTCGAGTTGTTAGATTTAACTTTGTACTACTTTAGACGTTGTGCTTTGAGAAATCCTTATAAAAAGCATCCGGGATAGAAGCCGTATGATTTATACATACACCTGGCCGATCGAGATTGTTCGACAATATCGCGTTTCAGTATTATTACATCTGACCACAACTTAGCCTCATCCTGCGCAATGTGTAAAACCCGTACTTCGATTGACGACAAAAACTCAAAGGATGTGTTAAACCTTGCAGCCACAACCAGTATGATTAATAATAATTTATATGCCCTCTAACTTTCATAATGTAACTATTTGAATAACTAATATATATGAACATTTGTTGTATTAAACATTCCATTTACATATTTATATTAGGGAGGCCGAAAATTTTCCATCCCGACCCGATAGATGCCGCTGTCATCTCCTAAAACGCGCTTAAATAGTATTTTGTTAGCTTCAGTTAACACACGTTATACTTTTGAAGCTTGCTTTTGCCGGCTCGGTTGT